TGGTGATGAAAGTGATTCTGATGGTGATCCTGACACAGGGTCATTCCCAACCTATATCATGGCGAGGAAAAAGCCAAATGGTGAGTAGTTCCTTGTGTGCATTGTTAGCAGCTCACCAAACTAGATTTTAACAGTGGTCCATTGTTGCTTGTCATGCAACTTTATCATGACATGATGTACATCTAACTAGGAATGATAATGTTATTGGATACATGAGACACATATTGTAACAATGGAACCAACACATTCTCTGTTCATCATTGCAGTTACGATGAATACAATTCCAGGTTATAAACAACAAACAGTCATTGAGCCGACTCAGAATATTACAACTGTAGTGATGCTTTCATTACTTTATCAAGATCAGCCCAGTCAATAGGATCTCCAGGGATGAACTGATCACCCTTGTATAACATATGGTTTGCTGAAACCCACTGTGAAACTCCAAGATACCCAAGCAAGATGTCTGAGATATCAATGCTTGGGTCTGCAGTTTCCATATTCCTTGCTGAGCATTGACTGCTTCCCTTGGCACAATATTCCTTAGATTTTGTGGCCATAGTACAAAACTAAGCAGAGGTCTCGTCAACAATGCTGATAATCCTGTCAGTATAATTTCAACATCTACATGAACATGATTCCTTACATATCCTTAGAGACAAGTAAGGAAGAGCTATAACAATCCGATGAATGGTCTCCAATGTATGTTCAAGGACCTGGTTGGTTGTGGAGTCAGCAACTTCTGTGTCAATGTACTGGGTAAGCTCAATAAGGTGCATGCAACCATAGTGGTAGAAATGACCACCTGTGGCAAATAAGGCCACTGGAGTATACACCGCATGCATCGTGCAAGGTGGTTGTATTCTGGAGTTTGTGGATTTCAACTATTGCGCTGAAATATTATAAATTCTTTACAACATGTCGCCAGCAATCAGCATTATCACCTCAGCATCACATTTTACCTTCAATAATGCCTTGTGCATCGTGAAGTTGGCCAGCTGTGTGGTGATATCTTGAATATGACTGCAGTCATCCCATTGAGCCTTTGGTCTGAAGACTACCCAGAACTTAAGCCCCACTTCCATTCATATCCACATTAATGTTCCCTCCACATCATGATGTGAGTATGTTAAGAATCCAGCATGATGGGTCATACCTCATCCTTTCACAGTAAAATTGTGGGGATGGACATTTGAGACAACAGCAACACTATGAGTTGTCTGATTCCATCCTGTTTCTGGACATTGGCCTTAATTAGAAGATAGATCATCGACATAAAGATACGTGAATCTTACCTTAGAGATTTAGGCATAGCAACTTGTGAGAGTGGGAGATCCAGGATACATTGAATTTTGTTTGGGTCATTGATGGATTCTGTTACGACAAGCGGTCGTGTGCGACTAGGATAGTTCTAACAGCGACAACCACGACAGTGGTACCGAGTGCTGAGAGTCGTCGGCCTTTACAGACAAGCAAAGGTTGCGTACTCGAACGTAGCTCGTGGTGGTTAACGAGGGGTTACGCTGAGATGATAGCAGAGGTTACAGACAGTGAGAGGCGTCACTGAAGGTACGAGTCGATGTCGAGCAGGTAGCTTTAGCGGGACAAGGAGTTCAAGGGAAAAGCTAGTTGATTAGACTAGTTCTGGGTAGTACCTAGTAAGATTAAAGTAAGGAGCATCTACTTTAATCTTCGACCTTATATAAGGCTACTCTATCGTATCTAAGCTCAGCCTAAAGCTGGGTTCTAATCTGCTTATCTACATGAGTCAGAGATAGCGTCCATGAGGCGGGCTTCTATCGTAGATAGCGTCCATGCGGTACGCTTCCATCAGAGATAGGATCCACGTGGTATCCTTCTATCAGTACATGAGGCAACACAAGGCTTGCCTTCTATCTTGATAACATAAATAGGTCTTCTAGACCTATGTCGTCATGTCATGTCACGTGCGGTCCAGACCGCTTATCTAAGCCGGCAGTTGCCGCTTATCGTCTATTATTATCTGTCGTCATCTATCGTCATAGAGCCAATGATGCTCTGTTATCGTCTATAGAGCTGGTGAGGCTCCGGTGTCGTCTATAGCCGTGCGGGTGGCAGAGGGCTCTCTGCTGGCGGGGGACTCGTGCCATGTTACTGTAACAGATTCTAAGAATGATTTGATTGTACCATTCCTTGTGGGACAGACTGTCATATCCTATATTTTGGACCTATATTGGACAATGTTCCCACACCGAATCTGGACCTCCGGACCCCTTGTCCATGTCCTTTATCTGTCCAATTAACTGTACCTTTGCATATCCACACATCCAGATCTGATATCCACGCTTCTCGTCCGCACTCTGGACCTTAGATCCAATCCGATCCAATCCGAAGATCTGATAAGCTTCTTAATTCATTTCCTGTTCATATAATGTTAACACAGCCTATTTTTCTATTTGGTATTCCTTGTCTCCGGTATCTCGGTTATGCTTACTTCCGGCTATCCTTACTGATCTGTTAACCTATGCTTAATTTCCGACTCATGTGTGATTTGTGATAGACTTTGCTTACACTTTGTACATAGCCTCGGACCCTTGATTACTGATCTTTTGGATAGTCCTTTAGTATATAAACTCTTGTATATGCCCTTGTTGACATCGTATTGCCTTTTCACACTATCTTGTTATCTTGTTCACCTTCGGTACCACACTGTCCGACGTCTTCCTGGCTTCTTGCATCTTATGGCACATCTGCACGTTAATCCTCTGGTGTCGTTACCTAAGCTTTCCTTGCCACTACTTACATCGTCGTCTCAACTCCATTGACACCTCAATTTTGTTCCCCAACATAACTGAGGTATGTAGTACATTCATTCATATAGACTCACACTGACGTACACTAGTTGTTGCTTCGCATTAGTATCGCTAACGTGTATAGCCCTGTAGTACCTCAGTCTGAATATCATATTAGTCCTCGCACTAGATCTCACTCTAAGTCCTCATACTAGTTCTTTCCTTCTGAATGGCCTAGGGAGGAATTCTCTAGGCCGGAGCTCCGCTCCTCCAATTCTCCATTCCTCCGAGTTTCCGGAAGTTCCCCCAGATCTTTCCTGCGGTCCGCTGGACCTATTCTGCTTTGGACTTTGTCCTTGCAGCCTTTCCTCTGTTTGCTTCTACTCAGGATGTGTCCTGAGTAGCCATTATACATATCCATATCAGGATGAAATCTCCATTGTAATTTCCGGAAGTTCCTCCAGAACTTTCCTGCATTCCTCCGGAAGTTACTTACACTTGTCCAGAAAGTCTTTCTGAAGTTTCCCGCGCTCCTTCGGAAGTCCTTTGGACTTCCTTAGACTTTCCCTGGACATCATTCTGAAATTAAGGGCACATACTCAGATAAGGGGCGCAGCGCATGTGCTGAAGCCAAGCCCCTCAGAATCAGTCCTACCCTTTGTGCACGGTCTTAACACACACATTATATATGGATCAAATCATTACATCTGTATTAAATATCAATCAAGCAGAGAGACAAAGTATTTGATATAATGTTCACCATGAATACAGACCAGCTGATGTGGTGAGATTGCAAACTTCTCATCTAGGTAGTCCTGTGATATGCTTTCATGCAGTTTCTCATGGGATATGCCTCTGATGACAACAGGAAAATTTGCACTTAATGCATTCCCGACTGTATTCAAGATGTTCTTTCTCCGAAGGGTGTCCTGATTTAAAGGCAGAACATTCTTTGAAGCTGATGTTGAAGTTGGAAAATCAGCCATAAATTGGATAATTGAAATATCGACAGCTTCACAAACATTGACTTTTCTCTCACCCACAACCATTGGAAGAATGGTAGTATGGCCATTTTTCTATCTTTGCTTTTGGCTGGCCAATGGGACCTGCTTTTCCAGCAGTCAGATAGTGAGGTTGAAAGGTGAATATGACATGAGAGAGATTAAAGAGGTTCATCACATCAACAGGATTGTTTGTCTAGTTATTTGTCTGATTTGGTAATGTTGCAAATACCCACTGTTACAAATGATTTTTGGGACACATATTGTACATCATCATGAACAAAGACTGTAGAGTTCCTTATTGTATTCATCTTGGTGATCACTATTTTCAAGGTCATATAGGATGATGCACCTAGTTTTAAACAACTATGAAATTTTTATGAGATACTAGACATAGTGAAGATGTCAGCAAGGGGTGAACTACAAGCAGTAATTACCAACATCACTAATCATTCAAATCAACTATTTTCCACCATTTTCAAGGTTACATAGTGTTACAAGTAACATTGGTCACGTGGCCCCCCTATCATTTTCCCTTCATCCTCGCCCTCACCATCTACCGGCTCGTCCTCCTTTACCGACTTTCCGTTGACCGGATCCTTGGGACCATTCCCGTCCCTCACATCGCCCGCCTCTATGCACATGCACGCACGTTCCTCCCTTGATTCGACCACCAATGTGGTCCCGCACCTATGACTCGGTCTGACTCGTGCCACCAATGTGGCTTTCCTCTTTCTGTTCCTTCTGACTGCGGATTCCCGCACGTTGTATTCTTACCGTTGGTCCGTTCCAACGTTTCTCAGTCTCATTCCACGTTCGACCACCCATCACTAATCCGGCTATGTTGCCAATGCACCTATACCATTCTTGTTTCCCCTTTACCCTTACCTACTGTGCGGTAACCTTGCCCTTAACCCTTTCCACTTAGTATAAGTAGTCAGTCACCTTGTACTAGATTCTCTAACTTGAATCTACTCAATCTTCCCTGGAACATACTTCCCTCTGAACGCCCCTTTGGCTTCAGTCTCTAGTATCTTTTCTTAGTTGCTCATCGCGACTAAGTCTACCTCGATCGACCTCATTGTACGGACAAGACAGTCCTTACCTTGAGTGACTTTACAGACATCCATCTACGAAGTCACGTGACACGCACGTACTGTGATCACTGCCGACTCGTCGTCGCCAGTATCACTTGCTATACCGGATCCTTCCGGTTACGTCACGAACGTTAGTGGACGACGCCCCTCTTAGGGCTCCGCCTAACAGATCTATTTGAGTGCGTAACAGGTGGTGGAGAGGCAATTGACCAGAATCTTGGGTTGCTCTCCCTGATGTCAGAATCATTGGCTACATTGCCAAGAGAGTGGAAGAGGTGACTGAGGAAGCAAAGGCGTGATTCCATGTGCACGATTGCAGAATACAGATGTTCCATCCCTAGTGCTTCGAGGTACTGATCTTCACTATCAAATGCCATTGTCCTGGGATTTTCGGGAATAATGACTCCATTGACATCAGTGTCCATGTCAAGCATTGCAAGCTGTCTGAATCGCAGGAGCATCCAGGTTCCGAGCTTCAGAAATACTTGCAAGTTTCCCTGCTCGAATGCAATCCTGTTCCATTTGGACCAGTCATCTAATATGGATGGGAGTGAATGCGGATCTAAATTAGCTTTGTCGAGTTACATTTTTGTTAGTATGTTCGAGATACATTTTTAGGATATCTGCACTCACCAGCCTCTATGATATGGGCAAACATCAGTTGCAGTGATTAAAAGATAATGAACAACTCACTGCTGCCCTTCGGAGAATCTCTAAATCAGCACTAATATGCTGGTACTTGTCATCATTGTCAGTAGCTAGGAGAGACATCTGTGATGCTGGAGTGCTATTCCCTTTCCCCAACAACTGTGATAGAGGTTGTAAATGTTAATGACATGGAGAATAAAGGAAGGAATGACTCACAATAGCTGACTGCTCAACATCTGACTCATTACAAGCCAATGGCTGCAATTCATCGTTGGGAGAGTCTCTTGCTAGCACCCGATCTACTACTGTTAGATTAATCTTTTCTTTCACTGACTGTGACTTATGAGATAAGCATCAGTAACTTAAATAATACAAGTGTCAATGACCTATAGCCATAGCTGACTCATTTGCATCTAACTCATCATCACTTTCTTCAGTTTGCGGCAATGTCGGTTTGAATGCCTTCTTTTTGCCCTTCCCTTTGCCTTTTGGCAGGCTGCGACTTATGTGATGAACATCAGTAACTAAAACCATAAGAGGGCCAATGACCAACATCTGACTGTGCAAGAGACTCATTAGCAGCCAATCCATCATTGCTATCATCTGTTGGAGGCATTGTTTGTTTCACTGCCTTTTTCTTTCGCTGGCTGGGACTTACGGTTCACCTTATGGCCCTTTGTTGACTTTTTTGCATCTTCCCGTAGTTCAAATACATTTGAAATGCATGTGCTATCGCTCTGCTACAATAGGTTATGTGAATTATTTCAAGGTTCGGGGCTCACCCACCTCCCCCTCAGCATCTATGTCTGACAGAACCATACCTGTCCCAGCGATAGGTGCAGATGTCTGGTTATTTCCATGTTTGTCACCATATTTCAACTTGGATCCATGGTATATATGCATGGAAGAAGCTGCAGAGATGTTAAGGTCAAGGTGCTTCACCTCCAACAACAATGTCCACAACTTACCAACGGGTTCAGTGGTTGCTTGAACCCTAGATCATTGACTCTTTTGCACCTTGGATGCTTGAGGGGAACCCTTGTCTGAAACAACAGTCTGTGCATTGTCAGTGGTCTCTGGTGCGTGCAGAACATTCTGGATGCTTTTCAGCAATTCAAATATGATACCATTGGTCAAGTGCTTGTGTTCAAAGCCACCACCACACATGTCTTCCTCGTTAGTGCATAATGCCTTGTGTAATCCTTCATATGTCACTATGTTCCATGTCAAGCGAGAATTGATAAATGAGATCCATGTTAATTGAGAACTCATGCACTTGGACCTTCTTGTACATTTTCTTCTCTCTGAACTGAGCCCATGTATGATTCATCTTCTTTAGTGCAATCTTCTGATGTTCCGAAGTAAATGCACTATCTTGTAATGCCAGCGCGATGTGAAAGTCGAGATGTGCAGAGCACCACTTAGATGTTGTAACCTTTGGCCCATCTTGCCACACCTCACCGATGAATCCATAGATTATGTCAGCCATATAATTGACCTGAAGCTCATCACCAGCTTGGTGCTGCAACCTGGATAGCATCAGGCATTACCATCGAGGAGTCCCAGATAGTGTTGGTCATCGACATATGAAAGCTCGGAAGACATCCTACCGAGACTCAGAAACTGTCTATCGCCTGTTGCAGGGTCTCTTTGCAACAAACCATTGATGAATTCAATCTTGTTACCAAACGATACCTCAGTCAAGGTTTTGATGCAGATGAAGATATACCTGATATGAATCTAGCATTCATGGACGATGATACAGATGCTCCTGAAGATGATTGGAAGGAAGGTGGCATTGAGCCATTGGAAGATGATCCTGCGGCACTCTTTCACCCTGAGATAGCTGTCAGTCCTCTTCCATCAAACATAGGCATGACACAGTGTGATGAACTGTCGGTCACAGACCTTGTCGCATAGGAGATTACCCTGAGAGAAGGCAGGCCAACGATCTTTGCATGCAATCCAGGTTCATCTCGCAGATAAAGCTGTTCTCTTTTGCACCACAGTCTGTACGGCCAAATTGCAGGCCCAGTCAACCAGGGCCTGGGCGCAAGTGCATTCAGTTGAGTGGGTGATCAGGCTCAACAGCCACATTTACACCAAATGTCGGCAGTAGCTAGTCAAATTAGAGGCCTGCAATACATTGGAGAAATATTGGCAGTCAGAAAAGAAAGATTTGAAGACAAGTGTGGCAGTAGTGGACTCAAATGCCCAGGGGCAAAAAAACTCTACTCTTCCATGGTTTTGGTCATTCAAGGTGCAGGCTGATTCCACCAGCAGTGATTGTATGACCGAATGTAAGTGCTCCAGACATATGATATCTTTCTCTCACAAATCTCCCCAATAGTCTACAGGGTCCATTGGCTCCGCATGAAGTCATTGCGTGACCGGTGGGCCAAAGAGTGATTGTTAGTGGAGCATGAAATGTGATGTACCATTGATTTCTTTGTATTCAAAAGCAGAGCATAGCTGGCAAGAGCAGAAGCAGACACAGGCAACTGAGATCGGGATGGGCATAGATGCTATGCAGTTATACAAGCTCAGGTGTATCGGGCACTGGCTGATGCAGCTGATACCAGCTTCTCGAAAGTCAACCCAGAATTCAAATGGAATCACTGAGAATTACATTCCTGCATTGGGAGGAACATTTGATGTAATTACTGCAAGATTGCTTCTACTACATACTGATATTTGGCAGGTCATATTGGGGGATCAGAGTGGGCATTGATTCTATATCATTAATTCTGGGTGGTATGTATGCATATATATTTTGGTCCCAGTGTTTCAGCTCCTGAGATGTTTCATAGCAGTTTGTGTTCCCATTCATCAACATATGGGCGGCCAGTTGTGTCAGCCCTTCTATGCCTATGTATCTTTGTGATGTCATCTGGATCTTGGCAGGTTGGCAGATCAGAGCACTGGATGACAACAAACTCTATAATGCATTCAAGAAGTTTGACTGTATGGTGGATGGAGACATCACAGCCCGCTGCTGAATTATCAATCTATATACATATTGCTGGTGGAAGGATTGTTTCGACCTTGGTCCTTTTCAGATGCCCAACTGCATCTCCCTCCTTGAGGTCAAGGAGTTGGTTGAGGAGCATTTCAACCAGGTGGTGAGCACTTCTATTCAGAATCGGCAGGATTTCTCTGATCTTTGTGTATGCCCAGCCTATGGGTCATCTCCTGATCCCAAAACTGCCCCAGATGCCCACTGTCAGTGACCCCTTGCTCCACCAAGTCCACTGCATCAGGGAAAACATGCAACGGCTGGAAGAAGGTTTGCAGAGCATGCTGCTTACAAAGGTAGAGGAAGGCGATCCTGCCGTGGATGCATTGACCTGGCTGGAAGGACTGGTGGATGAGGTAATGGATGCCATGTGAGCATCGCAATGAATTGATAGATAGGCTCGGCATCAAATGGGAGTAGAGCCCGGGTTCATAGTTTTCAGTTCATATCTATACATAGATTCATTTCTCCGGTTTGTATATGTTGGTACTGATTATAAGTAAAAGGTGCTGGTGAAATACCTCAGTAGGAATGAAAAGAAATGATAACATGTATTAATGATGTAATTAGTATGCCTGTATTTACTCGCTTGCATGTGCTTCCCTCCAGTTTGCTTACATCTACTGCAGGTAATAGTCCATGCGCCTCAATTACATCCTGGACATGCTTGCTGCACAAGGCTCAGCAAATGATGCAATAAATGCAGGCTGATTGATGGATGTCCTTTGATCTCATTCCAGTCATGTCTGATATCTCCTCAGAGTGGTCCTCCTACTGTGATCACATGTTCCACCAGTTGAATACATTCCATCCTCTTCCCGAGATCAGCGAGTGAGTGGAGCAGCAGTATATGGCCCATCTTGCTGGTAGACCTCTCATTCCCCCACCTCCCAAGCTTGATATTCCCACTATCATTACATGCGCCCAGCTAGTGTTCCTTCTGGCCGAGGCCTACCAGAATCCAAGTCAGTCCCTTGATTATTATGTTTATCCTTAAATGTGTACCATCACCACACAGAAACATGAACCACATGTAGAACCTCAAATCTACCATGCAAATGAGATGCGCATCTAAAACAGCCGGCAGGAATGGCGGACTGACAGGGGTATGCCTCATGTCAGAGCATTCATGATCTCTGCAAGCAAAGGACACAGGGGGTCCAGTAGATTAGATAGTACTGTCCTACATAGGATTACATCCTCAATGGACAAAAACTCAGATTTAAAAAAAATGTTTATCCTTCCTGACTGTCGGGATCAAGTCCAACTGGATATCGACATGGTTCATTACAATTAAGCTCTCACCAAATGGGAAACAGGTATGAATAATGTGCATAAAAAATTGCTCTGGGCTAGATTCCCTCCTGCCGAGAGAATGCTCTTGACCCGTCCTTTGATTGTCCTGGATTCTGGCTACAGGATTATTATTTGGTATATCCCAGAAGCACTGCATGGCTACATCCAGGTTGGTACTTCATTCAATTCTATGCTCCTGATTTATCATGCTGATATCAACAGAGTGATATGTACACAGCCACTCTCAGAATGAGTCACCACCTGCAAAAGAGTGTCATCCGTGGAGCCAGTCAGTGGAGAACCAATGGTGCCAACTTCCATGCCACCGATGGCACTGATGTTACCCCCAAGTGCATCAATATAGCTCCATGCTGGTTCCAACAAGGCCGAGAGGTGAGGCTGTTGTCCTATCAACTACCAACTCATCTGACCACCAATAGTGCCAGGGTACACCTCCTGAGAATACTTGGGATGGGTTCATGCCAGAGGTCTTGGCTACCCTGAAGGGTGAAAGGGGCATGTCGATGATTTTGGAAATGCAGAGATCCAGACTGTTGGCTTCCACTGCCATGCGTGTCATGCACCCGCAAAAATATTAGGCTTCAGTCCGAACTCACATCAAGCTCAGTAATTGGGCTGCTTCTCAGAGGTTGGATGACATGTACCAAAACCTCAAGCATTGGGTGTCCATCTACATAGGAGTTGCAGTTATGTGCAACAGATTGTCTCCATACCACCGAGGCCCGAAATGTCCACCTAAAGGATTCGATATCCTGACAAGCATCGGGAGTTATTGGCAAGCTGTGATGCATTTGATCAACCTCAGAATCGACATAGCATATGATCCCAGCATCATGGTGGGCTACTCGGAATGACTCATTAGACACAGGGTTCGGGTGGATGAGGGCGACAGGATCATTTGGGCCTGGTTTGTCTGTGACAGCATCCACAACTACACCCAAACCCCGCTCCTGGAATATGCCAAGTACAACCCCTTCCGTATTGGCTGATGATGTATCTATCTCAGTAGGATATCATCCCAGGTCCACATGCATACATTCCGGAGGAAAGAAATTCTAAGCTCTTGGATCACAGTAGTACTATTGTGCGGACCCAGCAGTCTACCTCAGCAGCACTGGCAGTTGGCCCATCTCTATATCTCAGCTTGTCATATCAGCCCTACTATTAATTAATATAGGTTGTATGGTTGTATGGGCCCATCCATCCATCTTGGAAGCACAGGCACCTGGGCTCATCCCTATATCTCACCTACTCATATCGGCCCTGCCATCAGTATGGGTATATATACTATTGTATGGGCTCAATCATCCATATCGGTAGCACAATACTTATATCACATATTGGGCCCACCCCTCTCCATCTATACATCTTCATTTGGGCCCACCTCAGTTGACCCATCTCATTGAGCAGATTATCAACTTTGGGTGGCCCTATATATCGGAAAAAGTTACTGAAGGGGCTCTAGTTTGAACTTATGTATTGACAGGGCTATAGATATCACACTGAGTGAGATAAACCAATTGTTAGAGTGTTGCACCATCCTATGTGAGACAGGCAGGTTCAGGAGGGGATGTCTATCACCAGAGGCCATGGAGCCAGATATACTAATAATCACTGTCTCACACTATCAGCTACAGAGATTCTGGATATGTGTATTGATTAACATTACTGCAACTGGACCTAGCTGATCACTCACACATGGAATGCTTGCTGCATAATCACAGGATTCCTGCATGAAAAGAGATGTCCGACATTGGAAACATATCCTAAACCGACTTGGGCATGGTTGGGATCCATCAGTGGGTGAAATAAAGGTAAGGAGCAATAGGATGGTTGAGGAGCATTGGCTGCAGCAGTGTGCTCGGGGCCTGGCACAATAGTAAATCACCAATAGGACAAGCACAGATGAACCATACCGCTACACATTGAGTCACTTACAAGAATATGAATTCAGTTATGTTATCATACTTTAGTATTTGATACGCACCACTTGGCAAAATCTGCTTGGTTGTCCCAAGAATTGGGGGCTTTGAAGCCTGTGTACCATGTATCACAGCCCAGGGATGATAGTCATAAAATCACCCACCAGCCTGCCGCCAAAAGAGATTGTGCATCATGAAGTCCTTGACACATTCTCAGTTAGGCTTAGGGAGGCTACAATATCTTGATCTCACGAATTCACTGATGGTGTCGCAGCACCTTGTTGTGGGCGTTGCAGTCATTGCAGGCACCATATTGGAGCACTTCCCCACCTTTTTTCCATATTTGGGGAGTGCTCCGATATGGTGCCCATGATGACTGTGATGCCTGCGACATGGTGCTGCAACACTAGTATACTTACTTGCTGAAAATAAACTCAAGCTGTATAATACATGGTCCTTCAGCAGTTATTTTGCACATCATAGTATTGCAGACTTGCATTGGAATAAATACCTCAATGGTGGATTTGTGTATCACACAAGTTTGAAATCTGGGACTTGGAAGTTGGAACACACTGTAGATAAGTTAGTCTCCACTAACACAGTTCAAGACAGCGATAACCAAGCGAGTTTATATTCATCATGTAAAGTCCTTCAAGGCAGTGATGCAGCATCCATAGCATGTGGCCACCAACAAGCAAGTATATTTTGCTCGTGTGTTCATTTGCTGCTCTACTACTACTTAGCAGCGTAGTACTATAGTGTAGACTGTATAGCATAAATTTGGAACATTGCGGCAGATGCTGCACAGCAGTGGCACAGCATTTTCCTAGTGCCCCTCCAGCATGTGATAGTGACTCAAACCATAGTATGCATGAGACAAAACTTGGAGAGCATAAAATACAGTGAGTCCTTCCTTCCTGTGGTTGAATAGTACTGCTCATCCGTTGAAGCTACTACCCTGTTTGGGACTTCCATGGGTTGCCTATTGAAAATAAGGCTCTGCAGGAGTCAAAGGTGTGTAGTTATTTTCCTAGTGATGTTGTGTTGAATGAATATGAAATTCAGATGAATGCTCTTTTGTTACCGCCCAATGTCATACATGCAGCAGCCAAAGCAATGGCAGAACACGAAATGAAGATGCAGCAGAAGGAATTCGAGCAGTTTTGCATAATGGCCGATTAGTGGTGCCCAAAAATGACCTTCTGTACACTTGGTATGACTTGAGATTGATCTATGGCTACATTTTGACTTACAGACCTCTTCCTAAACACCGTGACTATGAAGTTCATCAGCTTCAGGTATTTCAACAAATGGTTGACCAAGGTACATGATTTCTTACATCCTGTCATCCAACTCTATTATTTATAGCCTATACCACGTAGGTCTTATTTACCAGCACTACTGACCAGTACATCCCTCTCCCTCATCACATTCCACTCTTGCAGAAGTGGCAGTCATCTATAACAATGATCATGTCTCATATTCAGCCTATGTGATATTTATGTTGGACTCACAGACCACAGTCATGAGCACTGCTCTCCGAGAAGTCTTGGCCAAGGATCCTTTGGCAAATTTTCCAGTATGAACCACTACATCTTGGACTCTAACAGCAAACATGGTATGTATGGGTTTCATTGATTTTAACATCCTCACAGATATCCTTCATTAGGGCATTGTCATTCATCTTTCAAGAAGGATGCTCTTGTTGTTGCTAAAGATCATCTTCTTGCACTAGAGCACATCATCGGACCCCACAAAGTTATTGCTGAAATCAAGGGGCACAGATCTGGTGGGCACACAATTATGCTCCATTTTCTTGTCTGCTTTAATGAACGCAAAGATCATTGTGGCATCTCATGTTCACATTGGAGTCTGGATCTGGTCTGGTGCACTGCGCTCATGCACATAGCTACCTGGCATTCTGAGTGCTAGGCCTTCTGCAAGGCCCCACAGATATCATATGTCATGTTGATGATGCTGGCAAATTTTCTCTCGGTGTTGCTCATGTCGTAGGCGAAGAAGCTGTGCAAACACTAGTATGTCAAGAGGTACTCAAGGGTGGAAACAAGGCTATTGTCAGACTACTGGAGTCCATTGGGTCCCTTGTGAGAGTGCAGAAGATCAAGCATCGCTATCCATATGATTAGAAGACTGGTGAGCCTATCATTGTAACATAAGTTGCGAGTAGCGTGAGAGGCACACCTTAGTGCTTACATAGTCTGACAGGGCCACCTCGCAGTGGTTTGCCAACCTGGACAGCATCAAGGATAATGTACTCCATGCGCTGAAGGATGTACAGTTCTATCTGTCATCATGATCATGTATGTCCCCATTCTGTCTTTGGGATTATACTCTGAGTTTTTTCGATCCCAGCTCGCAATCTACTGGAGTCATTCATTCACTCGTGTTCTGAATGGTGCATTTCTCGCCAGTGAGTGTGGGGTGTCCCAATTCCGGCTATATACCACTGGTAGCCCATACAGGTTGGCACAACCATAGTTTGGACCTGAGAATGGTGAAACTTTCTTCTGTTTTTGCGGTCTTTCCTCATTCATTCTTGTCTTTTCAGGTGTGATCGCTGTGGCTACTATTGTACATTGCTGCTCGGTAAGTACATCTAGTGCACCTCAGCAGTCATGTTTCATGAACCATTACATCAGGTCATTTGCAGCAAGAGCATGAAACAAGACATGAATCCATGTCCTCGTCACGATGGGCAGTTGATGGCCCAGATGACAAGGGTCTTGAGGTCGATGACCGTTGCTTCTCATCAAATGATGAGGGTGCACCGACAATGTGCAACCTTGTCTGTTAGGCGTTGGGTAGACACATCCACATTGACTACTGTCACACCTCAAATGCTGCCGCTTGCACAGGGAATAACGAGGTTCAACATATCCCTAAGCCTAACCAAGAATGTGCCAAGGACTTCATGATGCACAATCTCTTCTGGCGGCAGGCTGGTGGGTGATTTTATGACTATCATCCCTGGGCTGTGATACATGGTACACAGGCTTCAAAGCCCCCAATTCTTGGGACAACCAAGCAGATTTTGCCAAGTGGTGCGTATCAAATACTAAAGTATGATAACATAACTGAATTCATATTCTTGTAAGTGACTCAATGTGTAGCGGTATGGTTCATCTGTGCTTGTCCTATTAACGATTTACTATTGTGCCAGGCCCTGAGCACACTGCTGCAGCCAATGCTCCTCAGCCATCCTATTGCTCCTTACTTTTATTTCACCTGCCAATGGATCCTAACCATGCCCAAGTCGGTTTAGGATATGTTTCCAATGACGGACATATCTTTTCATACAGGAATCCCATGATTATGCAGCAAGCATTCCATGTGTGAGTGATCAGCTAGGTCCAGTTGCAGTGATGTTAATCAATACACATATCCAGAATCTCTGTAGCTGATAGTGTGAGACAATGATTATTAATATATCCGGCTCCATGGCCTTTGGTGATAGACATCCCCTCCTGAACCCGCCTGTCTCAGACAGGATAGTGTAACACTCTAACAATTGGTTTATCTCACTCAGTGTGATATCTATGGCCCTGTCAATACATAAGTTCAAACTAAGAGTGTGAACAATCATTGCATGCCTGGTAAGATGCTTGAAGTTCTTGCAAAGCAGAGTGACACGTTGAAAAATAGTATATGCACATCCCCAATGAAGTGAATGAGAAACTTGAGTGTGACCTGTGCTGTGTCTTCATCGCTCTCAGTGGCCAAGCCTGCTTTACGCAGGTCCAAAATCTGACCTGCACTAGAGACACAACAACAACAGGTAGCTTGTTCTGTATGTATTGGTAGTAGTAATGTATCTAAATGAGTGCAATGAGTGGTGTAGTAATGACAGCTCTCGCTGCTAACAAACCATTGACTAGGATTAAGGGGAAGGTTATGGAAATAATCGATCAAGAAAAACATTGATGAAATGAATAAATACCAATCCAGGGTGCAGATAGGCAGTGCAAATCCATCAAATATCAGCTATTCTGCCCTCTAAAGTTGCATATAACCTTGCACAAAGTTCCTCATTTTCAGTTTCTCACTCCAGCTGCAATAACCAGTACCATCAACTGACAAGGACTATATTCTTTGATACCTAATCGCTCACCATTGCTTGGCAAAGTTGAGCATTTTCGGCTTCTTGTTGCAGCTGCAAAGACCAGCACCATCAACCAACAAAGATCATATCGGTCGAAGAGCATGGTGGACGGCGAAACATAACATACCGCTCACTTTACAGCCAAATCTTCTCCTGGGTTGATTGTCATTTCCACAGCAATGGAATTCTTGCTCCCATTTTCCGTACTCATTGTTTCAAGAGAGACACAAGTTAGGGCATCGACAAATTCATCACATGCAAATTCATAACTGGCCAATGCATCAATGCCACTGCCGGTTATGATCAAGAGCAAACACACCCATCCATGATAGCCCAATGTTCCAGTGAAATCAGCTCGAGCATTGAGCAGTCGGCATAAGTGAAAGAAATGCCATTTCCTGAATGATTGTCAGATAAGGATGCCTCGGACATGAGACCAGAACACAAACCATCAGGCTCCCAAATAATGCTGCTGTCTTCATTGTAGGAAGCAAACCAAGCCCTGTAATGAGAAAGCGGCCACTAACAACAAAGTCAAATGTTCGAATACAACATTAGAGTATGTGGGAGATCGAGGAACACTGCAGTACGGTAGACAACTGTCAAGTTGGACTTCTAGAGCCCATTCAAGCAGTGTGTTAAGACCATGCACAAAGAGTAGGACTGATTCCAAAGGGCTTGGCTTCAGCTCATGCGCTGTGCCCCTTACCTGAGTATGTGCCCTTAATTGCAGATGACATCCGGAGGAAGTCCAAGGAAGTCCGTAGGACTTCCAAAGGAGCGTGGAAAAGTCTGGAAGGACTGTCCAGATCCGGATGAGTGCGAGAAACTTCCGGAAATTACTATGAGGTTTCGTCCTGGTACAGATATGTGTAATGGCTACTCAGGATTCATCCTGAGTAGAATGGATACAGAGGAAAGGCTGCAGGGACAAAGTCTGAAGCAGAATAGGTCCGGAGGACTGCAGGAAAGTTCCAGAGGAACTTTCGGAAACTTGGAGGATTGGAGGAGCGGAGGAGTGGAGCTCTGGCCTAGGTCCTCTTCGTCCTCTTCGTCCTCTTTATCTTCATCCTCGTCCTCTTCTTCATCCGATTCATCGTCCTCTTCCTCCAACACTGCGTCAAGATGTTGCAGGATGCGGTCTCTGATCTTCAATAGTCCGTGGCTGATTATACTTTGTACAGCTTCAAGGCCGTCTTCATCTCTTTGAGGACTTAATTTCTGTTCTCAATGTGAGGTCATATTACACTTGAAACCGGAGCCGAAACTCACTGCTTTTGCAAAATGTGTAGAACTTTTATCCAGTAAGTTGAATCGTCCGTCATCACGACGAAGCCACACCTTAATTGTAACGGTGAGTGGCAATACCCAAGTGTGCTTGAACCCCGTTACTTCGCCAAAGAGAGGGTTGTCGCGTTTACAAAGCCACTTGCAATAGTGGGTTACCTCGTTCCCAGTCTTCCGTTCGATCTCCTTAGAAACTGTCAAGGATGGTAATGGCGGGCAACAGTGTCCCTTTTCTGAAATGGATAGTAATGTGACGACATGGATATCTTGGTTTAGATTGATGGCATGTTGCAGTTTTGTGATAGCATCATATTCCAATTGGGAAAAAGTGACCTCTGTATCCCAGAGCTGTAAACGGCCACCGTCAACATCATGGAACTCCAAGAGCACATCTGGAATGCTGAGGGGTTTCTCCATGGACCCGCCTTCCCCATCTCCCCTGAGCGTAGTGTTCATCTGTGTGATGAAGGCGCCGAAAGAAAGGTCGATGTCCATTGTCGCAAGTGCATCATCAATGGAGATACGCAGAGGCGCGAGAACATTCTTGTGAATGGAGGTAGGCAGCTTTACAAGGAGTACTGGGATGATAGGGTGGATGATAATCTGTGGGAAAGAACTGAAGATGACTATTGAATTAACATGTATTGCTTACTTGTAGTGTCGATTTTCATCTTCGGTAATCGCACCCGTGATAAAATCGTAATCTCCATCTTAAATGTCAGAGAAGCACTGCTGAAAAATGTGTTAGTTTATCATGGGAGACCTCGGTCCAGGTATCGGAACTCACAGTCCCGCTACTTAGTATAGTACAAATTGCATGTAAGAAACCAACCATCTGCTTTGTTTGGAATGTTTCATGCCTTGGCTCTGGCTCCTTCAGCCGCAAACAAGGCGCAATGTAAGATGATCGTGGGCAAACTTGCCATTCAGGGCAATGCCATGTTGATGATCTTGTGCAATCATCCTGTACAGGCCAACTACTAGTCGCAAAACTATGCCAACTCTGCCCTGTATATAGTGTCCGGCCCATAGATATGTTTCAGCCAGTGATGTTTCTCTAGTAATGCAGACTTTTGAAATTGATATAATCATTATCCACTTGTGCGTTGCATTGATGGTGGTAATACAAAGTGCTACATATGTGGCTGGTGTATCTTCTTTGGCGCCGTAGGTTGACTGCCAACACCTAAAGGTGGCCACTGATGGCCTTGGGTTCATACCTGTAAAGGTGTCATCAGTCTCATGTCGAGTAATCAAGCGAACAGAATACACATGGCTCCTCCAGGTACTCCTGCAACTCTGTATAGAACTGATACCAACGATAGGGCTTGACACCTTTGATGCAACCCAAGCCAGCGCAATCTGGCTCATCTTGCAGTTTTTCTTCTTGGACAGCTCTTCCACACGGTTGATGATAGTCAGGTCCGTGTTACGCACTCAAATAGATCTGTTAGGCGGAGCCCTAAGAGGGGCGTCGTCCGCTAACGTTCGTGACGTAACCGGAAGGATCCGGTATAGCAAGTGAGACTGGCAATGGCGAGTCGGCAGTGATCACAGTACGCGCGTGTCACGTGACTTCTAAGACGGATGTCTTTGAAGTAGCTCAAGGTAAGGACAGTCTTGTCCGAATGATGAGGTTGATCGAGGTAGACTTAGTCGCGATGAGCGACTAAGAAAAGATACTAGAGACTGAAGCCAAAGGGGCGTTCAGAGAGAAGTATGTTCCAGGGAAGATTGAGTAGATTCAAGTTAGAGAATCTAGTACAGGGTGACCGACTACTTATACTAAGTGGAGAGGGTTAAGGGCAAGGCTACCGCACAGTAGGTAAGGGTAAAGGGGAAACGAGAATGGTATAGGTGCATTGGCAACAGAGCCGGATTAGTGATGGGTGGCCGAATGTGGAATGAGACCGAGAAACGTTGGAACGGACCAACGGTAAGAATACAACATGCGGGAATCCGCAGTCAGAAGAAACAGAAAGAGGAAAGCCACATTGGTGGCACGAGTCAGACCGAGTCATAGGTGCGGGACCACATTGGTGGTCGAATCAGGGGAGGAACGTGCATGCACGTGCATAGAGGCGGGCGATGCGAGGGACGGGGATGGTCCCGAGGATCCGGTCAACGGAAAGTCGGTAAAGGAGGACGAGCCGGTAGATGGTGAGGGCGAGGATGAAGGGAAAATGATAGGGGGGCCACGTGACCGATGTTACTTGTAACAGTCCGCACTGATCACCTTTCTCTCCAAAACAGACCCCTTGGTAGAATTATGACGCATTGACTCTGTGCCAATGGGACGTGCAAGGAGACCATAATATAGAGGAGCATAAGGGATGACACCGATACTGTTGTATTTGTAATAAGTGAGCATCTCGCATTCCTAGATGTGATGCTAAACTGGAGAGCAAACATTGTAATTTTTAGGGACACACCTCCTCGCGGTAGAGTAGCGAGTACTCATCCTGCATGCTGATAAACATGGTCCAACTATTGCGAGCTGCCATGTCATTCAACATGGCAAACTAAGCAATGCATGGAACTGGCACTGATATAACGGACTTTACCGTTCTGCATGAGGTCATGAAGTGCTTTCATGGTTTCCTAGGTGACTGAAGGGTCGAAGCGGTGGATCTGCAAGAGATCAATGTATGGAGTTTCGAGACAAGCGAGGGACACATCAACAGCATTGAAGATTGCAGCGCGAGACAGGCCAGATTGGTTGATGTACTCAGGCATGAAGAACAACAGAATGGAAGGATCGTTTGCGACAAGGCCATAGCATTTGGTGGCGATAATGATCTGGGAACAAGGGATGCTGTACTATGGAGTTCGTACATTAATGAATGTAAATTTAGGACATCGGTAAGGCACACCTTTTTAATGAACTTGGCAATGAGGCGCTCCAACTCACTGTGTGAGTAAATGTTACCAGTGTCGATGGTGTTGATACCAAGATCCCAAGCAGCCTTCATTATTTCAATAGAGGGCTCCTCATCAAGGACCCAGGGCTGTAAGATATTGAGGATGTGGTAAATGAGTCGGGGATAGGAAACGATGACATACAGCCCATTTCGCGGAACCGAAGCTCATCGCACCAAGCTATGAAGAATGAATATTAATATTAATAGAAGGTGAATGCTATACGCTAGCATCAAACTCACAATTGGGACAGAGACTCTGAGACCAGACTTTCAAGGGGAGCAATACTGAACTGTAGTAGACAATGAATATAATGATACGAGTTTCGCAGATTGGCTAATTCGGGCCTGGTGGAATGCTTGCAGGAAGTGCCTCACCTAAGAGTAACATATTGTGATCGCTTCTAATTGACTTGGATAAAGGAACGTACCTGACCAAGGACCACCCCCTCAGCCCCACGATCATCCGCTGGCACCATTGCACCGCGAAGCCCACAATGCATTGAAAAGGTAAGGAAGCTGGGTAGATCGAGTTGCGCATGCTGTTCAGAACAATGTCTGATAACGATTGCCACTGGCTTGTTTGAGAGGTCCACAGTAGAAGATAGGATATCCAAGAGTTCTTCTTGAAGTGAGATGGTACCTGCTGGTGGTTTCGGCGCTCTGGATATGAACCAAAAGGTATGGAAGCACAATGAGCGATAAGACAGAGAGGGTCTACCTTATTATGATAAGTTTGAACTCATGATTAATGCTTGACTGTAGGTTGGCATACCGATTTGGAGACAGCTTGGTTGACAAGCAAGTGCTTGCACATCGCGTTGAACATAGGGAGTACTTGAGGACAAAGGGATTGGTTGATTGAGGCTGGATTGTTGAGTTTGCGGATATACCCCATAGCTTTGCTTTCGTATTGCCATCGACTGTGTTGAAGAGACAGTGAGATTGTGTAATGAACAATATGTGTGCACAAACTCACGGCAGAGAATGCTCAGGGTAAAGTGGAGCGTGCACATGGCGTCGACACCATATTGGAAATCGCTCTGTCCTTATAATATGTAGACAAGTGATGGAAGAAAAGGATGAAAAGACTCAAGAGTCTGCTGAATGATCTTTCCAACGATACTGCACATTCATTCAATTTTGCCAAGACTGTAGTCTTGAGTCATAAGGTGGTGGACTTCAGCCAATTTCTTAAGACTAAGGATTGATTGGTCACGATCTGTTTGAGCGACGATAATCTACACACAACCATGACTTCTGAGCAGGAGACAGAATTTTGGGAAAGACTGAACGTACTTTGGATGCAGCAGATAGCACACCCTGTGCCATTTTTGCATATGGATATACCTATACAACCTGATTAGTTCGCTACCCATCAACTACAATGGCCCATACATCAATGATCTTTAGGGGTTGTAGATATGTCGTCTCGAAATCATCCATGGCAGCGAGATTTGCTGAAGTATTGCTGGTGGGCAGACTCTGCAAAAGTGGCACGTCCCCCGAGTAGCTCCATGTTTTCCATGCCCTCACAGGCACGCTGAAGTTCAGTGTCAACTAATCGGGGATCAGAACCTTCCTTCATGCCAGAAAGAACAGCTTGAACCTGCACAGAATTCAGAAGGAGGAAAAAGGCAAAAACACCTGGTACTCCAGGCAGCCCTTGATTCACAGAGTCACTGAGAATCTCAGATGGTGGTATGCAACGCATCCTGGGTGCCTCTTAGGGAATTGAATGACTGGGGACGACGAGTTCGAGCACCTACCTCAACTTTGGGGGTTCGATGTTCTAGACCGCAGTGGTGTGGCTGCATGTCTGCTTGAAGGGTCTCCGCATGATCTCAGCCACATCTGGGACAATCGGCATTCATATCTATACGTCAGGAAGATTCCATTTTTCAATTTCCGCAAGGACTGACCAACTACTCTAAGAGGTCCGGCGCTCTGGGCGAAAAATATATGAGGGCTACGATGAATTACAAGAGATCAGGTACCCAGCTTTCATGAGCATTTGCTTGGCTGGATCATAGGCTCCTGGAGGAGGATTAGGCTTATGGTCTTCACTCATTGCGAGTAGTCGTAGATTTGGCTTGGTGTGAGAGAAACAGTGGGATACACTGTGAGAGAGCCCCTTCAGTGACCTAACCCTGTAAACATGGTCAGCCCACCTTGACATTTTCCCCATGTGACATGGGCCAGCCCACCATGGGCCCACTTTATCATTGTATGTCAATGGCTTTGGGTGGGCCTGCATGCACTGTGTATCCAATGGTTATGGGTGGGCCCACAGCGCATATTCTTCGACACTTTGGAGTGGGCTCATGCTGAAGTCTATTGTATGTATAGGTGGGCCCATGGAACAGCAAAAAAAGTATGTGTTAACAATTTCAAGTGGGCCCAAATAGCTGGTACTGTTTATATATGATTAGGCCTGGATCATGTATTTGCATGACCAGGTGGGCCCACATAGTGATCCGCCGTGATGTGCGCCGGCGAGGGGATAGCTATGAGACTACCCTCACTGGAGATCATCACATTCCGCCAGGATTCCAACATTTCATGGCTAATTCTTTGTGTTACCGGTTTTCACGGTTATGAGGGATGTACAGCTGAATTTTGAGGAATGTACTTAATAATAGTGGTCCGGCGTGATGTGGACTGGCGAGGGGATAGCTATGAGACTATCCTCGCCGGAGATCATCACATTCTGCTGGGATTCCAACATTTCATGGCTAATTTTTCATTTTACTGGTTGTCACCGTTATGAGTGATGTACAGCTGAATTTTGATGAATGTACTTAATAATAGTGGTCCGGCGTGATGTGGACTGGCGAGGGGATAGCTATGAGACTACCCTCGCCGGAGGTCATTACATTCCGCCGGGATTCCAACATTTCATGGCTAATTCTTTGTTTTACCGGTTTTCACTGTTATGAGTGATGTACAGCTGAATTTTGAGGAATATACTTAATAATAGTAATCCGGCGTGATATGGACCAGCGAGGGGATAGCTATGAGACTACCCTCGCCGGAGGCCATCACAGTTGGCCGAGATTCCAACATTTCATGGCTAATTCTTCGTTTTACCGGTATTTACCCCTATGAATGATTCTGGAGTAAATATTGATGTGTGTACTTAATAATAGTGCTCCGGCGTGATGTGCACCGGCGAGGGCATCACGCCGGACCACTATTATTTAGTACATTTATCAAAATTCAGCTGTAAACTGTTCATAGGGGTAAAAACCAGTAAAATGAAAAGCCAGCAATGAAATGTTGGAATCCCGGCGGAATGTGATGATCTCCGGCGAGGGTAGTCTCATAGCTATCCCCTCGCCAGTCCACATTACGCCGGACCACTATGATTAAGTATATTCCTCAAAATTCAGCTGTACATCACTCATAACAGTGAAAACTGGTAAAACAAAAAATTAGCCATGAAATGTTGGAATCCCGGCGGAATGTAATGACCTCCGGCGAGGGTAGTCTCATAGCTATCCCCTCGCCGGTCCACATCACGCCAGACCACTATTATTAAGTACAGACATCCATATTTACTCCGGAATCATTCATAGAGGTAAACACTGGTAAAATGAATAATCGGCCATGAAACATTGGAATCACAGGGGAATGTGATGACCTCCGGCGAGGATAGTCTCATAGCTATCCCCTCGCCGGTCCACATCACGCCGGACCACTATTATTAAGTACATTCATCAAAATTCAGCTGTACATCACTCATAACGGTGACAACCAGTAAAATGAAAAATTAGCCATGAAATGTTGGAATCCCAGCAGAATGTGATGATCTCCGGCGAGGATAGTCTCATAGCTATCCCCTCACCAGTCCACATCACGCCGGACCACTATTATTAAGTACATTCCTCAAAATTCAGCTGTACATCCCTCATAACCGTGAAAACCGGTAACACAAAGAATTAGCCATGAAATGTTGGAATCCTGGCGGAATGTGATGATCTCCGGTGAGGGTAGTCTCATAGCTATCCCCTCGCCGGCGCACATCACGGCGGATCACTATGTGGGCCCACCTGGTTATGCAAATACATGATCCAGGCCTAATCATATATAAACAGTACCAGCTATTTGGGCCCACTTGAAATTGTTAACACATACTTTTTTTGCTGTTCCATGGGCCCACCTATACATACAATAGACTTCAGCATGAGCCCACTCCAAAGTGTCGAAGAATATGCGCTGTGGGCCCACCCATAACCATTGGATACACAGTGCATGCAGGCCCACCCAAAGCCATTGACATACAATGATAAAGTGGGCCCATGGTGGGCTGGCCCATGTCACATGGGGAAAATGTCAAGGTGGGCTGGCCAGTAAGTATGGAAATGTGTCACTGTATTATGTGTGTGAGAAGGGAATGACAGCGATTCTGTAGTACCTTGGGCCCAAAATATCAATCGCCAAATTGTCCCTCGTGCACGAACTGATATATTTGAGGAATACCAGCTATGATACGCCTGAATTAGACTTCATATACCTGTGAGTCCAACAAATTTATACACTGCAGTCAGCCAGAATGCAGTATGAATGACACTCATCTCGGAGCATAGGCACCTCTCCTTTGTGTGGCTCCTACAGCCAAAAGAAGATGTATAAGGAACGAAGGCAGACATCATCAAAGCAGAGCACCTACAAGCTCGATGGCAACAGTCATGGACTTCAGCAGGTTCATTCCTAAGACACCATCATCAGCTCAAAGCGAAAGCCTGTTGAAAAAGGTGCAAACCTTCAAAGATAACGCCGGATGAGCTTTCCCCGATTTTCTTGCCAACATGGTAATGCTCGCCAACTACATTCGCTGTGCTAAAGTTCTGGAAAGGCCTGAGATGCAGGCGCACAGTGCAGGCTGCGAGGGCGCGAATGCAACTGTGCACCGTTGAACACAGAGTCATCATTGGAACTAACGACCTTCAACATGGCAGTCTTTGCAGCAAAAAAGCTTGCTCGCCTAGAGAGTGGGCTCTGATGATGCCACAGTTAGGTAGGGAATGACACCGCCTTATGATGCTGTCAGTGAGGTCACATTGAGTGTTTCAAAGAATATTTACTTTGCGAGGTGCAATGAAAGTGATGGGTTCAACATGAGCCCGACGCCTTGTAAGCACGGGCAACCTCACAATCTGATGCATTAAAGGTATGAGAATTTCCTGCTGGGCGTCTGAAGATTTGGTTCTGCTAGTGTGAATAGCAAGTGGCTCTCGTACCCTTTACCAGAAGTAACGATGATGTGAGAAAAGACAAGGCCTAAGCTCATGTGAAGGGCTCACCCAGGAAAAAAAATGGTGTTATATTTGAATGCCATCGATTCCAAGAGGTGCTGTTGGAGAAAATAGGATTATTAAGCCAGCTATTGTGAAGGCCACCTGAGATGGGCGCCTACCCTGGCTCAAACCCGGGAAGCTGTGTAATTTAAGTCGCATGCTCAAGACCTGTTAGATTGCACAAAGTTTGTGTTGTGGTGTGCTCCAATCGGATACCACGAATGTCATATGAAGTTGGAGGTCTAAACAAGCAGAGGGAGAAGGCAGGCAAGGTTGATTCAGATGACGGCCTTATGGAGACAAACGTCTCACCTGTCTCATTGCAGTCCGTGGTGGTATAAAACGACGTCATCTTGATCCACCAGATCAATGTCCCATGACAAGTGAGGATGGTGATCCGACTCACACAAGTTGTGGGATTTGGAAGGTGCACTGAGTATTGCAGGTGGCGTAGAGATGATGTATAAATGTGAACGTTCAGCAGTATCAGGGTTGCATCGAGATATAGTAAAAGAAGTGTCTCTAAGTATGGTGAGAGGGCGAGGGACGCCGTCACCAACACACGTACTATCATTCCGGGTAATCTGCAACATGTATGTACTAATATGCAAAATGTTCAAAACACCTCAACACACTGCTCAACTTACTTGGAAAAAATTCAGGCATATGTAGACTACTTATGTATGATGTACTGTCCAAGTAGAATGGAAATTTCTTGTGCATTGCAGCTGCGAGAGATGAAATAGTGGTAATTTGTAACCATGCAGGAACATAAATCATCCAGATCCCATAGATCCTGCAGGTATATTCACAAAGTTATACCTGGATGATCTGAGTTACTGCATGCTGGTGAACGCGTGCTTGGTCTACTGTATTCTTCGGATGAGCAGTGATTAATCTCAGCGAACATCTGAGACATCACATACTGTACAGCAAGTCACGGATGTAACCGATTTTGGTTGATACGTATAACATAGGTGACACAAACCTCCACTACTGGTGCAGCCAAGTACCTCGAAAGCACTTTGTGAGGTGTGATGGTCTCCTTGTTGACAAGTTCCACATAATCATTGACACTTTCTCCCTGCTTGGGCTGATCCCAATCAACGTTCTATTTGCACTCGGTTTAGCTTGCAAAGCCCTAGACTCGAGAGAGATTACAGCAGAGGGTGTAAAAATTGCCTGTCAAGATTTGACACGTGCACTTGTGTAATAGAAATCAATTTGGAATGAATTTCACTCTGATGCTCTTGGAAGTCCTACAATTAGGACATGAGTGAGATTTGGTGATGGAGTGGTACCAGCGGTTCCGGACGCACCCAGAGGGTCTTGAGTTTATCAAATTTGATTAGCATTAAGTACCTGGGTTGGACTCAGGTGACAACTTTCTCGTATGTATGGAATAAATGTGACCATTATGGACAAGGACTGATGCCAGCGCTGAAAGGGTGACATCAATGGTTCCTAAGTGTCAAGGGGGACGAACGGTACCTACCAAGATATTTTGCTTTGATGTTTTTCAGGCCAGCTGACCGCATGGCTCCAGCGCTAAGAACAACTTGATAGGTTCTGGAGTTAAACGCCTTCAGAAACTCTATCACTTGACCCAGCCCCATCCGTCCCCGCTGAACGTGCCCAACAACAGCTTTCCCCAGCATGATCACTTCTTCAGTGGACCAGTGCCTGAGTATGCAATGGTAAGAGTCAAGTGGTTCGATGTGACACGGAAAACTCATGTCATATCCGTCAGGGGGAACCCCCAATCAGCCAGTACACCATACCTGGGTCATGGAAGCTCACAAACACCTTTCTCATCGAGAAGTGAGCCGCACTCACGCTCCCAGTCCTTAGCGTCAAGTGGTGGATATGACCACAACTATAATCAGTTTCAGCAACCTCAATTAAATGCAGGAATGCACCCATACCGACGTGCTTTTCTTTTCCAGGACCAACCTGGAGATATGCAGCAGTACACAGATAGCTCCTGGCAAAGTCGCATACCTGAAGGTATACATCAGTTTTATGACCAAGTCACGATGACAACCGACACAACTCACGAGATGCGCATCTCTTTGCTTGGTCATGTGAGCATGTTCCTACTACACAAAATTTATGAGACTACAGAACCAGGCTTGTGATGCTTAAATGTTGGGTTTTCACTATGGTCTCTATGTTTGTAGTTTGTTTTGTAAGTAGTGATGATATATAGACAAAATAAAAATATGTACCTTGATTGAGGTGACAAGTTGATAGGAAGGGTGTATAAAATAAGGTTTTGAGTGAATGGAACTCCACCGGAGGTACCCGAAGCGGCCAACTTAGTGGCAAATTCCGTCGGAGCTTCAACTGACTCGAATTCATTACTTAGGCAGCCAATTCCCCGTTTCTCAATTCTCTTTTTCCCCTACATGCGAGCTCTGTAGACTTGTAGTACTTTAGTAGTTTTGTATTATTGCTGTAAGATTCACTCAAAGGTACATTTACGTGCTGAACGAGGTTGTCTAGTTTGCCTTGTTATTGCACAGAGCATAATGCTATTGTCCACATCCGCGCGTGGTGCAGGATCCATTGTTTGACAACGGTTCATGTTGTTGCATTGTGGTGTTTGCATTAACCAACCAACCACTGTGGGAAACGACCACAAAGTGGCATTCACTACAAATAGGGCAAGGACTTCTCTTTCTGATTTCTCTCTCTCGACTAATTTAGTTTAGTTAGTTAGTGTGGACACTCATAGTGTTTGATAATATTAGAAACGACCTAGGCAAAAAAGACTAGGGTATACCTACACAATTAATATTGAATTCAGAGTTACAGTAGTAGCAAGCCGACCCCACTCATCGGATCAATGTCCAAACAAGCAGCGACTCCCACAATCGCTCCAGAAGCGCACATCAAGCGCACCAAATACATCGATGCAAGAAAGTACCTCGATACAGAGGCAGACATTGATCTGGAGGGCGGGGAAACCGAGGGTATAGAGGATGAAGATGGTAAGTCGTTGTATATTGTCTCCATTTCCAGTGGAGGCCTCATCTTCCTGTGCAAAAGACTGCTCTTCTATAAATGACCATGATTCTGAGGATGGTCACACTGCAGCAGCATGGGATATCCTAGAGGAGTACCTCACCTTGGAGATGAACTTTTCTCAAATGGAAGCCAAACTTGTCTCACACCTGGGCTCTCAATATCATGAAGAGGACTGGACAGAAGCAACACGTGCATTATTCTCGGCCGATGAAGACAATACCCAGGCTTTGGCAAATCTTCATGCCATCAAAGCTCGGCACATCTTGCCAGCGAAAGTTGCGACGCACTTGAGGGGGTCAATCCATCAATCTGCATGTGCTTGGTTCGACAAGGTAGCAGATATCGAGAGGAGGTTTACCTCAAGCTGTGGACCATCAGAAGTTGACGCTTCGTCACAACCAGTCCCTTCCTCCAGTGAGATCACACACCAGATGATCAAGCGGTTCATTCAAGATAAAATCAGTTCTAGCCATGCATACTACCTTCTGGAGGTAGAATTCACAGACAACCCGACATTGTTAGCTCACTGGGAGTCAGTATTGGATGTGATCGTGGATGCTGTTACTCATGAGGCAAGGCTTCAAATATTTGACACGCAGGCATTCCATGTAGTCGAAAATATTTCAAGCGCAGCATCTGCAGCAGTCTCAGACCAATCTTCTAGAGGAATAGCAGTATTCGAAAAGCCAGTGTCAAGTATGCAAGATGACAAGCTGCCATCAGTGCATGACCTCCTGACATGGCTCATCACCATGCCCTGTAAGTAAATATCTCCTATCAATTTATTATATCTAACACCAATTTTTAGTTTCGAAAACATCTTTTTTAGCCGCACAGTTGAAAAGCAAGGATTTCGAGGTCTACACCCATTCAATGCTCCCAGGCCATCTATGCATCAAGGCTGAAAATACTGTCATCATAAGGAAGGCATGGCCTTCCACTCACACAAACTGCTTTTTCAGCGTTATTTTTATTCCTCGGGAGGATCAGATCCCTAGCAAACGCAACTTGACAATCCCTGGCTAGTATCGCCCCATATGTGGTCAATATCGGCATGACGTAGGATACGCATATTCGTATGATCCGCAAACTGATATCATCATGCTGTTAGTCGCATCCAGGGAGGTACCAGGGCGGGAAGTCGGGAAAGACCCCCACATGCCGCACCTATACAATCATCCTAACAACATCTCAAGCTCTGCGGGTCGCAACAAGACCTACCTCCATGGTCTTCTGGCGCTCAAACTGAACAGAAATGCAGTTGTTGAGATTCCAATTCCCGCTCCAGAGAGCATTGTACTTCACCAGGAGTCGAGATGCAATCCCGCATTTGTGCAATCTGCATTGCATGTGTATGCCACACAACATTGGATAGAAGGTGATTTAGTGAGAGTTAGGGCGGGGGAGATGTTTGGCTGCACCGTGAAGATTCAATGTGTTGACATGTGCACCCGATCGGCATCAGCGTACATGGAGGAATCGGTGCATATTAAGAAAATCTCACATGAACCAATCATGTTTGCCATATCTGATCTTGAAAGGAAATTCTGTGTGGGGGACAGCGTTCGTGTACTCGACAGCAGTTCACTGACTTCACAACTCAAAGGAAAAACTGAATGGTTGTTCAAGTCGACGAGAATATGGTTGATGTACTCGACCAGTCATCCGAATTCGAAGTAAGTGATTCATCAACTATCGTATCATCACAACTAACATTTATATCAGTTCACTGTTGCAATCGATTCGTTGGCGACGTTCGTTGGGGACATTAGCAGATGAGTTTTTGCAAATGTATCACATGACCATGACACCCCAATGAAAGGTGATCACGTTGTTGTAACCGAGGGCTTCTATGTGCGTGAATTCGGGGTGATCTCCAAGGTGGATACAAAGACCCAGACACTTGCATTCTTCTTGGATTCGCTACATCAACACATCTGGGTCCCAATAAGGATGATGGCCTTCAATCCCAACCCGACCGCCCTTCGACATACTCATGAGCGTGGATATGACGTCGTAGCTGGTGATATCATTCAAGCCGTCAGAGGTGACCCACTCTGTGCATCGGGGACGGTGCTGCGAGTGAATCTGGATGATAAAACATTAACATTCAAAGACATGAGATTAAAAAAGGTTAGTTCTCATTGATTTTATTAATCCAAGTTTGATAATAATGATCATAGATCATCACCACCTCCATAATGCATGTCGCAAGAATTGGTGGGCGGGCGGATCGTGATCCCATGCAGCACTTTCTTGGCAAGGAGGTTTTCATTATTCAGGGCCCTATGAAATCCTTCTGAGGGACCTTGCATTCGCTCTCGCAAGACACATGCATGGTTGTAGTTCAAGGTTGGTAGCAAGAATTATCGTGAGCTCACGTTGTCAGGTCAGAGAACACTTTGCTTACTTCAATTTGTTCGCTAATCACGCATACATGCAGCTGGAAGGGTGTTCTCCTCACTGGTGTTTACTTGCCTCTGCGTCAGCTAAGGGAATTTCTCAGATTAGCTCGAGGTTCCTTCATCCAGCCCCCGCATATCACACCACCTCAAACTCCTTGTCACTCTCCTCCTCCTTCTCCTGATATCTCACGTGTCGATCAGACCATTCCTGCTGTAGAAGTATTGGTGTGGAATGCCCCCATCGACTCGTCGGTGATAGATCGGTATCCATTATCCACAGGGCTCCACAATGACCGGTCTAACGCTTGGTCATTTAATGAGGCTGACAGGGAAGAACGCCAATTGCATCCTCCCAGTGCGAGTGCGTCCTCTTCTAGTATGCTTCATTTTATTTCATGTTTTGTCTGTAGTCACTCATCAATTGCAGCAGACAATCTCACTGCAATTTTACACGATCCCCTGATTGCTGAGTTGTGTTATAATTGGCACATGAAAATGCGTATAGCCAACCCATCATCTGATTGGGGATCTTACCTTAACCGGATCATTGACACTGTTGCCCCGGACCCATTTCTCCTACAGAAAGGACCAGTGAAAGATGGTGAAATCCCCATCAGGTATTCCTCTAGAGCAAAAAATAAGGGGATGAAGGAGGATCCGATTCCCATTAAATATATTTTACCGGAACCACCAACAGGAAAAGACAAGAAGTTCACTTTGATATGAGGCGACCTTATGGGGAGCATTCACACAATGATGTCTGCCAGGAAGGACCAGGAAGATAGAATCACAATGGAAGGGAAGAAATTTGCTCGTGCTGATACATGTGTGATTATCAACAAAAATTAGACAATGCAATGTTCCCTATCAATTAGCTAGCCTCATGACACTGTAGATAGTAGTTTTAGTGGGTGAAATCATATGATAATGGCGAGTATTGGGTGCCCTGTTTACTTCACTCGCTCTTGCCATTGATATCACGAAACTGGAAGGCATTGATCTCAAAAGCCCTGGCAGTGAAGGCCTTAACACGTATCTCACATCCTCAGCGGTATCTGTTACAGGCATCTGTAACACCTACTAGAGCCCCAGCTCTGCCTACGCCTGCCCCCGCTCTGCTAGACTCCCCGCGCGGCGGTGCGCCGCCCGCGCCTAGAAAGACAGTGGTCTGGACCGCTGTGACCCCGCTGTAGAGACTCATGCCTCTCATTGTGCAATATGGCAGTTTTCACTGGGGAGTACATGGCACGAACTTGTAGCATCACTCTGTGTGCTACCTGCAGCTATCTCTATATGAGGCGCAGCTTTCCCGCGCAACGCGCACCATGCGCGCGTACCTTTCCCGCACTTCACGATGTATATGCGCGCGCGCTTTCCTGCGCTGTAGCGCCCTATAGCGCCAGCCATCCAGAAGCATCCATCCACTGTCCACCAAGTTCCCTAGTGCGTATATTTCCATTTCTCACATTTGCATATCGTTCCATCTTTATTTTTATCATGGACCCTTACTTACATATATCTTTACATACCTTACTCGGTAGCGCTTCGGCTCCGCATGACAGCGCTTAGGCGCCATACTTAAGCGCCAGCAGTACATACTTACTAAAAAACTTACTCTCCCACCAGAACGACAGAGGACTTACTGGTTACTACCCACTATTTACCTAGCAGAACATAGTAGAAATCTATTTGTTTACTCCTTGCATCTCCCTTCTCTTGTCTTACATCATATCATCACCTAAGCAAACTCACTCTTACTCTCTCTTGTTTCCGCATACACGTGCATGCATTCCCGCACTTCGCGCATTCTCGCGCCTCGCGCGCACCTGCGCTTTCCCGCGCTTCGCATTGGCCAACCAGTAGCGCTTTCAGCGCATACCTCTAGATCCTTGCTGCACTCGCTTCCCCTTTAGGGTCGAACACACTTGTCGTCTCAAGTATAGCAGACTAGGCAACGCACGACCTTACAACAATTATAGATACAGTCAGGAGCATTGTTCGTGCCTTGCTGTATCATTGAACCTTCACCGCCCCTGGCCTAGACAGCCTTGTACCTGATCCATGGAGGCTGTACGCCTCATGGTCACCCTAGATCAGCGCATGCATACCACATGTCGCTTCATGAAGATCCGGAGCGCGCTTGGCGCTTCCTGTACCTATGCGCAGCTGCCCTTGGCGCAGCATGCTTGATCAGAGGTTAAGCCTCATGTATCTTATCTACACCTCATGCCTGGCTATCATAGATTTACGATATACTATTGATTACAGACTGAGCTAGAATACTTGTAGTACTTCCCTATAAGTAGACACAGATTATTGTACTTAGACTTTACTTTAATCTACTAGGTTCATCCCCAGAACTTGCTCATCTAAGCTTACCAGCTTCCTTGTGTGAGACCGCACTTCTAAGTCGCTCCCATACGACTTAGCACGTATCCGCTAGCCCTGCATCTCGACGAGCGCCGTCTTACCGAGATCGCCGGAGGAATCCTTGACGTTCCGTCAAGGCTAGACCACGCTCAGCTTCAGTAGACTCACTCGAGTCGTCGCTGAGAAGACCTATCCTAGTTCGCACACGCCGACCAACGGTCAGCGTAACAGTATCTTTCCCTGCCTCGAGCAGGTTGTTACAAGTAACATCGGTCACGTGGCCCCCCTATCATTTTCCCTTCATCCTCGCCCTCACCATCTACCGGCTCGTCCTCCTTTACCGCCTTTCCGTTGATCGGATCCTCGGGACCATTCCCGTCCCTCGCATCGCCCGCCTCTATGCACGTGCACGCACGTTCCTCCTTTGATTCGACCACCAATGTGGTCCCGCACCTATGACTCGGTCTGACTCGTGCCACCAATGTGGCTTTCCTCTTTCTGTTTCCCCTAACTGCGGATTCCCGCACGTTGTATTCTTACCGTTGGTCCGTTCCAACGTTTCTCGGTCTCATTCCACATTCGACCATCCACCACTAATCCGGCTCTGATGCCAGCGCACCTATACCATTCTCGCTTCCCCTTTACCCTTACCTACTGTGCGGTAGCCTTGCCCTTAACCCTCTCCACTTAGTATAAGTAGTCGGTCACACTGTACTAGATTCCCTAACTTGAATCTACTCAATCTTCCCTGGAACATACTTCCCTCTGAAGCCCCCTCAGCTTCAGTCTCTAGTATCTTTTCTTAGTCGCTCTTCGCGGACTAAGTCTACCTTGATCGACCTCATCGTCCGGACAAGACAGTCCTGACCTTGAGTGACTTCTCAAGACATCCGTCTACGAAGTCACGTGACACGCGCGTACTGTGATCGCTGCCGACTTGTCGTCGCCAGTCTCACTTGCTATACCGGATCCTTCCGGTTACGTCACGAACGTTAGCGGACGACGCCCCTCTTAGGGCTCCGCCTAACAGATCTATTTGAGTGCGTAACACAGGTCGATCTTGATTGTTGGAACACAGCTCCAATGGATTCGTTATTATCAGCACACAACAAGAATTCAGCGATGGAGAAGTGGGTGTCTGTTAATAGTGTTCTTGATGGTTTTAGCATAGTAAGAGAGCATGCCGCAACTTCATGATGGCGGGTGGGTACAAACACTGCAGTAATAGTAAATATTCCTGCTACCTTTAGGTAGTGGGTCTTTCTGGTCAGGTTTGTTTTGCAATTATACATGGCATTGTGTTTTGGAAATTCATTGCCATCCAAATAGCCATAAGTTCTCAGTGGTTCATGCATGCTTGACCAGTATTGTGGCTATCCATTCCATACCTTCGCTTGCTTCATGCTTATCTCCTATCATTCAACACGCGAGGATGTTTTTAGTGATCGGATACTTCGAACATGCCAATGATTTAATAAGTAGCTATTCGATGCAACATGCAATGAAGGACTCTGCTAATACTACGACAGCTCGAAGGGGAGAAAACAACTATGGTGTGTTCATGTGGTCTTCCACTTCAAGTTCATGGATGTTGATTTATGCTCCAAATCATCACTCCTCAAGAAATCTAATTGTCCATGTACGAACATGTCTGTCATGACAGCCAGTAGCGAAAGCGTCTCTTACCTATATCATGGACGATCGCAATGGTGTCACGAGCCGTGCTGCAGCTCTTAATCGTTCCATGCATTTCGTCGAAAATGTGCTTGCCAAATCTATCCCTATAAAAACAGGTAACATTGACTCCCAGGGGACGAAGCAGCAGGATTAACTCACAGGTGTTCTTCGTCTCAGAGTGATGACTCATGAAATCAGTACACTCCAGCCTCTGCTGTGCTATCTTCGCATATATCGCTAGCATGGATTGAATCTTGGCCAATTCCGCCTCTTCCGTGATGAAAGTATGGACTTCAGAGTGAAAACTAGAGACAATGAGGTCCCAGTTTGCCTTATCGAGAATCATCTGTAACTGAGACTTCATCGACCTGCAATAGCAAGGATCAAGAAAGAAGCCTACCTTGGATGCGCGAGTGAAGATACTCGGTACTACCTTCGCGTAGGGATGGAACTGCGTGTGAATGTTAGTCACATACAGAAAGGAGATAAATGACTGTACATTGGCAATTTTATCGGTGATGGAGTTGAATGCCTTCAAGGGTTGAGGCAATGCAGAGAACATGTTGATTGCATCACAAACAGATGATAGGTTGTTAATCGCGGAAGAAGTATCTTGGACTATTGTTGGGACCTGCCCGATGCCTGCGACACCTTTGGTAGCATTGGCTTCACAAACTTTGGGGGTCAAGATGTTCAGCCTAAGTAGAGACATCAGCACATGGTAGAAAGAGATGAATAAAATGAACCCAAACTTTGTTGGGCCGAACTTACCTTTACAGACTGTTCGCGATTTGCCTCCTCGGAGAGTGGGAGTGGTGAGATCCTGCAGAGGCAATTAGTAGAAACCAATGGCACACGCAGTGTGAGATGCTCAGCGTTAAAGTGAATGGGTATGGAGTTTGTACTTATGTGGGAATATCCAGTTCACCATTTAAGCCCTGAATCATTGTTAGGGAATCTTTCGTTTCTTCCACCATGTACCATCACGGGCTCTGTAACATTAGTGTTCCACTTCTGAAGGAGCCTCGGTTCTATACACCTCATTCTCGACTGCGGGTGGTTGCAAGCAATGTGTGACGCGTGATCACCAATATGTGCAACGGTCGCAAAGTCGGGAACAGTTTGGCGGCCTTACGATTACTTATCATCACTGTATTACATAAATGTTACTTCTTCCTCATAAAAATTGCCGACAATAATATACGCTACAACCCAATTAGTAAACAGTCTGCATCATATGCCTTGAGGTTTGCGTCAATCACTTTTCTTTTTGAAGATCTGATTCTGCTTGCAGGTGTACGTAATTGGAAGACTTTATTGCACATCATTACCCGAAGTAGAGCTGATCACATTGCAAAGTATCCGGCTTCCTCTTGCTACAAGTAAGTTACGCCGCATACAAAGTAATACTTCTCAATAACTTGGTTCTTGCGCTAGAAGCAAATGCCCAAGTCATAACTTGATGGTCAGACTGCGAAATTTTCGTGGCATCATTGAGACTGGGGGGGGGGGGCTATGTGCGTGACGATCGCCTATCTACAGATTGCTACTTGGATCCATGGTATGGGGATTTAGAGAGGACAGATGGGTATTAAGAATGGGAGAATGGGTATTACGCATAGCCAGCACCTTGAGGCGACCATGCCTTAATCAATAATCTAACCAGTGATTGGCTATGTGGATGACTCACTTAAATAGAAAGATGTCAGGAATCAGGTATGCAGGTAGCTCCCTATGGGAGGTGTAAAGGTCATCAGGCGCTGAAGCTTCAAGGTGAGATGATCAATTAGGTCGCTGCTAGTCAGGAAATGAATTTGCACACAACAGGCCACAAGGACCAAGGGCACTCCCAACGGAGCCATGGTAGTAGAAATATCAACGGTCAAGTCAGGAAGTAACACCCTCCATACCTTCTGATTCCCACCACACCAAAATAAAAAAAACTAAACCGTAAGTCTTAACATGGTGGTAGATATTGGTCATATCATACTGACTGAGAACTATATTGAATCAACATAGAATCCACTCATCATGAGCAAAACCCTTTGGAGTGCTGTTCTGATGAGCCTGGTTGCCGGGAGGAGTTGGATCTTCGATGATGAGAGCAATGCGTTGAAGTATATCTATGGGCTTGGGCCAGAGATGTTTGATGTCCCAAATTCACATCTCACTGACAAGCAGTGCCAGTCACTGGGCGCTATGATAGATGCATTGTCACACAAGGGCAGTGGTAAGGAATGTTACGAGATCCTTGAAGGCAAGGAAGTGGGTGGCTGGGCTGCCGGTCGCAACACCTTGGATAAATGGTTCAAAAAACAAAAGGTGTCAGGATTGATAGGAGAGTGGATTGACAGAGTTTGGACTATGCTAGACGTCTCACCTATGCAACTGATTCATGAGGGGTTGGAGGAGGGTGAGGAGTTCCCCAACATCCTTGATGCCAAGCGCGCGAAAGAAGACGTGATCCTTGTGATCTTGGGAGACCATGCGTTGGAAAAGAATGCACGTGGTGACTTTCACGATGCAACAGCAACTATCATTCATCATGCGTGGGAACGGCACCGCAAAAGGTTCAAGCATGCTGAGAGATCATTGCCAAAGAAGAAACTGGATGCCGCTGTGGCTGTCAAAGGTATGAACATGAACTCCCTCACCGTGCAAGATAAACTGACACAGTGAGATAGCCATTGAGGACGCTGAAGTTGTTACTACAAGGATGATGCGTGAGGTGACAAAACATGTCAAAGCACTTCAACAAGCAATGACTTGGTTCCCGAAGCAAAAAGATCACATTACCGAGTATGAGAAGTTCTTGAAGGAGGTCATTATCACTGCTGTTGTGACAGAGAGGAAGGTGCCGAAGGAGAAGGTGGCTGTGGAAAGTGAGGACACTCCAAGCAGTGCGTAGTGTTGTGATCCCCTGCAAGACCCGTCCGTTGGACTGACGTGATGGGTATCGTAACATTACAGGAAAGCGAGGTGCTGCGCGTGCACAAAAGGTAAGAATAGCCTCACTTGCCGCTGCTGGTGATGTCGAAGAGATCTGGGCGCTGTATCTCCAACTCTTTGAGACTGAATTGGGCCAGTTAGAGGTTCCCCATGTCGAGGACGACGAAGATCCTAGTGGGTGGGAGGACTGGGAGAATTCAAGTGAGGATCTTGGTGTTGATGGATGGCGAGAGATGGATAACGGAACCTTGAATCACCTCCTTCAATTCCCTGGAGGGAAGCCCATGCTGTTCACTGAGTTTCGGTCGAAGAGTGGTCTCTGCGCGTGGGAGGACATGTCGAAGAAATTTGTCAAGGAGAACAACGATATGGAACAGTTGTCACTGCTGTGGCATCAGTGTGTTGGGGTCGCAGCGATTGTGGATAAGATTTGGTTATCCAACGAAACAGAAGGAGACATTCCTGGAATTCTCATCACTGATGAAGTGGGAGTAGGGAAGACGGTGAAGGTACAACAATTCAGATGGTGAGTCTGAACAATGTTGGGTCTTGCAGAACCTAGCTGCTATTCGACCCTAAAGGGTTTCTGGACCAGGCTCAAGGCTCAGAGAAGAGGAAATATGATAGAAACTTGCTGAATACTCAGACTCATAGTAGAACTGGTGAAAAGGTAACTTCCTTATGTAAGCTACAAAAGTGCAAACCTAACACTAAGGTAAAAACAGTCTCTGCAAGCCCAGCCAGAAATGAATCCCTACAACGGCACTCACGATGGGGACAATCACATTCATAATCGACGTGTACTGGGTGCAAGAAGTTGCTGCAGGAAGAGGTAGACCAGCGGGCACAACTTCCAACATTAACATTAACCTCACCCACGTGCACAACGTGCCAATTCTCAGTAAGTGTTTGTGTTACAAGTAACATCGGTCACGTGGCCCCCCTATCATTTTCCCTTCATCCTCGCCCTCACCATCTACTGGCTCGCCCTCCTTTACCGACTTTCCATTGACCGGATCCTCGGGACTGTTCCCATCCCTCGCATCGCCCGCCTCTATGCACGTGCACGCACGTTCCTCCTTTGATTCGACCACCAATGTGGTCCCGCACCTGTGACTCGGTCTGACTCGTGCCACCAATGTGGCTTTCCTCTTTCTGTTCCTTCTGACTGCGGATTCCCGCACGTTGTATTTGTACCGTTGGTCCGTTCCAACGTTTCTCGGTCTCATTCCACATTTGACCACCCATCACTAATCCGGCTCTGTTGCCAATGCACCTATACCATTTCCGTTTCCCCTTTACCCTTACCTACTGTGCGGTAGCCTTGCCCTTAACCCTCTCCACTTAGTATAAGTAGTCGGTCACCCTGTACTAGATTCTCTAACTTGAATCTACTCAATCTTCCCTGGAACATACTCCTCTCTGAACGCCCCTTTGGCTTCAGTCTCTAAGTATCTTTTCTTAGTTGCTCATCGCGACTAAGTCTACCTCAATCGACCTCATTGTATGGACAAGACAGACCTTACCTTGAGCGACTTCACAGACATCCGTCTACGAAGTCACATGACATGCGCGTACTGTGATCGCTGCCGACTCGTCGTCGCCAGTCTCACTTGCTATACCGGATCCTTCCGGTTACGTCACGAACGTTAGCAGACGACGCCCCTCTTAGGGCTCCGCCTAACAGATCTATTTGAGTGCGTAACAAAAGATTCAAGTTTCACCTCGAAGCCCCGCCATCCGCGCGGCCCCCATTGATCAACAGACACCACGACTACCTGGATCAGGAAGTACCCTTGGGAACGCGACCCCAACACTCCTGAATCCGAAACCGAAGAATCAGAAGCAGACCACACGTCCTCTGACGAGTTTCCTGACGAACAACCGTATGGCAACCTCAACTCGAACCCCAGAACAAGAATGTCTGGAGGCCCCACCCAACCAACGATTGTGACCAAGCCTGAGATCAAGGCTGGATCACCTCAGAATTTTGAAGGGAGCATCGACGATGCTGCAAGATGGCTCTACTCTGTGGAGACATACTTCCTCATCAACCCGACGATCTACAACACCGACCAAGTTAAAGTCGCTGTTGCCCTCCAATATATGACTGGAGGAGACGCACGCATCTGGGCAGACAACTTCTACCAGGAAGCCTTTTCCAAGACGCTGACGGACTTTGGCACTTTCAAAGACTTCAAAACCCAGTTCAATGCCTCCTTCCAGGCCATCGACCGACAGACCGAGGCCATGACCAAGATCCAATGCCTCGTACAGACTGGGGACGTCACGCCCTACATCGCAGCCTTCAAAACCTATGCCGTCACTGCTAGCATCAAGCAGGACATCATGCTCATCCACTTCTTCGAGCGAGGTTTAAAGGCTGGCCTTCGCACTGCTATCTACGCGAAGGAGACCGTCCCCACCACCATCGATAAGTGGTATTCTGCAGCCACTCAGCTTGAGTCCAACTACAAGCGTGGCAAGTCAGCCACTGCCAACAATCGACCACTGCGTCCCACGGGTAACCGGCACGTCCCTAGGCCTCAGGTTCAGCACCGTGACCCTAACGCCATGGACGTGGATCGCACCCTCACACTGAAGGAGAAGCAAGACTGCTTCGACCAAGGCCTTTGCTTCAAATGCCAGAAGAAAGGTCACCGAGCGAACGACTCCCGGTTCCACCCGAAGGTGCGCTGAGGAGACAAGAACGACGAAGAAGACATTGGCAAGAAGCCAAGCAAGTCTGGCGTCCGCCAGCTTGACGAGTCTTCTGACGAGGAAGACCTGGGGGTCAACCGAGTCGCAAAGAAGGATTTTTGAAACGAGGAATTGTCGAACGGTCAATTTCCTCCATCTGCACATTGTATACTAAAGCTGTTGGGAAATCCAACGAGTTTCGTGTCCCGGTGACACTATTCTCTTCTTGCAGTGCCAAAACCATTCCAACAACCGCGATCATCGACTCTGGGGCAGGTGGGACTTTCATTAGCTTTGACTTCGTCAAGCGAAATGGAATCCGAACCCACTTACTCAAGAAACCCTTCCGGATCACTACAGTGGATGGGAGCCAGTCCTCGGCAGGGCAGGTCACCCACTACTGCTGTTACAACCGCTATCTCATATTTCTACATTCTTACGATATGCCTTCCTTTCTTGAACTTGTACTTACTATCTCACGATGACTTGGTCTGTGCGCACATATGGATCTATTTAAGCACACATATTACGCTTGTATTCTTCACTTGAATCTTACTAGGTTTTACCTGGAACATCCTTCGCTTAAGACCTCCAATCTTAAGTTGTCTTGAAACCCGATTCTTAGTCAAAGCACTCCTTTGACTAAGTCCACAGAACTCTCTCTTGTCTGAGAGACTGAGAATCTCAACGACCGAAAACTCTGTCGAGTTGTCGTTGTTAGAACTATCCTAGTTCGTAACACGAGGTCATTTTCCTTCTCAACTGGGATCGTGCTTTGTTAAGGAGGAACACAGCTTAGCCGAAGGGCTACCATTTGTAAGTTCATGCGCTGTTGAGATCATTATGTTCTAACTTCTGACCTTGATTGTTCTTATTTGTTGCACCAAGGACTTTGACTGCCAACAAGCAGATAAAGACGACCACTCCGATCTTGCACTCGAGGCGGCCAAAGCAAAACGCAGAGTCTGTCAAGCCCAAAAACTTGGCAGATAGCATTCTGGAGCACCACATGATCCTTCTTAGCCTCCATTGCCATTGCGTAGAAGCCGTGAACATGCGTTTGTTGACAGCTAATCTCGATGTGGGACGCATGCACGTTGGATGGAGGAGAAATGGTGTCGCAACATTTATTGGCTCTACCACTAGCAGCGGAGTCAGGGTTGGCAGCGCAAGTATGGTCCACTAGTTTCTTTCTGGGTATCTACATACTGAGAACTCTATAGCTAACTCAATGGCCGAATCTGAGACTTGAATATATACTGTTTATATCGCGTAAATGTTAATATGTGCTTGTATAGCTTGTATGATCTGTAGTGCTTGTGGCCTTGTTTGCTCTTGTAGCCTTGTGTTACAGGGATCTGTAACACCTACTAGAGCCCCAGCTCTCCCTACGCCTGCCCCCGCTCTGCTAGACTCCCCGCGCGGCGGTGCGCCGCCTGCGCCTAGAAAGACAGCGGTCTGGACCGCTATGACCCCGCCTGGTGCTATGACCCCGCCCCCTGGCGCTATGACCCCGCCCCTGGCCTAGACGGCCTTGTACCTGTTCCATGGAGGCTGTACGCCTCATGGACACCCTAGATCAGCGCATGCATAACGCATGTCGCCTCATGTAGACCCGGAGTGCTCTCCGCGCTTCCTGTACCTATGCGCAGCTGCCCTTGGCGCAGCATGCTTGATCAGAGGTTAAGCCTCATGTTACAGACTGAGCTAGAATACTTGTAGTACTTCCCTATAAGTAGACACAGATTATTGTACTTAGACTTTACTTTAATCTACTAGGTTCATCCCCAGAACTTGCTCATCTAAGCCTACCAGCTTCCTTGTGTGAGACCGCACTTCTAAGTCGCCCCCATACGACTTAGCATGTATCCGCTAGCCCTGCATCTCGACGAGCGCCGTCTTACCGAGATCGCCGGAGGAATCCTTGACGTTCCGTCAAGGCTAGACCACGCTCAGCTTCAGTAGACTCACTCGAGTCGTCGCTGAGAAGACCTATCCTAGTTCGCACACGCCGACCGACAGTCAGCGTAACACCTTGTACCTATTTATTGCCAAATATTGATTTGCTTGTGAAACCCTGTGAAACCTGTGGGAACCTGTTATTAGTGTGGGACCTGTCACAAAATTAGCAGTTTGCTGATGAAGTTGGTCCCAGCTTATCCGAACATGCCGAGTGGAAATCCGATAGAAGTTCCGGCGCATTTCCGAGTTCAGTTGTGAGTATCCAGGAGGTTTCTTTGTCTGTTCCCTCATATCCGGCCCAATGTACTAAGTATAGTAGTTGGCAGTGACATCTCCGGCGGTCGATCTTGGAGTCCAGAATTTCGGAGATTTCGTATTCCGGTTCTCCGTCGACTAATACCGGAGGCGGAGGAGGTTGGATGCAATTAGGAATGGTGTTAGGAGTTGCGGGTTCTAACTGAGAGACATGGAATATGGGGTGCACAGATTGCATAGCGTCCGGAAGACAGATGGTGAAGGAATGAGTGCCGGGACGAGTGATGATGTCGAATGGACCGAGATTCTTTTCTGAGAGCTTCTTTGATGGTCGGGTCGAGCGGAAATATTTTGCTTTAATGAAGACCTTTTCTCCGACTTTGAAGTCCGGAGCGGGTTTCCATCTAGCGTCCGCGGGTCCTTGATATCGTGCTTGGGCATGGGACATTTCTTCTCGGAGGAATTGGTGAAGCTCATCTGAATCTATAGCATAATCCCGGGCACGGGCGGAGGAAAGATCACGCTCTGGATGTATGGAAATGTTTGGGTGATAACCCTTATTGGCGAAGAATGGTGAAACTCTGGTGGTAGCACTCGGAGCATTGTTGTATGCAAACTTGGCCAAGGGTAACAGTTCCAACCAATTATCCTGCTGATAGTTGCAGTATATCCGGAGGTATTGTTCTAGGGTTTGGTTAGCTCATTCGGTTTGTCTGTCACCTTCTGGATGATATCCGAAGGTGAAATGCAGGATCATGTCAAGTGCTTTTCCGAGCGACCGGAAGAAGTGGAATACAAATTCTGTACCGCGATCAGAGGTGACATGGGACAGAACTCCATGCTTAGAAAACACATGGAGGAGGAACAACCGGGCGAGGTCCGGACAGGTGATGGTGTTGTAGGTCGGAATGAATATGGATTGCTTGGATAGTCGATCTATGACTACCAGGATGGCGGTGAAGCCGGAGGATTCGGGGAGTTGTTCGATGAAGTCCATGGATATAGAATTCCACGGCTTCTCGGGGATGAGGAGTTGCTTCAACAATCCATATGGTTTATGCCTCGGAACTTTGGCTTGGGCGCAGGTCGTGCAAGACTTAACATAGTCCTTGACATATGCGCAGATTCTGGGCCAGGTATATTCCCGACGGAGAACTTCCAGGGTCCGGTTCTGACCGAAGTGTCCGGATAGCGGGTGGTTGTGCATATTCCGGAGTACTTGGAGACGGAGGTCATTGGATTCTGGAATGTATATATGGTTGTCACAACAGAGGAAACCACTTTCATCCACTGTCCATCTCGGGTCCGACAGACCCGGAAGATGACTAGAAGCGATAGGGTCATTAGGAAGGGCGGACAGAATGTCCTTATGAAGTTGCTCAACATCCATTAGTACAGCCGCCCGGAGCACTGGAATTGCTAGGTGTGATGCCCGGAGGGACGAAGCGAGCTGTTCTGTGGTAAATATCAGCCGGAGGTTGTGTGGATTAACTTGAGCGTAGTCCTTATCCCCCTCTTTGGGGTAGATGTCCCAACATCTAGTTAGGCAGTCGGGCTTAGCTCCGAGTTTTCCGGGTTGGAAACGGATAATGAGGTTGAACTGATGGAGGTATTCCGACCAGCGGGCCTGGCGGCAGGTGAGGAGTTTTGTCGTAGCGAAGTACTCAAGGTTCTTGTGGTCCATGACAACGTCTATCGGCTCGGCAGAGCCTTCAAGGTAGTGTCACCAGGACCGGAAAGCTTTGTAGATAGCTAGAATTTCCTTATCATGGCTGTCATAGTTGAGTTCCGGAGCTGAAAGGGTTTGGGAGTAAAAGGCAACTGGGTGGAGCTCCTGGTCCGGACATACTATAGAAAGTATTCTGGCGATAGCATAGTCGGAAGCGTCCATCTCAACGACGATAGGAACATCCAACATCCAGTGTGTGAGCACCGGAGCTGTAGTGAAGGCTTTCTTGAGAGTATCAAAGGATTTCCAGCAATCCTCGGAGAAATTCCAGGGAGCATCCTTGCGAGTGAGCCGCGTAAGCGGAACTACAATATCCGAGTAGTTAAAGATGAAGCGACAATAGAAATTGGTGAATCCGAGGAATGATTGAATATCCTTAACTTTCCGGGGTTCCGGCCAGTCACAGATAGTCTGGACTTTGTCGGAGGACATGGTAAGGCCGGCCGGAGATAGGAGGTAACCGAGGTATTCAACCAAGTCGGAATGGAATTCGCACTTTTCCAGTTTAGCATATAGCCTATGCTTCCGGAGGCGTCGGAGAACTTCAAGGACATGTTGTTTATGAGATGCAAGGTCTGCAGAATAAATGAGGATGTCGTCGAGGTACACAATATCACATATGTCAAGCATATTGGCGAAGATGGTATTGACAAAGTGTTGGAAAGCCGCCGGAGCATTAGTGAGACCCTCGGGCATAACCAATCATTCATAGGAGCCATAGTGCATTTGGAAAGCAGTTTTCCACTCGTCTCCTTCCGCCATCCGGACTAGATGGTAAGCGGACCGGAGGTCGATTTTAGTGTAAACTTTTGCACGGCTTGGAGAATCGAGAAGGTCGGAAATGAGGGGAAGAGGGTAGCGGTCTTTCTTTGTGATTTTATTGAGTCCGCGGAAATCTATGCAGAGGCGTAGGGAGCTGTCCTTCTTTTTGACAAACAGGACAGGGGCTCCGTGCGGAGAGGATGAGGAACGGAGAAGTCCGGTCGCGATATTCTCATCAAGGGATTTGCAGAGAGCTACAAGCTCGACCGGAGAAAGGGAATAGATGGTGCCAAGGGGCGGAGCCGCTCCTTCTTCCAAATCGATTTTAAGATCATAGGGACAATGGGGAGGGAGCTATCCGGCTTTGCCTTTATCAAAGACATCCGCATACTCATGATATTCCGAAGGGATTCCGGATAGGTTCGGAGGTTCAGAGGAGAGTGTAGTGGAGCGGAGATTGACACCGGTGGGTCGGATGAAAATACTGAACTGGACCAATCCCTCTAGTTTGCAGGCCCGGCAAAAGGCAACTGCGTTGATCAGGGAAATATTGGGAACAGTGTTATCAGCGGAGGGACTTGGTGAGGTTATGGAAGGGATTTCTGCTGGAGCCGGCGGAAGTGAGGTCGGAGGGGTCTGAGGCACTCCATGAGGAATCGGACGGAAAACGATGCTGCCCTTTACCCAGTCAATCAATGGATTGTGTCAGGTGAGCCAGCTATATCCTAGAATGATGGAACAGGATGAGTCCAACGGAGTAACATAAAATGTTTTGGAGGTAACCATGCCAGTCGGAAAACAGATCGGTAAATCTACTGTCTCGGTAATCATGGCATTAGAAGTACCATCAAACAAGTGAAGCGGAAGCAGAGGGATTGCATAGGTCGGAATGTTATTTTCTCGGATTAGTTTGGTTTCTACAAAACAATGGGAAGGACCACAATCTACAAGAGCTGGGAATGGAGACATATCAGGAAAAGTAGAGATGGAAACATTTGGCATAAGTGAGTTCAGATCGGAAAGAGACACAGCATTGAGATGTAGCTCCATTGCGCGGGTTGAGTCAATGCAACCCTCATCCCGCGCGGAGTCAAAAGGGTTGCGGACTAATTTTTTGTCTCTTCCGAGATCTCCGGTTTGGCTTCCAGAGTTACTGTGCTGGCATGACCTTTGGCCGCACAGGAAGTGGACTTTAGGCAGCCCCGGGCAGTATGACTGGGTCTGCTGCAGAAGAGGCAGAGCTTTTTTTCCATGCGCCTCTGGTGCTCCTCGGAGGTGAGTTTACCATCTTTTCCGAGCTTGGACGTCAAGTCTGGAAGTTTGGCGGAGGAGGAAGCCGAGGCATTTCCGGACCTTCCGCCAGAATACTCTTTCCAGTCAGAGGTCGGAGCTGACTGTTTAGCAGGAGGGGCGGATGCGGAGGGTTTGGTTTCGCAGGAGACTTCTCCCTTGCGTTCCCAGTATCGAGCATCAATAGTCTGGGCGAGAGTTTTGTATTGGGACAGAGTGGTGGGTTTTCCTTGACGACTGATTTCGTCTTTGATGCGAGCTGGAAGTCCATTGTAGAACTGACGGCGCAAAGCTCCGTCGCCCCAACCGCGGACTTAGGAAGCGAGCCATTGGAACTCTACAACATACTTGTTGATGCACTGTCTGTCGCGCATATAGAGCTGTTCCAGCTGCATTTCTGCATCTCCGACCGGGTCATGAGGTCCGAAGTTAGTTTGGAGTTCTAACATGAACTCGGAGTAGTCATCCATCCATTTCGGACGATCGACGAGATCATCCGAAAGGAGGTCCGGCTCAAACCATTCAAGAGCCATGCCTTTGAGGTATGACTGCGCAAAGTTGACCTTGGCGCGGCCGGTACAGAAAGACTTTGGCTTAGCTTGGAAGTTAAGCTCTCATTGGACAAAGAACGCCCAGAGCTTCCGGGGCTCAGTGCCATTGAAGGTATCCAGTTCTCGGACTTTGATTTTGGAGTCATCAGGGATAGCGGAGCGGCAGTTGTTACGCACCAGGTTATTGATTGCCTGTGACAGGCAGAGGAAGACCAAGTCTTGTGGACCGAGACCTTCATTTTCATCGTCAGTTGGGTCTTCCAGAGGTTCGTCGTCCAGGTCACCTCCCCCATCATACGGCGGATCTCCGCCCAGAGTATCTTCATTTTCCGGCAGGAATCTGGCCAGTGTGCGAGTTGGAGTTTCTGGGTGCGGACAATTCATAAGTTGAGAGATGCTGGATGCAGCGCCCTGCGTGCTAGCGCGACACTGTGAGAAGCTAGTGAATGCATTGACTATGGGAGTAGAGTCACATCGGGCGGTTACTAAGCCCGCCGCGCGGAGGTTGGTCTGAGTGGTTGTAGGTGCCATGAATGTAAGTATACTTGGTAAGGTGTGAGTTCAAATATACTGTTAAGAACGTGCTCAAGGGTCAGATCCGAAGGGCTTGGCTTCAGCTCATGCACTGCGCCCCTTACCCGAGTATGTGCCCCTAACTTCCGAGGGCTGTCAAATGATGTCCGAAGGTTGTCAGATGATGTCCGATGTGCAGGAATTCCGGCAGACATTCGGGAACAAGTGATAAGACTAATCTGGATGATGTCCGAACTAGAAAGGAAACAGCGGAGGACTACCAGAGGTAGAGGCGGAGGTGAGAAGTCTATAGGAGTCAATCCTAAGACTAGCGGAGGACGACAAGAGGAGAAACTCAAGTTGGACGGAGGAGGGAATGAGCAGAGTCTAAGATAATATTCGAACTGAGGAAGTAAAAAGATTCTACAGGGTTTATATACTACTGAGGACTTAACGGAGAATCAGTCTGCGCAGTCCAAAGCTATGTGAGGCTGTGGACAGAGTGTATAGGAAAGTCAAACACTAGTCTATCGGAAAATAGTAAATGAAGACGGAGATGAGAACATAGGAAAATGAAGGTGGAAATGAAACGAGGTACAGAAAATGAGTATGGTCTAACTGGAGAAGGAACATACAAAGGGATAAGGCACGGAAGATAGACGCGGGTCGGATCCGGACGATAGATAGAAGTCGGCCGGATCTGGAAGTCCGTAAATGATGTGTGTGATAGGTCCGGGTCCAGAACACGGGATATGACAATCATAGGCAGCGACAAGACAACAGTGTCCGTCGCTACTGGTCAAAATGACTACTATCCTTTGTATCTTTCCATTGGAAACGTCCACAATAATATTTGGCAGGCGCATTGCAACACATTGGCTCTGGTTGGATTCTTGGCAATCCCTAAGAGTATGTACCAGTTTCTCTCCCAATCTACTTTGACATTTACACTATTGTATACAGCGGAAAAAAAGAATTCAGATGACATAAAATACCGCAAGTTCAAGAAGCAGTTGTTTCACTCCTCGTTGTCAAAGATCTTCGTCAATCTCAAACCTGGAATGACGACTCCAGAAGTCACACGATGTGGTGATGGACACTACCGGCGCATTATATATGGACTCGGACCCTACATTGCAGACTATGAAGAGCAGGTGGTATTGGCGTGCATGGTCAAAGATTGGTGTGGAAGGTAAGTGGCTACCAGAGATCCTCAGGACACTGCCTATTCACATCCGCATTCATTTTATGCCGAGTCTCATTTACATTTGCAGATACCTTGCATTTCCCTCAAATCTTGATGAAGGAGGTGTTTCTCAGTCATGTGAACACACTGATGCACTTGTGGATTCTGTCGATTTTGGTATAATTTGGGACGAGTATGGTATTATTGGCGAGCTAGTGGTATGTTCCCCACACATCATTTGTGTGTGGTTGTGATCGCACTAACTGTCGCACTTCATAGCCCTTCACCAATGACTTTCCTCGTGCTGACATTCATGAGTTGCTCGCCCCCGACATACTGCACCAGCTCATCAAAGGATCATTCAAGGATCACCTTGTTGAATGGGTGGGTCAATACCTCGAACTCACACATGGAAAAACACGTGCCAAGGCAATTTTAGATGATATTGACCGAAGGTACTTTCAATCAGCTACTGTCTATCATGATGACTGACAATACACTAGAATTGCTGCCGCACCACCCTTCCCTGGCCTATGACGCTTTCTGCAAGGGCGTAGATTCTCACAATGGATGGGCAATGACTCCAAGGCACTGATGAAGGTACGTTTTTGTGCTTTAATTATCTTGCATTTGTTAAATTTACACAACTGTTTATCTAGGTCTATCTACCGGCAATTGAAGGCCATGTACCAGACGATATGGTTCGGGCATTTCGAGCCCTGCTAGAGTTCTGCTACATCGTGCGCGTGGATGTGGTTATGGACGACATTCTCGCAGAGCTGAAAGATGCCCTTAGGTGTTTTCATACTTACCATACCATTTTCCAGACTACCGGTGTCTGTTTCGACATTTCCCTACCCCGACAACACTCTCTCGTCCACTATGAGCTTCTCATCCGAATGTTTGGTGCTCCAAATGGCCTCTGCTCATTAATCACAGAATCAAAACATATCAAGGCGGTAAAGCAACCATGGCAACGTTCAAGCAAGTACAATGCACTCAGCCAGCTGCTCCTTGCCAATCAGCACCTGGACAAAATCACAGCAGCAAGAGTTGACTTTATGATGTGCGGCATGCTCAAAGTGTTACAGGCATCCATAACACCTACAGGAGCCCCAGCTCTGCCTACACCAGCCCCCGCCCTACTAGACTCTGAACGCGGCGACATGCCGCCCGCACTTAGAAAGACAGCGGTCTGGACCGCTGTGACACCGCCCCTGGCCTAGATGGCCTTGTACCTGATCCATGGAGGCTGTGCACCTCATGGACACCCTAGATCAGTGCATGTATACCGCATGCCGCTTCATGAAGATCCGGAACGCCTCCAGGCACCTCATATATATGTGCAGTTGCACTTGGCACTGCATGCTTGATCAGAGGTTAAACCTCATGTATCTTATCTGTACTCATGACCGTCCTCATGGACTCTTATCATAGATCCCAGATATACTATAGATACAGACTGAGCTTGAACACTTATATGTAGCACATATAAGTAGACAGATTATTGTACTTAGACTTTACTTTAATCTACTAGGTTCATCCCAGAACTTGTTCAGCTAAGCTTCCCAGCTCAGCTGCCTAAGACCGCACTTCTAAGTCACTCCCCGCTTCTTAGCCGTATCCGCTAGCCCTGTATCTCGACGAGCGCCGTCTTACTGAGATCACTGGAGGAACCCTTGACGTTCTGTCAAGCCGAGAACCACCCTCAGCTTCAGTAGGCTCACTCGAGCCATTGCTGAGAAGACCTATCCTAGTTCGCACACGCCGACCAACGGTCAGCGTAACACAAAGGGTCTTGCGCCTTCAGCCACTACAATTCATTTTGTACGTAATCTGTATGATTTTAATTGAATTTTACTCATTGAATTTCCAGTTGAGAATCCCTCATATATTGGCAATGATGATGGAGACCCGGAGGTCCAACAGAGCTGAGCACGTGCAGCAAATGATCCCTTTGCTATTGAGAGTGATGACTTCAATGATGTTGAGGATCAGGGCATCGTGGATGACATGGATGTCATTGCTGATGTGCAGTTAGCACGGACTTGTCATGCGTATTCAACCTTTTGGTGACCTTCTTTCTTAACACAACATTCAGAATGAAAATGCGCCCGCACCATTGCTGATCTTGCAGGCGAACTTGGCATCACATCGTTCCCAACCCTCATTTGTCTCTTCTTGTATGACCAAATACATGCAGACGACCACCATTCTTCTGCTGACGTTCCACTTTGCGACTGTCCATCCTACATGGGACCAATCAAGATTTTCCATTCGGCCACTGCAACTTTTGTTGCACCCAGTGATCCAAGTGGAATCACTGGCATGTGCCGTCCCCACATCCATGCTGCGCCTTTGTGGTGCAACGGACCAGCCCGCTTTGACTGCGCCTTTGTCAACACGGATGATAGGCATGATGGAATGTTAAGCATGGATGTTGTTCAAATATTCTGCTTTTTTTCTTTCACTTTCATGACAGCATCGACAGCAGGAGTTGCAGCATCAGTGATTGACATGTGGGTAAGAGCAGTGTTGATGCTGTCAGTCATTGATGTATCACTCGGTAACTCGACATTACCGGCTGTAATGTTGAGTATTAGAATATTAAATGTTGAATTGAGTTCATGTACTTACAGTAATCTGGCTGGGTGCCACACACGTAACATGAGTGCTTGTGTGCATGAAAAACACATGCAGGGCCGTTCACGAGGTCATTCACAAGAAGGTTGGCCAGACTTTGGTTGGCCCCAGTGTGCGCCTTCATGATAGCTAAATAACTAATTAGGCCAGTGACAATTAGCTGGGGCGCTTGCACTTACCATGCCGGTTCCACACAAGCTCTATGGCGCTTGCCAGTTTGGACAAAGTGAAAGTTTGTTCCTTGACGTTGGCGTGGCTGGGAGAAACTTTCATTTTGAACAAATTGGGTCGAGTGGGAGTAATAGTGAGTGGGTAAATGGCTGCTATGTACGAAATTTCAGTGCAACTTATAATAGCTTTTTGGGGAAATCCGCGTGATGAACTCATCTTATTGGATAATTGCAAAAATAAGATTAAAAGTCCGTCCCAAATGGAGTATCAGTACACGCCTGCAACTAGCGCGGAGTAAAACATCTAAAAAAACACAAGGTATGTGATCTGGGTGATGAAATTAATTTTAGCCTAATGCTGGCGGTTAACAGATGCCTGGTATATCATGGATGACGCCCAAACAGTCAGTTTGGATGAAAACTAAGGTGGATGGATTCAGCCTAAGCCAGCTGCAGGGTGAAACAACAACTTTCCTTTCCAATACATCCTGTGAATGGTTCGAGAAGTGGCCTGAAGCCGCTGTGCATTTCAAAGATAGCAAAACTGGTATTCCACTTATGTCATTCCAGTTGTCAGAAAAGCAGACAGAGGAATTAGCCCAACATCTCAAACAACGATGTTCCGTAAGTTAGCTGTATTACGAGTTCATTTCGGGTCACTTATACATGTTACAGAAACTCCGCTCTTACTTTTACCGCAGCAACTCCGCTGCTGTGCAAGAATGGGTGACACAATTCACTAAAACGGTAACGAAGCTCATGGGCTCCACCACCACTCACACTTGTGGGCCTTCTGCAGTGGAACATTTCATTCAGACAGAGTACAAGGACAACCTTACCGTCAAGGATGAGATTTTATCTCAGATGGAATCCTCTACTCAATGAACCCGCATGGCCTCGCTTTGTACAGAAGCAACGAAGGCCATGGCTGCATGGGGAGAAGAATATGTGTTAAAGATGCAGCGGGAAGCGAAAGCTGAATGTGAGTTACATGCGAAGAAGGCCAAAGCTGAGATGGAGGCACTGTCCAATCCCACTGACTCTGCAAAGTTACAGTGAGTACACAATTCTGAAGCATGTTCGATGCTAAAATTCACAAGATGCATTGAAGGGCTCAGTGGATTGATCGGACAACTTTTACAGACCATCCATGACATGACAGGTTGGAACAGGAGCGTGTACCTTGGGGGACCAGACCCTCGTGTAGGTGGGGATGTTCGCGTTTACAGGTCAGGCTTTGTTTTTTGTGCTCAGTTGTCTTGATGATTCATGTTACCGTATAGTTTCCACCATGGCAAGGGCACTACTGGCTTCAACTTTCATGATACACTCCCAGACCATCATGCACGAATCATTGAACCATTCACTACATTTTTTAAAGGGTGCTTTTGGTAAGTCAGTGTATTCTTCTGGTTAGGTAATGTTGACAGTGTTTCTCCATAGCTGTTCCTGCCCAGGAGCTGATGCCATACTCATCTCCATCTCCGTCAAGTATCAATACTATTGTTCCCATTTTGGACACCTCCGACGTTATCGCTGGTCCCACTGCAACTCCAGGAGTCTTGCATGCCTTGGCCAATCAACATTTATCCTTGGAGCCAATGCCATACTCGTCTCTGTCTCCATCGAGTATCAATACTATTGTTCCCATTTTGGACCCCACCAACATTATCACTGGTCCCACTGCAACTCCAGGAGTCTTGCAAATCTCAGCCAATCTACTTTTCTCCTTCAACTCTTCGCATCCTGATGGGATCCACCCCTCCTTTGAGGATTTCTTGTTCCATCCAGTGCCCATTCCCAATGATTCACTGAATCTGTCAGACAATTTCTTGCTCAATCTGTTGAATGAGGCCATCGCCAACTTTCTGGCTCGCACGCAGTCATACAAATTCTCAACAACTGCAGCTGCAATGAACGAGAGTCCAACACTACCTCCCTTTCCATCCGCAGATGAGTCACATTCTCCTTGTAATGAGGGTGTAGCATCTGGTCAGTCTATAGTATTGTCACCCCCACGCTTGCGCAGTGCTTTAGCTCGTATAGAGTCCAAGATCCCCTCTGGTGGCATTAAGAAGGCGCCTCGCCCTCGTCCATTCAGAGGAGGAACTGACACTCGCCATGATCTATATCGTAGTTCTACTCCTTTGCCTTCTGTACTTCCTGCAATGCCTGTAACTCACCCAGATCCATGGCTGCCTGCAGCTACTGAGCCTCCTGTTGAGACTCCTCTGCAGGCAACTGTGGCTGCAACTCATGAAGCTCCCACACAATCTCAAGCTACCGAACCTCCTGCTGTGATTTTTGAAGCTACTGTGGCTTCTCCAGCAACTCTTGTTTCAGCACCCGGAGCCATTGTCACATCCTCTCACAGAGTTGAGGTGGCGGGTCAGCTACCTGACAAGGAGCCCATGGTGGTTGATGAGAACGTGCAGCCTCTAGAAGATATTATTAACAATCAAGTGCGCTGCAGCGGCCGTGTTCATGTTCCATCTACTCGCACAATGGAAGCTAACAATATTGGCGCTGACAACACTGGAAGAAAGCCATGAAAGTAAGTTCAACAATATATTTGACTTCTGCTTTGAACTTTAGTTTTAGGTCACGCAAATTGGCAGGCTCCTTCCCAGCCCCATGGTTCCAGTGTTGAGGGGTATCTGAGGGAACTGGAAACTTGAAACATCACGTGCTACAAGAAAAATTCAAATCCAGCACAACCTTATTCCCCCTCACACTCTCACCGGGGGCTGGAAGATAACATTTGTAAACAAAGATCAGCCACAGTGACGGTGACTATGAAACTTCGAAAATATGAGTTTGCACCTAGCCTAGGGTTACAAATTTTCGAACATGATATGTATTTTTTGTCCCTGGCTATTGTTGTTACACTATGGACACAGTGATTGCAATGCTACAAGAGTGCAACCTGAATATCAATTATATTGCTAATGTCATAGTTGCTATGTACTAGGTTCGACAACAGTGTGTGATGGTTCAAATGTTCACTTTTGCACTCTGCTTACCGTTTGATAGATCTATTGGTCAATGGAACAAAGATTTCATTGCTGTGCAATGAAGCACCGCCATCCTTGACTTTATCGAAGAGTGCATTTCATCCTGCACACAGAATCCCAACATTGCTAAAACTGAGTGATGACCACCAAGTATTGCTGCAAAGTCAACGCACAGAAGTATCTTCTCGCCATCAACAGATCCATGTTCATGAAAATGCTCACATACATTATTACATAAATGTGTTCTTTCGCCAGATGCAAAAGTGCTCGTCTGACTCCAATCAGATCATATCAGCTGAACGCTCGTGCCTGCGTTTTACAGATATCTTCAAGCTCGAGATCATTAAAATACTACCGCAGGTTTGAAATGCCACGAGGAACCAAATTTGAAGCTTGGTTATGGAGGCTTTTTGAGCATCCTGCATTTAAGAAGATTTGTAGTTGTAAGCGGTGAGTGCATGTTTCTGATGGGTGTGGGGTGACTTACATGTCTTGTAGATAGTATGCATTCAATCACCCGAACATGAGTCAGGTGGCTAACGCGATTAGTAATAGCAGGAGGGAGTTACCTTGAGCAAGACACACAGGAATATAATGACTCTGTACAAATGTTTGTTAATTCGAATGTGAATGCATTTGAAAAGTGAATTGCTACGAGGTCTTGACTGTTTGTGCTGTGGGAGATAAAAGTTGGTCGGCAGGAGGTACTAAATTCCCAATCTAGAGGGCATCGAAATGTGGTACATTGCACGATCGCTCAAGTGCTCAAGGCCGCCACTTGTTGTATAGTTGTGATTCATGAAGACTGAGTATGGGTAGAACAGACTCAGAGGCATGCAAGATGTCCTGGCTTCACGTGCCAATTCTTCTCTTATTAGCGTCTCTTTGATCCAAAATATGATGTGACCAGTGGGGACGTTAATGTACATGAGCTTCACGAAACGTGCCAGAGAGAACTCACCAAGTAGCCCAAAACTTGAATGTCCCTTTTCCTTTACACAAGTTTCATTTCCCTCGAAAACCAAAAGTTTATGCAAAGAAATATATTATTAGCTTGTAACCCTACGCTAGGTGCAAACTCATATTTTCAAAGTTTCACAGTCACTGTCACTGTGGCTGACCTTTGTTTACAAATATTATCTTCCAGCCCCCGGTGAGAGTGTGAGGGGGAATAAGGTTGTGCTGGGTTTGAATTTTTCTTGTATCATGTGACTTATGAAACCATACCAACATTAATGCCCTTAGATATCGCCCTCCACACTCGAACCGTGGGGCTGGGAAGGAGCCTGGCAAATTGGTTCATTCAGCTGATGGCAAGTGATACTATTTGATGTTATTTTGTTATATATATTGTCTTGTTATCTTGCTATTGCTTGGTCTTGCCTTGTTGCCACATTGTTTGTTTGCTCTATATCTTTGTCATAATGCACTTGTTTGTATCTAGCTTATAAAATACACTATTCTTTGACACAATGAGCTTGGTGTTGTTCTGTGCATGTTGAAAGAACTTAGTCAAAATTCATTGCAAACAGTTGAGAGAACAAGGGACAAGAGACTTGGTCAAAATTTATTGCAAACTGAATTACAAACTATATAGTTGGACTTCATCAAAATCCATTGCAAAATGTCACGTGGTAGTCAGGTAGTCGAGACTTGGTCAAATCCAATGCAAACCATCACGTGGCTCTGAGGAAGCGCGAGAACTGAAGGTAGACAGGCTATCTTTAGTTGATGTATTAAATATAGCCTGCAAGAAAGGGGTGGGATATTTAAAGCAGAAAGAACCGAGAGGAACTGATCAGTGGCCAAACTATTTTTAGTCATTATGGGGCAAGAACTGGGGGGTGGGCTATTTAAAGCAGCAAGAACCGAGAGAACTGATGGGGGCAACCTATTTTTATTCAAGGGATTAATATTGTAGTGGCGGCGAGCGCCAGTCCCCGACTCTGTTAGACCGATAATTTCTAGTTCGGGACTCGCCCTCGGCATGACCCGAATTGTCCCAACTTCAACCACCATTCGCATCAAGACGGCATCCTCAGCACCAATAGTGGCTATGAGTTGTCTCTGGCTTTGTTTTGGTCTAGTTCTGGCATCTCCCCCCTGGCCCGACATGCCTCTAGGAGGTGAATCGGGTCCAGAGGCTGTTGGGCTCCTCGGACACACCTCCAGGAGGTGAAACCTTGGATCACAGCCCGACAGCTGAGAAAAATGCCTTTAATCTATCTTCAAACAAACCAGATGCTGAACCATATCCATCTGTTACCTGCAGACAGTTACAGTCATCTCCCAAGGCGCCTCCTTACATGCCATACAAAGTCTCTCACCCATCTTTATCCACCAGACCTTCTCAAGTAGTCAGATATCTCCTGTTTATATTCCAGCGCCTTCTTTAGCATCTTGAATGAGTTGAAGACGGTCTCCCGGTGACTATCTCACAGTGGCAGGGGACACAAGCGTTAGTCTCGGATACAGGTGTTTCGTGATTGAGCATTGGTCCCTCTATTTGTCACGATCATGTCACGCTCATTCATTATCTTTTCATAGGTTGTTTGTGGCCATCCACTGCTGTGGCTGATTTTATTGAGATTTTTGATGGTGCTGGATCATTTATATTCAGTACACTCTTCTCCCTAACCTCTCTCACTTGTTCTAACAAGATGACAGTTGAGCGTGGCGAGGAGGGCAGGCCCACATTGCATATCCAGACCTGCAACAAGATTCTCGCTGCAAAATCTCATTTTCCCACCAAACCGGATCCCTCTGTCCTGTATGCCAGCTTACTGTTGTGTGAGAAGCCCAACATGTTGCGAGGTTTGTCATGGGCTTCCATGCACCTATCTACTCACACAGCTCTCAGGCATGATCATGACCATTGCCAACGACGTCGCCGCATCAGTCATTTATGCTGAAAGCGACGACCTTTCCCACTTTCTTGTTCAGGAGGCCGAGAAGATGCCTCATGCGCCTCATATCTCTGCGAGTAGCATGATGATGGATAGCATTATGCGTCAATCACGTTCTGGCTGACTCGTTATCTCCGAAAATGTCCTCTGTTAGCAAGCTATCCACTTTCTAGATTCATGGTGTGTGTAGTCTAGGTCCCAAAAAAATCTTTTGTGCTCTGCCTACTCTGTCACACCTGGCGACAGGTTGAAATTGCCACCAATGCCCTTGTTACCTGTCTTACAGTCACACTCTGAGACCCGATGTGATGCATCTGATACCTGGCAGGTTCTTGACCTACGTCCCCGAGACCACCGGCACATCACCACATGAACAAGGACTGGTTGTTATCTGAGCCCCTCTTGTGTTCATCAATGCCCATTATACAGGCCAAGTTCCGATGCAAGGTGACTGAGCCCTGTCAGGTTCTTGTCACTGTGTCGATGACGAGAGCTCACCAAGCCATGATTAGTGCCACATGAATGAGGATCGGTCATTATCTGCGCCCCTATTTCTATCGTGTCAGTGTCTGTGCTGATTCACTTACAAGCTGAAACCCGGTGTGATGCAGCTAGTCCTGTCAGGATCACAATCCACGATGATGGTACCTTAATTTCACGTGATAAAACTTATCTGGCCACAAGGATCTCCTTGCATGCAGACAGATGAGTACAGATGGATCAAAAAATTGTGAGACTCTGAGCTGTCGCCCATGTCAACACACAGACCAGGAGGGGCGAGGGTTCTTCCGTGTGGTAATGATCAACGGGCAAATTTCCTTCAAGTACAGTGGAGCATCAACAATGTTGCCATGGCGGAACATGATGTGAACCACTCGCATGAGCACCAGGACGTCATTTGACCTGCTACTCCAAGGATGTCATGTCAGGATGAACACAATGACTGACACAATAACAGAGTTAGTGGAGATATTTGATGCCGAAGGTGCATTTATATTTGGTGAGGCTACACCCACTGTGCATATGTACCGACCTAATGTTCCCCAGTGCACTGCCAAGCTCTGCCCCATCCTGCTTTTGAAGTGGTGACTGCAAGATACATAAGAGATTTCGGCTGTGAGCATGCAAGACGTCACCATAGTACAGTGTTGTTTGCCATGGACGACCCATCCCACAATGTGTCTCAACACACTCGTGCGTATCTCCACATTGTTCAAGTATGACTGGTTCCTCAAAGGGTACAGGTACAATCCAGACAATCGCAAATGACGGGAACATAAGTGCTGTGTATGCTGACAGTGTGCGGTTGGCAGATCACCTAGCATTGGAGGCCACTATGTTGCAAGAGGCCAAGTTGGAGAGAGAAATCAGTCTTGGAGACATTATGAATGCCTGAACTTGAATTTAGACAGAAGAGGCATCCTCAGTTGTCTCGCAATTTGACTGGTGCCTTTGATCTGTCTCCAATTGTCTCAGGGACTGACATGAATATCACCCCAATCCTGCCCCAAACACCAAATCATGGCTGAGATATGAGTCACATCAAGAAAGTATTTAATAATAGTGCTCGGGGCACTCAACATCAACCATGAACACAGACAGCCAGGAGCACCACGATAACATACGCGTTCTTCAGTATGAGCTCTATCACATGAGCATCTCAGCATTGGCATCTGAAGTTGCCGGAGGTGGATCATCACAGCATTCTCCAATACTCCTGAACCCACTACAGGCATCGCATGGTGACGAACCCCCACCGCTCTGTTCGTGTGGCCTGGACGTTTGTGCTTGCCATACTCTCTCTGAGGCTGGCCATATGACAACCAGGACACTTCGACCTCGGTCACCTTTGCCAGTGTCCGTTGCCTATCCACGTCCCTGCAGATGCTCATGTCACAATCAGGAGGTAGCAGTCACCTGTCCAAAATGGTTACCGATGGCACAACTAATCCTACGGCAGATTCGTAATGAAGTTCGGTTCACGACCACGCTCTCGGTCATTATGTTGGTCATCCAACAACTGCAAAGCAGCACACCCTATGGGGCCATCCCATCTGAAGTGCAAGTCCGAGTGCGACAAATGATCGATCTCAGTGAAGCAGAATACAGGTAAGCACATTGTTGTCTAGTTGCCCCTGCTTACTGTGTGCTTGATGTAGGCTTGGAGTGTGCTGGTTGCTCGAGGAATCACATGTGATGTCACCATTGGATGATGGACGACTGATGCTTGTGATGCAGCGAGATGTATCCAATATTTACACAGGTGGCAAAGGTACACGCGAGGTAGTGCACTGTAACTAATCATAGTATATGGGAGGGTTACATCCGTGGAGGGCCCACTACCTCGTGTGTGGGAATGGACGCCGTGGTTCACTTCTCGTGCTTCTTTTTTAAAACTACTGCCATGTTTATCAGATGCGAATCAGGCTCAGGCTGCGCGCTGAGCGGATCGAGCGCTTAGCAAAGATATATAAGATGTCAGTGTGTGATGAGTCCTTTTCTTACTCTGTGATCCCTTCCTAGCTTCTCAGGCCTGAAAAGGCACACTGACCATGCACGGTTTGTTTTCTATAGACCTGACTGTGGTCTTACAAGCCCCGTAGTCGCGACAGAGGGATCACTTCGAGTTTATTTTTCGGCATCTGACTTTTGATCTTTTGATCTTTATGTATAGCGTCTTTGGCTTTACAAAGGTCCTTACTTTGTGATCGGTATGCGTTCACTACTAATATCATTCGAAATATAATGACATGTGAGTCCTACTGATTTTTCCACCACACTGCATACATCATTGTATCAAATATCATACCGAAAGAAGGAAGAGAACATAGAGAAATCAACAATCAAGGGGAGCTATCGAGGCCACTTTGTTATTGGATGTGCCTGTCAGCAGTGCCATGTTGAAGGCAGCAGAGCGGTACTGCCACAATCAGAGCTCATCCATACTGTCATCTTGGCCAGATGTAACAGCGAGCTTCTTTGCATGCAAAGGATCAGCGAGCTTCTCTGAAGCCTTCCTCTTGCCTTTGAGAATTTCTGCCTTGGCATATCCCATGCACGGTAGCAATTGCATCCGGCGCAGGATGAGTTGGTAATTTTGAGACCCAAGTCTCTTGCGGTCGGACACATCATCCTTGTCAATCTTGTTGATGTTCCACCTGCAGCGCCATGTTTGTTAGTATTGTAGCAATTGAGAGGAATGTTAGCCTTACAATTTAGGTAGACCTCGACTTCAACAAACTGTGCACGCGCCAGCTTTATGCCGTACTCCCTTGGGTGGATCAGCAGTCCATTACCATCATGCACGTCCGGACATTCCACTTTCGTCTCTTTAAGAGAGCCCAGGCCTGAATAGTGGTTGTCTGGGTCATGCAGGTCATGGATGCACAGGAACTCTGTTGATGCCATGAACATGACAGCCAGATTAGATGTTGAAAGGGCCACATTACCTCCAGAACTGCTAGTGTTTGCTGCACAAGAACTCCTTGCAGCTGCCGAAGCCCGAGCGAGTTGTTTCGCCTTGCCTTTGCAGGTAAGCCACATCAGCAGCCATCAACATTGGTGGTCACCAACTCACTTGGACTCAAGAGAACTCCTGATTCTGGTACACAAAGATTCAGTTTGGAGTCGAAGGAGGAGTAAAACATACTCACTGCCGATGTCCTCATGGGAAACTCTGGGTGTTGTCGCAGACCCTTCATTCGGTAAGTCTCTGAACAGTGGCTCAGACTGCATAACAAGAACAAAACAATCTTTGGAGTCTCGCGTGTACTCACGCATGAAGGGAGACACTACAGGGTGTTCCACCTCCAGCACACCTGCAAACCACTGAGCACTGGGTCATGGAGACAGATGAGATACTTACCAGCATTACACCTGTCCTCGACAGCAGTAGTCAGTGCAGACAGGGTATCAAGCACCCTGCATGACATATCTAGAGCTTCCTGGGGATAGTCGCCGCTGTCGTCATCTTCCAGAGCCAGAAAATGAAGTTCGAATTGTGCCCGAGTCTTCTTCAGGTTGGAGACATCAATCTGCCAACAAAGACAATTAGTAGAAATTACCCAAGGATAGTACTACATACCCCAGAGTCAAACAAGTTGAAATACGGCCCCAGGTGGCTATACTGACCATGGTAGTCGAGCCTCGCCATGAACTTCATATGCAAGAGTTCTCCAAACCCATTTACCCAATATTCTGCCTTATCCCCCATTTGCCGACGCAGGGGGTGTGGGTTGTTCTCCTCAGGGATATTCTTATAGCTGCACGCATCTGCGACAAAAGCACCACATGAAAGGGCACAACCGAGTAGAGAAAGATACAGAGGAGATTTCATCGCTTCCAATCTCATCTTCAGAAGGTATCACAGGAGTGCCTGACTCAGTGTCCACTGCAGTCACAGCCACTTTGCATTGATGAGCACAGCGTTTCGAGGGCGTCATGGCAGTTCAGGGTGAAGGGGGCAGAGGAGGACCTAAGGATAAATTCCATACCTTTAGTATGTCCCACATCCCTGATAAGAGCCCTTAGACTCACCAAGGACTGAGTCGGCTGTGTTGCCATGAGGTCCAAGGCACACGCGGCTCATTGGGGTGTCAGTATGAGACATATTACTGCGGGGAAAAAATTGAGTTGTCAACAGGTCTGAGTCCGATCACATGGAAACACTCACAGACCGGGAACCATGAGTGGAGTCGGGCAGGCTCGAGGCAATTAGCATAGCATGGACCCATGAATGTTCCCTCCACCAGCATGCCAATTGTGGCAGTGTCCCATCAACAAAACATTTACATTCGTTGCTGCCAAGAACGTTGCTCTGCAGGTTCTTGAGTAAAACATTCATGAATGCGCCTGCATACTGGGCACTCTGATCACCAGGTGCACGTGAGATATCCTCGATGATGCCAATGGCGACCATGCACAAAGGAGGGGTGAATATGCGAGGGCGGGTGAGAATGTGAGGCTGGGTGAGAATGCGAGGTTGGGCTGTGAGAACGAGTGTGGGGCTAAGCTGCTTGACATTGTATGCAACGAGGAGAGCATATCAAGAGAGCATGTGGTTGATGACACAGGAGGCGACTGTACGAGTTTCGTGCTGTGGCATAACATGGCTACAATGTCAGTAGGATCTTCTTTCTTGTAGTGTATGAGCTTGAAAGCAACACACCAAAACCCATCACTGAAATGATGAACTCTCACCACATATGGACGAGTCTCAACAATCATTAAGGTAGACTTCCACAGAATATTGGTGTCATGCTTGTTGGTGTGCCCAGCACTTCACCGGTTCAGCCTACCAATTTTCATTACATAATCTGCTTAGGTCATCCAGAGATTCAACCTCTTTGCAATGTGTCTGTTGTCTCGCTTCCATGCCACAAAGTCTCGCAAAATTCTGAGTGCATAGCCCCACATCCATATCTGCCAATCAAACATTTGAAACGATTGTGTCACATTCGATGACTTCTGACAAACCCTTATCATGTCTCATTCTAATTCAACATGCAATTGTCTATACAGATCACAATACAGGACAGAGGTGTGTAATCAGACATCAATAATGGGCCCGTCGTGCTCGCACTAGACATCAAGCCCACCGATATCGCACTTATGAGTTCCAACTACCATGAAGCAACCAAGCATTGTTGCATTTTCTGATGCAGTAGGACTCAGAGTTCCATGCCGTGTCTACACTCCATGTCCCTATTGTACATCTGCAGGCCAATATCATCATCATGCTCTCGACATGTGCCGACGCTGCTGCCTTTCATACATTCTGAGCAGGCCCTTAAGTCCAAAACTCGGCACCTCCAATTGCCCTATAGCATGTTCAGTCACGATCACATCACATATCATTGCATGGACTGACCTTGTGATAAGCGCATTGATGGCATTGATATCCCGCTCACTGCAGTCCAATATCTCGTGCTTATTTCCATGTGTGTTTGACCACTAATACATTTCCAGTCACGTCTGCATCATTGTTGGCGATCTTGGCAATGTTTCTGATGAGAGTGTTTGGTGGGGCATACACCAACGGATCCTCACGGAAGAACGTGAAGGCATGGGCCCAAGGGGGAGAGTCAGGTTCTGGAATCACGTTGTAAGGGGGATGGCAGCTGCAGTGGCATAAAGGACACCAAGATATCTCTCCTTGTAATTCTGTACCGGGCAATGGTCAATAGTCACGTCAAGGCAAATAACGCGAGCGACAAACCAGAACGTGTCTTTCAATTATCTCCTTCTGTCTCTCAATACTCAGGAGGTCATGTGGCATTGGTGTAGGAGGTAAATAGCACGTGTGCCCATTAGCAACGCCGTTGTATGGGCATTCTGCATTCGTGCAACCTTCGGACAGGTGCCACATCACGTTTGAATGATAGGCCAACCGTTTCATTGGAAATCTGGGATCCCACTCAATCATAAGCGCGTTCCGTCCCGCATCTGCCACATTACGCCACAGAGCAGGGCATAAGAGTCCACATGGTCCTTCCATGAAGAAAGTGCAGCTCCGGACCTCCCAGCCTTCTTGCGAGAAACAACCTATGGTACATCCAGGCGCAGGGTGCAATCCTGCACAATTGGTCACAGTGATATGCCTCAAGGTCCATAATGGATAGAATACAGTCATGCCACCTGCAGTCATCAATGTCATGTCTGCAGTGGTATGCGAGGCCATGATAACTTTGAAGACACCGTCAGCTAAGGCCTCTGACATGGTGATCTTCAAGTCACCACACTGAAATTTGCAGTGGCAGCGGACAACCTTGGCATAGGAGTGGTTTATGTGTGTGTCAGGTAATTTGTTGTAGTGTAGGGTTTTGATGATAAATTCAGCAAGTAAGGGACCGCTGTCGGAGGGTACCACTATGTTCAGGTTGGCTGGGTGGCCACCGTTGTCCCGCCACATTTGCATTGCGCAGGAGCCATTGATTACTGCTGATGTGATGTGCAGCATATAACGAAACTCAGCCATGTGTTCCCCCACGAACGGTCATAATATTCTGTCGAACCAGCCGATGATACAATCTGTTCCGACATGTTTGACCTCACGATTTAACCCTTGCAGTTATCAGCGGTAGGTATTGGTATACCATTTGTATGAGTGGGGCTTGATGGAAGACTGCAAGTCCCTTGCATCAGTCACATAGATCATATACCGTGCGGGTGACGTACATTCCCCTATTGGATTGATCATGGCTCGCACAAACCTCGTGTTGATCATGGCTCGAGACTAAGTTGTGTCACAAGCAGATTTGGTCAGCAAAATCAGAGCCTTGTCATGTCTCAGCACGTTACCATCTTTAATTGACAAACATCACATCAATTTCTTCCAGGATATTTTAGAAGTCTGAAACACAGAGAATGTCAGACAGTGGTTATGAAGTGACAGACCACTCAGAATTCGCCTCCTACAGTCCTCTAGCAATGACCAGCTGTTCCTGTTGAATACTAAGTCTCCATCTATTTGCAGCTTCTGCCGTGACTCTCTCAGCTAGCTCGAGGTTTCTAGCATATATAGCATGAATTGCCCAGTCATGTGCGATTGAGTGCGCTATCGCTATTTGCGAATAACCTTCAGCATGTAAATATGTGGGCAGCAAGTAGTACACACCCTTGAAATTTAACAAAGAGTCTCACATCCATGCTTCAAGACACCCACAATGTGGCCTGGAACTCCCTTGCCATCATCTTCCAGTCCAAATCTTGGCCTGCACTTGGGAATTACATGGAAGTAGCGATAGAATGTGATGTCATCAGGGCATACACGCAGATGTGTGCCTGTCGTCCATCAAGCTCGCGGAATCGCATTACATTCATCGAGATACCCTCAAAGCGAGGTTGACTGTTGTTAACCTGACCATTGTATGCCCATGTCACATCATCCACAATGAGGCGGGTAGTGAAGTGAAATGATCACCACTGTAGATGATTCCCATTAATCGGTATCCTGCTTTACCACTTCCACAGGCAATGTCCAACGTGTCGGACAGCACAACTGCAGGATGCCCAGTAGGGCCAAGTTCGAAGAAGAGGACCAGAGGAGCATCCGCCAGAGCCATCTCTACTGTCGAACCAGACATGGCATCATTAAAGTTATGAAGGATCTCCACATGCCTCTCAACCAGTTTTTGGTTTGTCGGATGAGCTAGAGCTCGATCCAGACCTGTAAAGAGAGCAGGGCATCAGTGTTGTCCAGCCAGTCAAAGGGTGCACAGTATGCGGGAAGACGCAAGCTGAGCTCACCACCGATTTCCATGGATTGACTGACTATCTTCAGGTGAACATCAGGCACAGGGAACATGTACTCCAATATTGCAGAAGCAGAGGTCATGCATGCACCATACCGGAGAAGGATGACCGTGTTGTGTGCATCGAGAAGGTCACAGAACGAATCTCGAGAGTTGTCAAAGAGATGTTGGGTAAAGAGGTTGGCATCCGATGTGAGCAGATTACTGAACGAAGCCCCAAGGTGCTCCTGCAGAATAGAGCCTGCAACCCACAATGATTACCATGAGCAAGGTGCATTGTGAAATATATAAAACAGGATCATGAAGGTGCTGTCATATGCGCATGACCAGTTCTGTGAGGACCACTTGCATCCAGCCGACGTTGCAGAGGGCAGAGATTTTGTTTGATACGAACTTGTGTGCGGATGTTTGAAGGGTGGGAGGACAACACTAGTGTGTGGCACACCAGACTGCACGTTCTCAGTGACTAAATCCACCACGAGGGCAGGATTCAATACCAGTGTTCGTGACATGGGCACACCCATCATTGAAGGCTTAATTACAGAGCACCTTCCATTATTTTTGGCCAAAGAACGGAGCCGCTTCTGGACAGGTTGCCTGTACCCATCATCAGCCTCAGACACAGATTCAAGACCACATTTCTTACTAGGAGTAGACCCATCAGTCTCCACATCAAACCACGCCAACGAAACACAATGTCTCCATCCTGCCTCACTCTCTGCATCAGGGACACTAATGTGTACACCTTCAAGATAACCATGACTCACCAAGGTGTTGTGCTCGAGGGCATCAAAGCGGGAGATTTCAAGCAGCAGATCCATTGGTATCTGTCTGTTCAGCTGCTGCAAGTTGACAGGTTGAGTGAGACACAGGCCCTCCCATGTCTGTGCACGAGACGCAGCAACATAAGCAGCAAAGTCATCTTCATGCAGATTCACAATGACGCTCAGGAGTGTTTTTCCCTGTGAAGAGTGACCTGTGACTGCAAATGCCAGCTGAATCGGGATTTGATGGTGAGTCACACAAACCTTCTTGTGGGAACCATCACAGTCCAGTAATGTTGTAAACGTCCAAGTGGCAAGCAGAATGGGGAACACACCTTTTGGTAAACCAGTTAAATGGACCTTGCTATGTGGGAATTCAACCAATACACAGGTAGCATAGGTGATGTCGTGGGAACATCATTCAGTGTAGATATGACGGACAGTACCTTGTGAGCCATTTGTTATGCCAAGGTCAGTGGACATGTTGCGAAGTCGCAAAATCACTGGCATGCCTACAGACAAAGTTGTGAAACCTGGAAAACACCTCGAAGCCTTCAGCCTGGTCACATTCAGTTGCAACAACTTCATTCTCATATCTGAAGACATCTCCTCACTCGTTTTGTCCAAAGCAGCACAGACAACCAATGTGTCTGCCGAGACAGCCCGAGTCTTTCTTGCGTTAAGCACTTCATGAAGTTCGTTCGTTGTGACGATGGCTATGGCATCCGCTGTATTCACTGATGTCAAGTCCACACCATCAGGTGTGTTCAACGTCCTCATCACTCTGGTGTTGAATAAATCAACATTGTCCTCGGTGCATTTCCTGACTCTCAGCCGATTCACTGCATCACCATATTCAACATCTTCCTTCATTCTCTGTTGCTTGGTCAAGGTGATAACCATGTTGACCATTTTCCATGCAAGCCGCCCTAGTCTTTTCTGGACTTCTGCATCAGTCTGTCCAGCGTATGCAGCTATCGGAGAATACAGGGGACTACCGCCCACGGGAGGGAACTGCAAAAAATCACCAGCAAATATAATGTGGACGCCACCAAACCACTGATCTGGCTTTTCCTTAGCATACCGAAGGGCATGGTCTATCTGTACCAACAGCTGCAAGCTTAACAGGGAAACCTCATCTATAAGTAAGTACTCAATGTTTTTCCACTCCTCGCGAAGCTGGGTGTGGTTCTGCACGCTAATCAGGACTGAATAATCTTCCAAGGAGGTTCCAGGCTGTCGTGTACCTTTTCCTTTGTTCAGTGATTTAATTTTCAATCCAAGCCCCTTGTGCACAGTCATACCATCAATCAGTGCTGCAGCAGAGCCAGTGGGAGCCAAGAACCTAATAAGATGTGCACAGCCATAATGATGCATAACTGCCTGGACAGCTTTCACCACGTGAGTCTTGCCTGTGGCCCCGGGACCCGTCATCAGCATAGTGAGCTGGTTAACCAGATCTGCATCCTGCTTCTTGTCAACGTACTTCAAGATGAAATGAGACGTGATGATTTGGAACGCCTGCCACTGCATCCTATTAAGTTCAAACGTGGTGCCGATCTCAGTGACAATATCACTCACTGACCATTTGGTAGTAGCTTCTGCAGGCATCGTCTGAACCTCTGTGGGCAAGCAACCAGCCACAACTGCAGGAAGCTGAGGGGTTGTGACTGGATTATCTAGGCCGAGTTCCATTTCTGGGGGTGCCTGGACCTGCAAAAGCTGCTGATCTGGATTCAGGGTGTTTCAACATGTAGTAGTGATTGTCTGTTCCTGCTGCTTCACCTCACATTTCCACAGCTTGATGGACCTGCTGATCCCAGTGCCTTCAGGATAATGGTCAGACACAGTATCAGACAAGCCAGATATGTTAACTGAGGAGTGATCCAACTAGCCAGATTGTTGCAGCTCAAGAACAGCCTGCTGCACACGGAAATCACTTTCAGAACAATGGGTTGATGTTTGTTGGAATGCAAAGTCAAGTCCACCTCATCACCTTCCACAGCGATAGAAGCAGTCAGCGCCTCGCATGCATGGGTGAGCTGCGCACATTTATGAAGTCTATCTGCATCATGCTCATCCTTGCATTCATAAACAGCCTCCCAATTCTTCATCACCTTCAGACTCCTTGAGCAGAATGCAAAACATGAGTAGCATTCAATTGGATCTTCATCTACACCCAATAGATCGGCTGAAATGCTGAAGGCCTTGAAATGTGCAAGAGCGAATATGGCCCACAACTGCGCATTAGTTGGGCGTGGAATAGACATACCAACAACATGTGGGACATGTTCCACTGCTCCGTCACCCCACTCATTATTAGTGTGTTCAACCAACACATGCGTCTCACAGTCAGGATGTCCTAAATTCAATGTATGCCTACGGAGAACACCAAGTCGAGTCTCAAAGGTGTGCTTGATCTTCGCACTCTTGCTAATACTCTCCAGATGCACACACTGACAGAAATCATAAAAATTCATATGCGAAAGTGTATCGGCATGGTGGAGGTAGTGGTGCACCTGATTAGCATCCAGGAGCTGTCCCTGATCATCCGTGACGATCTGCAACATGTGCACAGGCTCCGCATCTTCATTGTCACGATCAAAACCACAATCAGTGTCAGGAAGAGCATGGCCCGACTTCAACCAAGGATAACGATCCTTCACATACCCGATCAATAGCGAGGAAAGCATTGGCGATGTGTCATGGGAAGAAATACCATCACTGAATCCTTGGATGTAATGTACCACTTGCTGAGCATGTACCTGTTGCTGACCATTGAACTGTGATAGGCACTTATGTAGTAGCATCATTGCACTATCAGTGAGGGATACACCGGGTCCAGGTACAGGCACACGAGCCACAGCGTGAGAGAGTAGAGACAAAACCTCATATGTTTTCACGTCTATCTTCGTAATGTAGTCCGAGATATGGAACATAGCAGCTTTCGCACCTCTGCCAGATAAGATATACTTGATGTTATGATTGTGTCTACAAAAAACCAAAATATATGGATTGAAGTAGTTAACATTTGCATCACGGCACATAAGTACAATGGAATTGGTCTCAGGATCAAACGAAGAAGCTTCCAGAATCTTGTGTGGAAACAAGAACTGACAGCGATCGTCATTACCATATTTATGACAGACAGGGCGACATCTGTGCCACTGGAGCACCTCACCACACCGTTTGATCTCAGTAACGTAAACAGCATCCCACTCTCGCAACACATCTAACGGAGATTTCACATTGGGTGGACAGGGTGGGCGTTGAATGCGTGGTTCAAAGTTAGGCTCCATCACGTCATCTGTGTCAGGCAGATGATGGTGAATGATGTCCTTGAAAAAAGCGAAAAACCTCTGCTGATATTCAGGGGAATCGCGGAGGCGCACATGTAGATCTGAAGGATTGAGCCCGCCATCCAGCCAGATCAGAAAGTGTCCATGCAATGAGCCACACTCCGTAAACTCTGAGGTACCATAGAAAGCGCAAACACACCCGAGGATACCACCAGAAGCAGTGGAACGTCTGGCTTCGAAGTCCCACCCCAAAAGGTGTCGGAATAGGGACCTGAAAGAGAGCTCAAAAAAGTCTGCTGCAGCTACAGGATCCTGTGCAAGTCTGAGCACACATTCACGCCCACAGGGCATCACAGGAAAACGCTTGCTGAGGTCCACCGTTTTGTCGCCAAACATTACCTGAAAAATGGGACTGTGAGCAGGGCTGAGGTTAAAGGTGAAGAATATGTGGGGCAAGCCAAAATACCCGTAGTAGTTGCAAATCTCATTCCTCACGAATATTTTCGAGGCCTGCAACCCAGGAATGCGAGCAGACATGATGTTCACTTGCTGCAATAGTTGCAGGGCGTTACGCTCCTCAGCGGTTGGATTGGCCAATTTACGTTCCTGTTCAAGCTTAACAGCCACACGTTCAAGCAGGAGCAGCGACCTGGTCGTGAGTTTGCAGGCGACACTATCAAAGTTCGATTTGCCCACAGTGAAATAGGTCTGGAGATGAGCCTGTAGATGCTGCAATATGTTCAGCAGGATAAATATGAAACTGTTATGATAATGAAACGCACGATCGGACAGGGATAAGAAGTACTTAGCTTGTGTCTTGATTTCGAAGCCCCCAAGCCCATAAGGAAAAAGAGTGGGATACAGACCTGGAAAAAAACAAGGATTGTTGTACTCGGTCCCAGGTTGGCCACCGTGGTGAATAACAAGGTTGGGCTGTGAATCCACCACATCTTTGGGAAGGAGATTGCGAATAGCGGATGCCACGAAACTTTGCCCAGTTAACTTGTCGCTCTCGGGATCCGATACTCCCATCTTCTCCACCATGATCGTCTGCTCACCCAGGGGATCTGCATCATCATTGGTAAACAAGCTTGCTGGGTGCTTACTGAATCCAGCTGATTCCTCACCAAAAACAACATCCACATTCAGCTCGTGATCCTCCACAACATGTTCAGCAAGACCTGGGATAGGACCATCCTCAGGGTATAATGACATAACAGAGGAGTCCAGGGGAATATTGGCGTAAAGGGTGTTGTGATAACGCAACCAGATCAGAAATGTCCAAATCTTCTGTCTCCGCACTCGAAATAGTGTGCCCATTCGCATTGGATCAAACTTCTCGGGGCCGATGAACACAACACTGAGAAAACCATTGACATCAGTAGGAGTGCGAGGGAGGACGGTCGCAGTCAACATAGTGTTCATCTCATGAGCACAAGTGTTGCCATGAAAAACCCTGGGCTGGGTCGGATCCAAAGACTGGAACAAGTGGGTGACATGTGCCATGATGCAATACAATGCGCACACCTTCTCCTTGACCCACGTCAGATCTGCGAATTGCTCAGGCAAGGGTCCACGATACAGATCATTGGCAAGAGCCAGCCACGGGATTTTGCGCTTGAACAACGAAGAGCGGCAATCCGGACATATGTTGAACCCCCCGGCTTTGCTTGTAGTGCCAACAAACTGGATACCAGACTTGTCCAACATCAGACCATTGATCACATCATTTTGGAATGAAAAACTTGCTGACAGACTCTGAACAATGCAACATCGTATGATAAACGAATCTGAGATCTGCAGTATGTCCAGATTGTAGCAAGCCAGATCATCTGAAAGGTCCACAACCAAACAGCCTTCAACAGACCTGGAACAAACGGCACATGTCGGAGGTTCTGACCACTGGGAACCCACTTGATAATTACCAAAACAGCAAAGAACGACATCCCGAGGGACAATGGAGGGCCATGCCTGCTCACATTCCTGACGAATGACATGGGCAGCAGCAACAGACTCTTGCTTCAAAGCATACTGACGGGCCTTTTCCCAATCGCTCCTTGACTCCTTAGCAGAATGCAACTCATGCGTGATGCAGTTGACAACAACAGAGCTGAACTCGGAGCGTAGAATATGACATATTATCTCCCCATCAGCGCAGGCAGACACGTTGACAAAGGGCAAAAGGGCTGTGACAACATCAGCCACCATCCTCGGGCCACTACAACAAAGCTGTACCGCACACAGCCACAGTGCATTTGCAATGCCATTGCACGACTTCTTGTGTGATCGAGTGTCTATCAAGGCATGGTAATTCAGTGGCAGCAGACGAATGCAAGTAAATATATCCTCATGGCTCAGATGGCGGAGCGTGCGGACTAGATCTTCAAAAGGATAACTCAACCAAGGTATACCAAAAGCGGTAGAACATTCAGAGGTGTGGAGTTCCTCTATGACACCTGCAAGAAGAGGAGGTGGAGAGCATATAGCAGCAGCAACCCATTTGCCATACACCTTGCAAATATGGGCGGCGATGACAGCGCCTCGCGACCTCGTACAATGGTCAGGCAAGGAAATGTTGGACAACTCTGAAAACAAGAGCTCATCTGACATCTGAGAAAGCTCAGTGTGCCATTGGAAGAAATGAGCCAAGATAACTGTAATGGCACTCTGCTTGGTGTGAATGTCGTCTCTTCTGCGAACAAACGCTCGAGCGCTAGAGGTCAGAACAGATGCGGGCAAAGTCTGCAAACTGAGGAGATAACAAGCTTCAGTGTATTAAAACCAAGAAGGATTGCTGCATTGCACAACAGCTATGTTCGCGGATAAAGGTTCATGTATGGAAGGAGCATGATCAAAAGGAGGCAAGGTCTTGTCATCGTGAACAGCATAATCGTGTGGACAATGATCATTATCAAGAACGAATGCCATAACAGCAGGCTATGAAACAAACACATCAAGCTGCAAGCAACAAAATCAGTCAAAACCATCAGCCCACTTGTGAAGAACAGGTACTAACTGAAACCACGCAGGACGGGAGATGAAGAAGAAAAAGGAAGCAGAGGGCCCAAAAAAAACGGGATATATAACCAATGCATGTCTCATTCTGAAACGACGCATCGTCAACACAACGTAAGCGACAGGGTTTTCCAGTCATCACCATTATGTAACCAGCAAAGATTTTACAGGTTGACGACACATTTCCGTCTGACAAAACCCTTCTCCCATTAATTGTGGGAGTCGGGGATTGTCGACAAGAATAGACGGGTGTACCCAAATCAAGATATGAGGATCAGCCAGAGAAGTTCAACAACATGTCCCAGCACTGGTATTGATACAAAGAAGCCTGTATGCATACTCAGAGAAGTTCAAAAGCATGTCCCAGTACTGGTATTGATACAAAGAAGCCTGTATGCATACTGTACTGGGACTGAGAGTCCTAGGCCAGTATGAATACATAGTCTTCTACAATCCCTGAGTTTGTATTAATAAATATGACACTATGGCCTCAATTGGAAGGTATGTTCTCACATTTCGGACACTGCTACACCCAGTGCTTTCTCAAATCTGACTCCAGTTTATTGCCAAGGAACACCAGCATTACCCAGACACCGCGTCGTTTTGGTGTGCATTCAGTGACGGAAATGGCAAGAGGTTTTCCTATCAGCAGATCCTTAACTGCATTGCGGACCAGCAGATTTCAGCGGCCGCTCAAGATGCTAATGATGCACACATATTTTTTGATGAGAATCTTGACCATCCACTGGCTCAAGGTGCATTCAGATACACCAAGGGTGGGAAGAGCTATGTATCAAGCAAGGACGACGCCGTCGCAAAGAAGTGGTGTGAACTTCTAGCAACACGACCAGACATCTCAAGTAGGGTTTTGGCTGCTCAATCATCCTCCCAGTGAGCGCGCTCAATTCTCAGTGGTTTTTTCTTTTTTTTCTTCCCACTTGCATTACATACTTAATCCATATATCATACATCTGTATCCATAGCTATTTCTATTTGACTATACTAGTACATCTTAATCTTAATTCAAGTACCGTACTTGTAGGTCTACAAATTAATCTTCATCTGTTGCATTGACAGCTGCAGTCATCTGATCTTGAGGAAATGTCGTTGACAAATGAGTTCAAAATGGCTATGGCCTTGTTGGAGATACCCGTACCAGGGTGCACCTGCCTCAACACTGCAATAAAAGTTAGACCTGCAATGAAAAAGTAGAGGAGAGTGTACCAATGCGCTCGAAGATATCATTGACAAACGAGTTGAGGATGGCCATGGCCTTGTTGGAGATCCCTGTATCGGGGTGGACCTGCCTTGATAATTGTTAGCCTTGTCAGTAGTCTTTGCAGGTGCCTTTAAGGCAGGACTAGACAAAGAAGTAGAGGGAGGACATATCAATGCGCTCAGATATCATTGACAAACGAGTTGAGGATGGCCATGGCATCCCTGTATTAGGATGGACCTGCCTCAACAATTGTTAGCCTTGTCGGTAGTCTTTACAGGTGCCTTTGAGGCAGGACTCAACAAAGAAGAAAGAAGGTAGAAAGAAGGTATACCGATGCGCTCAAAGATATCGTTGACAAATGAGTTCAGGATGGCCGTGCGCTCTGAGATGTCATTGACAAAAGAGTTCAGGATGGCTGCATGCTCGGGGATGTCGTTGACAAACGAGTTCAGGATGGCTGTGCGCGCTGAGATGTTGTTGACAAATGAGTTCAGGATGGCCAGGCGCTGGGGGATGTCGTTGACAATAGAGTTCAGGATGGCCGTGGCCTCATTGGAGATGCCTTTCTCAGGGTGCACCTGCCTCAACACTGTGGCCAAAGTTAGACCCACAACAAAGAAGCAGAGGGAGGGTGTACCGATGCGCTCAAAGATATTGTTGACAAACGAGTTCAGGATGGCCATGGCCTTGTTGGAGACCCCCATATCACAGTGCACCTGCCTCAACACTCGTCAGCCTTGTCGGTAGTCTTTGCAGGTGCCTTAGAGGCAGTCGAGACTCTGGCTTAGGCGCCATTTGATGATCTGGTGGTAGGAGATCTTGAAGCAGATCTGAGTGAGTGCCGAAAAGGTGGTGAGTGAATGATGGACGCACGAATAAAACACATCCGATCCTGTTGGCAATCTCCCAAAAATGGTAGTTCTTCGTCGGATGATGGCGACACTAGGCTGCTTTTCCATCCACAACATTGATCGTTGGTGGTCAAGGTCCAGGTGGAGCGCAATTGGCAATTGAGCCCAATGAGGAAGGCAGCGCTGTGGCTGAGTTGTCACGTGTCATGTTTGCAGTCTAGGCGAGACTGCAAACCGTCACTGAAAGGACCGTCAATTTTTCACACGAAGTGACATCAACGGCCTCAAATGCAACAGACATCACCATGGGAAAAAACAACTGATTATAACATAAGCAAAGCCATCGGTTCAGCCAGAGTGCACAAACCATGGTGAGAAGCTACTGCCATTTTCATGCCAGGGTGTTTGCAACACGTAAGCGAAGCCATCTAGAGTGCACGAACCATGGTGAGAAGCCATTGCCATTTTTATGCCAGGGAGTTTGCAATACACAACGCCACCATGACCCTGTCAATTCTTCATCCTATGGAAAGCCAGACCAATGTCCAACAGATGTTCATGTGAGGACCACAATTAAATCTGCAAACCATGAGTCGTTGCATCAACGCAAAGTAAGAAAGACTTTCAAAATCAACCGACAATTCTTTCAATACCAGATCGTCACCAGAAGATGCATGTGACACATAGATGGGCCAACAGGCATGAAAAAGATGATTGTCCTCTCCCGCAGCACACGTGATATCCTTAAGAGATGGAACAGACAAACGCAGACAGAGATCCAGACACCTCTTGAACTAATATATAGCCGAGAAGTGAACAATGTTCTGAAAAACCATGTGAGATTGCGCAAGCTTCGGGAGCACCTAGTGCAGCTCCTGCTTCAACACAAACTCCTGAAAATGTATGTCAAAGCAGATTGCTCTTCATCTCTTCTCGCGACGACACTACTTGCAATCCGGCAGTAAATATAGGAGCTCAGTGAAAACATGTCCTGAGTTCGAGAACACCACGTGATAACTGTTGATATAACCGAAGAGTATTGTAAGGAAGCATATTGTATAAGTCATTGTACACAAACAACACCATGTGACCGATACAGTGTAGAAAACGATGAAAACATGTAGTGATACAATTTGAAAGCTGAGTGGTGAAAACGTATGGTAGTGCAACTTGAAACACTCTACACAAGATGCACAGTAGAATGAGACATACTATGTGACTCTTCCTCTCTTCTTCCTTGGTCCAGCTCCAGCATCCTCGGTCTCATCAGACATGCGCTTGAGAAAGTTATGGTGCCATAAGCGGTACCGTTCGAACCCCGTCTGCTTCACTGCTGGCCGCAGTTGTGTGGTGCATTTCTTCCAGTCAACTACCTCATTTGGTGGAGACCAATCCTGGACAACCTGGAGTGAGTTGCTGAAAAAAATAGAACTGATGAATTTACGATAATCAGTGAATTCTAGTGCTTACAGGAGCGTATCATCATGCGCATGCTCAGTACGTAGGTGTACAAGAACTGCTTCACAGATTCTCTCAAGTGTGCATTGGAACATCTGTTGAACTTTCTCCAGGCCCTCCTTGTCTCGGTTGGGGTAGAGTACCTGTGAATGTAAATAGTTAGCGTGAATATGAGACAACACGGAGGCATACGTACAGCAGTTGCATAATAAGTAGGATGATGCGATTTCAGGGTGAATCGTCTTTTAGCAGGTGAATCCACATGGTTACGGTGACCATTGCAGGGTGGAACCACCTATGAGACTGCGACGCGAACCCACCATTTTCCGACCGTGTTAACTCTCCGATCTAAACTCCCCTCCGATCGAGCTCGTTCTCGATACCTCATTCATATGTGGGTAAGGTGTGTTTCCGTGTTTTGGCAATGTTGATGTGGGTGGCGGCCAAGACGTGCTCATTCTGATCGGTGAATTTTTGCAACTGGGTGATGGCACCTTCAGATGTCTGAGAAACAGACACCTCGAATGGCCAGTAGGGACAGACATCAGCATCGCGCGTCTGAAACATCAATGACAAGTCTGGTATTCTAAGGCGGTACTTCTGATCACTGGAGGGGAGTTCTGCAGTAGCGGGCGCATCCAGCATATGCCCCATGTGGATAGGTAGAGAGACCTCGAAATCATCAGGAATGACAAAAGAATCAATGACATTCCCCATCGCAGTGAGCAAAGGCACTAGGATTGCCTCATGTATTGGTGAGGGCGTGGTGGCGATGATTTGGCGAAGGCTGGGGATGTATGATGGTCTGAAGCAAAGTGCAAGATCAATCAGCTCAAATTCAGATCAGGATGAAATCACTCACTTGCGAACCAGTTTATCGTCAGATCCAATAGCATTCAAAACATATTGATAATCTTCTTCTGAAATGTTCGAGAATACCTACACGGCAATCAGCCTGAGAAAATCAGAAGCACACAACTTCTCATACCTCAACTTCGGGCCCATCGCCACCATTCCGAAGTCTGCTGATAATCAATTGGTGCAAGCCTGCAAAGTTTGGGAAATAAATTACATAGTCTGTGAGTTGCAACACACGTACCAGGATCCTGTGTGTTCGATTCCACATCTTTGATATTTCCTGGTTTCAACAACTTTGGTATTGAGTGGGGTCCATTTGTTACTCCTGAACTCGAAGCTGACTCTAAAACAACGGCGCTAGCTGGATTTTTCGCAATACTTGTTGTAGGTGTAGAGTGCTTTTGACATTCCTGGAATCCTGGATGCCTGATTCCACATTTTCAATGTTATTTGGCTTCAGCAATTCTGGTATTGTTCATTTGATACTTCAAGGTTTGAAGCTGGCTCCCCAACAACAGTAGCTTGACTTTTCAGAGTTGTTGTAGGGGTAGAGTGCCTCTTGATGTTCCCTGGGGACGGTCCTCTAAATGATCCAGGAAGTATGTGGGGCTGAGACTGCCCGCCACTGTTGTACTGTAACAAACGGACGGGAGGCATGATTTCAAAGAGTGATTTCTTGTTAAATTCACACCTTATAAGCGAAGACTGTGGTGCAAGCCGGCGTTCAGCTTTTACCGAGGTTTCGGGTTTCTCACTTGCCACTAAGTCCAAATATATAATCAGTGGTACATTCAACATTTGGCGTCATTCGTACCTGAGCGATCTAGATTTTTTTCATTACCATCTTCCTGGCTGGAATATACATGACACACTATGTTGAGTTTGACTACGTTAGAGTAGGTCGATTGGTACGGGTGTAAGTCTCTCGTCATTGGTAGAATCGATGCGTGTCTTCCCACATGTGTGAGAGCAAGACGCAGCAAAAGTATGATGCTACCACTTGCTTGATGCGGTCCATTGTCGAATTGCCATCAGTCGATGTAAACGCAAGGTCAAAAACTTTTGTGGCATCCTGGAATTGCCTTTTCCCACAGAGGGCAATGCCCTTCGCAATATAGCCTGTTAGTGATGGATTTATGCATAGTGACTATGCCAGGATCAATGTTAGTCCATGTGAAGTGCATGCCATATGACTTACTTCATTTGCATCTTGAAGTGCATTGTCCCCAGTTGAGTTTGCGTGCGTACGTTGTGTAGTGAGCCAAGATTGATCCTATTCTGTGAGTCATGTATCCAAATTTTCAGTGGTCCATCGGCAATCTGATGCACAGGATCTGGGTGCAGAACCACATTCCCTTGGCACCAGCAATACATCTTTGTACAGCGGTCAGTCTACTCGAATACTTCATTACTCCCATGATGGCCATCAAGGCTGCACCGCTGATATAACCACACCCATGGGTCATGATTTTTTCAGCTGAGGGCTTTCCCTCGCCACAGTCCACAGCATCTAGATATTTGAGCAGTCAGTACCTCATATTTTATGAGCTCGAGGAGATATTACATTGGTCAGCAATGAAGATTATGTTTTTAATGCCCACACCTCACTCTTATGCCCCGCCATCATCTTCAACAATGTACCTGACCTCAAGTCCCACATATGAAGCCAGGAGTCCAATGAGGCAGTGACCATACACTGTCTATCAGGGAGCACTGCGACTGTGAGCACCGCTTGATAGTGATATTCAAATGCTCGAATGGGTGTAGTGCTGGGACTGAACTAATTCATTTTGCTGGAGGCTGGCGGTAGTGAGCACGGTCACGATTGACTTGCTGGAGAGATTGTGAAAAGGAACATTTTAATCTGTAAGCCAACATACTATATGAGCACAAAGGGCAAATTGTGTATACAAGCAGGTGGCGTCAAGGTATGAATGAAAACTGCTCAAGGTAAAAATTGCTAGGTGGCATAGAGTGCGCTTCGCCTCCCATTGGGAGCTGAAGGAATTCCTCTGCGACTCCAAGTGATCACTCTATAGCGACTACGGGGCTTGCAAGACCACGGTCAGGTCTATAGAAAGCAAACCGCACACGGTCAGTGCGCCTTTTCAGGCCTGAGAAGCTAGGAAGGGATTGCAGAGTAAGAAAAGGACTCATCGCACACTTGCATCTTATATATGTTTTGCAGAGCGGCTGGATGATCTGCTCAGTGCGCATCGACGTCACTTGGAACTGATTCACATGCCGCTTGCGTGATCTGCAGATGGAAGACCGAGAGATCGAAGAAGAAGATGACACAACAATATAGAGAAAAGGACGATGCTTATGATCATGATCACATAAATGGTTGTTTATTCCCAGGTATTTTTTCGTGGTACGCACAGCCACAATTGTCATGACCTTGTATTCACTTTGGTAATCAACATTTTTTCTCAATTAGCAAATGAAGCTGGTGAACCGCTTGGCACCCATCGAGTGTTTCGTGCTCCAGTCATGGACCTCCACGGATCACCTATTTTCTGGGTGCAGTCCATAGCATTTCCTCCCCAGTCATGTTAAATTCATCCAATCCCGCAGATTCGCCGTCCATTCACCTGGATAAACTCATGCATATTCATTCAACAATTAAACAACCTTCACGAGTATACACCGGAAGGAGAACCTGTTCTAGATATCTTCGCAGAAGTCCAATGTCAGTACCGACTCCTGAGACTTGTGTCGTAGTGATCAGCCTAGGCGCGTCCTTTCTACCACCTCTGAGCCCCAGCCTGATCCTCTGATAGATTCATTCACCCAATTCACAAAGATTGATGAGGGGCTCTGGGCATGGCACTTTAACATGCTTGATGTGTGTGGGACACCTATTGCGTCAGTCAACAGGGCATTCCGCAGCTTTGAAAGAGAGGTAAGTTAGATGCCCATATCCTTCTCCGTGCTTAAAAATTTCGTTCAGGAGCTCAACGGTTTCGCAGATTTTCACTGATACAGGTTCTGAACATGCCATGTCCTGAGATGCCAATCTTAGCATTCGATGTTGCATCAATGTACATGGATCAAGATCCGCAAATCATCCACTTCCTGCTCTTGATCAAAGTATGTTTCCACTTCATCGTGTATTTCAGACCATTGCCCTCTTCAATGCAGATCAAGATGACAAGGCCAATCTGCTCCTCAAAGAACTCGCTGCTGGTTGTCCGGATGCCGATGCTCTCACGTGTGATGTCGTGCAAGTAAGTAGCATCCGCACTTGGTCATTAACACTAATCTTTGCAACTCGCGCATCAGGCATATCTGCGTCCTTTTCATAACTGAGTCCCTTGTCCAGCTCTTTGGCTGGGATCTCAAATCATTGTGGGTCACTGCACACCAGAAACATTGTCATGCACTCCTTCGGGCAGGTAAACTTCAAGATGCCGCTAAATCATACTGATACATGATGGACAATATTGATGAAACAACGAGGGCGAGCTGTGTTGAATGGTCCAACGGTGAATGCACATTCCAATCGTAATGACGAATGTTCACTTCCGCCTCTGTTACAAATTTAATATTGACTGGTCGTCTTGCAGCTATGTTGATTGCTCGGTCTCTTGCATGTGAAGTGCACATAAGTCATATTGACTTGATCCGTTTGTTTCGAGATTTGCAGCCAGTCCATATGATATGCAAGATGTTATGTTGCGTACTGAAAAACTTAGACGTGAAATAGCCACTGATATGGTATACCAGTTTCATGCCCATCTGGTGTTTTGTTTCCAAACTACAAGTTTCAGTGTCCCATACTGCAGTGTGTGACTTAATATGTGCGTGACGTTTCCTCACGTGCTTTGTGTCACTCAAATTTATCGACAGTTCAAACAGTGTACACGTTGACGTTGGGCATGTGGACGTTCAAAGATATGACAGAACACCATTTGTGTAAACTCAAGGGTTCAAATGTGCAAGCTGCATGGAAAGTGGCTGCCGAAGGCGAAATGGGGCCATCATTGTGTGCTAAGTGCAGTAAGGATACAGCCCAAACTCTTGGAACATTCAGGATTGTCTTTGTGGCCATGTCCGTGGGTTGTGCCCACCCTGTCTCAGCCTATCAACTGTCCGTTGATTCCTTCTAAGTATCAGTTCATCGCAGAAAAAATTGAACTTGTGAGCCAACATCTCGCAACAAATAGAATGATAGCCACCGAACCAACTGTTGGTTTGTTCAGTGATTGAGGAGTTGAAACACCAGCTCTTCCCATTGTCGCCTAGAAGTTCAGGATAGTCTGCAGGGTTGCAATTTTCCTGGCAATAAGTGTCGCTCTGCGAGTGCTTGCAGTTGAAATGGAACACATCAATCGACAAGCTGATGTCCTCAAAGAACAGATCAGCCTTGACCATCTTCAAAAGGGTGCAATTGTTGTCAAAGAAGATGTGGTCAGGCTTCATCGTGTCAGGACCTGTGTAGTGTTACAGGCATCCGTAACACCTACCGGAGCCCCAGCTCTGCCTACACCAGCCCCCACCCCACTAGACTCGCAAGACGGCGGCACGCCGCCTGCGCTTAGAAAGACAGCAGTCTGGACCACTGTGACACCACCCCTGGCACTGTGACACCACCCCTGGCGCTATGACCCTGCCCCTGGCCTAGACGGCCTTGTACCTGATCCATGAAGGCTGTACGCCTCATGGTCACCCTAGATCAGCGCATGTCCGGAGCGCTCTTGGTGCCTCATGTACTTATGCACAGTCGCACTTGGCGCTGCATGCTTGATCAGAGGTTAAGCCTCACGTACCTTATCTGACCCTCATGTCTTGTTATCATAGATCCTAGATATACTATAGATTACAGACTGAGCTAGAACACTTACATGTAGCACATATGAGTAGACAGATTATTGTACTTAGACTTTACTTTAATCTACTAGGTTCATCCCAGAACTTGTTCAACTAAGCCTTCCAGCTTTCTTGTATAAGACCGCACTTCTAAGTCGCTCCCCACTTCTTAGCCGTATCCGCTAGCCCTGTATCTTGACGAGCGCCGTCTTACCAAGATCACCGGAGGAACCCTTGATGTTCCGTCAAGCCGAGAAACACCCTCAGCTTCAGTAGACTCACTCGAGTCGTCGCTGAGAAGACCTATCCTAGTTCACACATGCCGACCGACGGTCAGCGTAACATGTAGATGTTCTTTATAAAATCCTAGAAGAGGACTCAGAGCTGTAAGATCCTTCTAAAATCAAAACAGAAACTTCTACACACCTTCACACTCACTACTCCTTCTGCTCCAATGAAAGTCTGATGTGCAATAATCATGCCACATGGTGCAACCATGAGTTGCTCGTTGTGTGTCCTTCGGCGACCAAACATGGCTTTCAACCTTTGTCTAGTGGTGGGCTGCTCAGGTGTTGGATCACTGCTACCATTATCAATGACAGGTAGCGCTAAAGTGCTTGTCTCATTGAGCTCGTATTCTTCTTCAGCCTCAGGTGGGTGGAGGGTTGATATCTGGATGTCCTGACCGACTGCGTCATTAGGGTGAGCAACTCTAGAACGAGCAAGACACTCCTGGAGCTGGAACCTCAACTGTCCGTGCAACTGATAGGTTTTTTCAACATGTTCATGGGCTGGTGTCAAGCATGTGCGGTGGCCGGATACCACAGGCAAGTCACAACCGATGATGGAGCAAATGCCATCATTGCTTAAATGGGCAGGACAGAATCAATGGTGATTGTTTGACAGCGGGATGTGGCAGTTGCGAACCAAACAGCATGGGTGGCCGACTGTAACACCATCAACAACAACCACGGATACCTTGTGCATGGCTTCAGGGAGGTCAGATCTACTATATACTGGTTAATATTACACTGCAGTACTTACCAACACCTTGATCATTCCCATACATGCAAGTGCACCAGTTACAGTAGTAGTAGTGCTGCCACGGTCCGGTCCAGAACCACGGTTTGAACCAGACTTTTGGTCCAGTTCTCTGTGGTTTGGTCCATGGTTCTCTCACCAGCCAGAACCAGACCGCAAAATGGTTCTCGGTTCTAGGTCAACCCGAATGGTTCCATTCTGGTTTGGCCTTCCTGAACCATTCCAAATGCTTCTATTGATCACTTCGACATCATTTGCCTCGACATCAAGCTGTCCTTCGGGATTTGCGCTCTCGGTTGGTCAGGCTACCTTTTCACCTTTTTTGAATGTAAGTACTAACTAATCAGACTGCATTTCCCACCCACTGACATATGTTTTACTATGTTGCAGCTATCTCTGTCTATACATCTTCCTCGGTGGTCATGATTCTCCACCGGCTTTCTGATCTCCTTGAATATCATTGTTCTTGGGTCCGTGGGTGTACAAAATGCGGTCTCAATGACGAAATCATGAGTTATTTCCCTGAACATGTCTCACGACTCATGCGCACTCAATTCTGACGGCTCCCTCAAGGATGCCTCAGATATCATCTTCTACAATGACCCTGATGATCATGCACCATTGCCACAGGTCCCACCTTTGACGTCAACTCAATCTACGGTCCCAGCTTCAACATCAACTCAATCCACTGCAAAAAATGTGTTCTCCGCTCTGTTCAAATCGGGACACACACCAGTGCTAATTGCAGCTGGTTCTTGATGTTTGACTCGCACATCAAAGCCCTCTGCTCATGTTCAGGATGCTGACAACGCATCTTCATCCTCAAGTACTGTAGTGAGGAAGCACGCATTATCCAGCACTGCTGATCCTCCACCACCCAAGAAAGCCACCATGTGTATTTTGTCTCCTCTGGACTCTGATGACGAGAACGAGGGCAATAACGGTGGGGGGTAAGTTATTCTTTGTATTATCACATTCTGAGCTCACTCTATTTGTTAGCTACACTCACTTCAGTATCCAACACTATCTCGTATTGCGTGCAATTATTCACCAATTCAGGGCAGTGCAGTTCCCTCTGAATGCACTTTCTCTAGTGGGGGGATCACATCAACACTGCAGCGCAATGCACTGGCCCCAGCTACATTCTCCGCACTCCAGTTATTGAAGGCAGGTTACCGCAATGGACACGTTTCAGCAGCTACAGAGGCAGAAGAGTTTGCAGCTATGTTAGACTAGCTACTCAATGTGTAGACTAGCATTTTGTCAATGTTTTTTCGTGCTCCCTACTGAATTTTTTTTGGTTCGGTTCGAGTTCAGACCAGAAGAAAACCGAACCGGACCATTGAGAACGGTTCTCAATGGTCTGGTTCTGGGTTTGAGAATTTTGGAGAACCAGACCATGGTCCGGTTCTCGGTTCTCGTCAAGGACCCTCTGAACCGGACCACGGCAGCACTAAGTAGTGGCGGCAGACATCTTCGTAGCCATACAGTCGAATGCGACGATTCCTATCCATCATGGCTTTTGTGAACCAGTCCCGCTGATCGCCTGTCTGAGGAACAGTGAGGAATGCATGCGGTGCTTGCTGTCTTCGAGCAGTGCTGTGAGTATGAATGCATCCCACACATGGTCGCCAGTAATCTCGAACTTTACATGATAGCCTTCTGGTGTTTGCTTACCCTGCGAGAGACACATGTTATATAACCGTGCGCAGTTAGTTGCCGAAGTCCTTGTGCGAGGGAGTCCCATGTCAGGCTCAACATATTTATCCAAAACATATAGTGCTTACCATGAGACATCCATGGCGGTCTTGAACAACTCAGCAACACTTTTCTCCATGAATACATGGTCAGTAACCTGTATGGTCTCCGGTTGCTCATCGTAGTATGTTTGCATACCCTCAAATACGGTATAGTTATGACAGTAATCAATGTTGCAGTCTGGCAGAAGATATATGGAAGGGTTGGAGACTTGGAGTGAAGAACTTAAATTACATACCTTGACAGTAGAGCTGGACAGACCTCACAGCACAAGGGCCATGTGCAAGCGTGAAAAGGACAACATTCCGCTGCTCAGCCTTCTTAAGTGTCATACCTTTGCCTCGACACAGGCAGTGGGGCTTAGTGCAGTATTGACTTGGGGGATAGAGCAGGTATTTGGCTAAGGGTTACCACATGAGCAAACAACTTGAAGCATAATAGCAAGTGGACATACCAAATCCCCTGTGCTGCACATCATTATCCCATATTGAGCTGACATCCACATCAATGGCACCATGTCAGATAACATGTCGTAGGAGTGTCCATGCATGATTGGCCTGTGCTGGCGAGATGGAGCAAGCTACGGCGAAGAAGGTATTGAATGCAGGAGACAACACAGGCAGCGGTGAAGAAGTTTGGGCTTCAGCAGGTTGTATGAGGATGATATTATCCTTGAGACTAGTTGCAAGATTAATGAAGTGAAAAAGAGCAGTAAGGGAGACACAGTTGATGACATCGGGCTGTTTCTCAAGATGTCGCAGTCAGTCGTAGAATGTGGCCATGCTTGATGCAGCGTCGACAATGGCTGCAAGAAGTACTGGTGTGCTTGGCGTGAGACACAGGCGGACAGACCCAGGCGTAGGCAGATGGTCCCGGACAGACCCGTAGACTGCCAGACCCGGACTGCTGGAAATTCGGATTCCCAGACTTTCTGGCGTACCATGGCCTTCATGAGAGCATTGATTTCAGCCAGGGTCACTGAAACCTGAAAAATTCAGGACAAAATTTTCAACAAACTGATATTCAACTTTCATTTTGCTTATATCTTGCTTAGAGTACAACCAATAGACAAAGTAGGGGTAACAATATGGTCCTCTCAACGAGGACTATAACTTTTGTTATGGCATCAAAAAAAAATATTGAAATAGTTGTGGGTATATATACAAATTGTGGCTGGCCTAATATGCATCAGACATTCAATGACAAAATTGTATAGGTATATAAAGAATTATCATAAGTAAAATCGCTACAATAAGTGCAATAATGATAGGTCCCATTGTCAAGCTTTACATGGTAGGATGGACATGGCAGAACTCACAAGATATGCAGGGATGAAACTTCACTGTCAAGCTTGATACACCAACTGCCATATGTGTGCATTAGGCAGTCATTGTGCAATTGTGATGCGGCCACCAACATCAGTATCTACATATATCTACATATATAATGGATGGCTTCTTTTATGACTCACACAAACGACATCAAACAGACATAGTATCATAAAGGTGTGCCAGTCCTTTGCAATTGTGATGCTTCAGCAACATTAGTATATATAGATATAATGAATGTCTGTGTGATGCTTCACCGACATTAGTATCTATAAATATACTCATTGTCTAGCATCACCTTACTGGTAAATTTGGGGCGAGAATCTCAAAATGATGTGTGCTGCATCTGTTGTGTAAGGTAGATAGTGTATTGACCAAGATGTATGGACTGCTACTGTTGGTAAAAACATATCCATACAGTTTCAGTCTGATGCTGGGTACAATCATTTCTACAGTGTTTGTCTCAAGCTACTCACATATGCACGATCATTTGTTGTAGCAGAACATATATTCTCTGGCTGGGTACAATCAACTATTATGTGCTGGATTTATGCTACATACTGTAGAGATACGCACTTAAGGTTTTATATGATTTCAAACATATGGGCCTGCACCTGCAAGGATGGAAAAAAAATACCTGAAGGCATGGCATGGTGAAAAAAACACGATGGACTAATGACAGCATTTACGGAAATATCAAGAACAAAAGAGGAGACAGCGATCTCGACGCACGACGATCGGAGCAAGGATTCTGTTCGAGCACTCATGATATGTGAGGTTAGGCCATAATACGCGGAAAATAAAGGTTGATGGTCACCGGAAATGAGTCCTCTCATTCGAGGTTCATCCACATGAAGAGACGTGCTTGTCTGTATCCAGTTAATACGATTGAAGCGCCACCTAAAAAAAAACTCTTTAATGTCGGAAGGAATGGAGAGTACAAAAATAAGACACAATGTTCAGTAACATTTGCATCATAGTTGTGTGTCCAATCATGTTCTGGATGGAAGGGAGTCGAATGGCAGCCGTGAACATCGGATGAAAATAAATATTGTTTGTGGATATATGCATTGCGCCCAATGGTGGAGTAAAGCTATTTTTGGACAGTTGAATATTTTGCATGGGCTGAGCGCACATTTACTTTCCATTAGTTGCGAATATCTCAGCAGAATGCCTCTGCAAGCAATCACATCTCGCGACTCATTGCATCGATCGCCAGAAAGTCCATACTTGGACACGTCCTTGGTTCAAACAAAGATTGCCAAATTATATGCATGAGCCGTCGACCCTGCTGAAAATGCTCGAATAGCACATGCTAGTGACTCATCAAGGGCTTCATGGATCAGGAGGTGACCTAGAACGTGCAGGCATCACAGATGTTCTATGCATGCGGACATGTTCTCCCATGAACTGAGATTCTGTGGCGCACAGGTGATAAAAATGAGTTTAACCTTACATATGTATTTTCGTCGCTCATGCAGGAAGCCAGCATGGTTCACAAGCATGTCGACATGTGATGGAACGTCCCCAACACATGCTAGCTGACACCTGCAGTCATATATGGTCTTTAAAATCAAGGATGGTCCAAAATAAAACGATTGAATAAGAATATGTCGAGGAACTTGATCACACCAGTGCCCAGCTGTTCTTGACATGTGTTGTATGATACCTGGAGCTGACTGAATCGTCAGTGATAGATGGACCAGAATGAAATGATCTCTTTTCATGAATCATATATGATCCATGACTTTAAACCAATTCGCATCAGGACAGTGATGGAAAAAAACAGTACAAAAGGCTCTATGGTATATTATGATCTAAATATGCAGGTTAAAGTCGATGGTGATGTAAGAAGCATTCACGGCCTCGATCATCTTCTTCAAAGTGCCGATAGCAAGAAGAAGGCAAGTTGTGAAACGATCCTGCTGTCACCCGAGCCATTAAAGCTGCGGGTTTTAATACTAAGATTCATAAATATACAAGTGGAAAGAGTGCCCTCACAGAACGAGCTCGCAAAACAGCTGCTGGGGATTTACATAATTGTCCATCACAAGCAACTCGGACAGGGCGATGCCTGAAAGTCTAAATAAGTAAGGGTGACGGGTTGATGCCTGATTATAAATAGGTGAGAGTGATGGGGTGATGCCTTAAAGTCTAAATCAGCAAGGGTGACGGGATGACACATCCAGAAGCAACTCAGACAGGGTGACGGGGTGACGCCTGGATAAGCAAAGGTGACAGGGTGACACCTATGGATCTAAATGAGGGTGATGGGGTGACGCCTGGCGCCTATGGGTCTAAATAAGGGAGGGTGACAGGGTGACGCCTGGCGCCTATGGATCTAAATAAGGGAGGGTGATGGGGTGACGCATGGCGCCTATGGATCTAAATAAGGGAGGGTGATGGGGTGACGCCTGGATAAGGGAGGGTGATGCCCAAGATACTGGATAAGCGAGGGTGACACATGGCGCCTATGGATCTAAATAAGGGAGGGTGACGGGGTGACGCCTATGGATCTAAATAAGCGAGGGTGACGGGGTGACGCTTGTAGCACCAAGGACAGTGCCAAGAGGACATATTGGCGGATGGGAAAAGAAGCGAGGGTGACGGACAGCCACTTACGACACCTCATGGGAAAAAGAAGGGGTGACGCTGACAGCGCCAAGGGCAAAAAATGGCGGATGGGAGAAAAAAAGGTGGGGTGACGGACAGCCACTTATGTGATGGACTTCCATTTGCGGCTGGGGTGACGGGGTGACGTTTACAGGGGTGCGCCCGTCAGACCAAATAGATATGGTGTCAGAGATGAGTATAGGGTGAGCGGCCATGCAGCCAGAATAATGCTGGATAATATAGAAGACAAGGTCAGTGATAAACATACAATTCACAATGGAAACGTCAGCCTCATGGTTCGATAAAAATACAGGCTAAAGAATATCTGCGTTCTGATCCAATACTATGGATCCCATCCAAGATCTGGTTTGAGCTGATCAGGCGACGTGTGCGGGAGATTCAGAGGACCCAAATAACCGTTGTAAAAAAGAACCCTCCCAATCTTGGCATCATAACTGGCTTGCTCAACCACATGCTTCGTTCAACTACATCTACCCCTATCATCTATGATCGTCATGTACGCGAATCCCTTGCACTCCTTGAATACAGAAATGTACTCGAGACAGCAGGGATGTTTTTCCTGCAAGACTTCGATCTAGCCAGCGACACCTGCCTGGAGGAGGTGCAGCAAATAGATGATGTAAATGTTCTGGCTCTCATGGGTGCAACTGCCAAGGCTCGAAGGGATAGAGCGGTGGGAAGGTTGGAAGGTTGGAAAAACCTCGAGTCAGAGATGGAAGACTATCCTATTGGTCGTACACCAACATGGAACACACTCAAGACAGCCATCGCAAGCTCTCCTGGGTTGATAATGAGGCAATGGACACGTTCGACCAGTTTGTCCATCAATGAACTCTCCGTTGGACGATTGATAGTCAATTTCACAAGACAAATGTGGCTCATGCTTACAAACGAAGTCTTTAAAGGTATCACACCCTACCCAAGCTCGCTCAATGATGCCATGAAGTGCTGGACAATCACAAGCATCGATGACACCCTCGCTTCTGTCGCATTTGAAGCATGCAATTCTGGGCTGCATGATAATACAGGTGTCACTCCAGGTCGCATGGGTCCCAAATCGAAAGCATTTTTGGACAGGTGCTCCTTATTCTTCCCCGACCCTGATGCATCCCACAAAGAAAAATCTCAGTGGTCCACCCTGTGGGAGGGAGATGGCTATATTGCAGAGTTTCACAGAATGATGAAGAACATGAATGAGGATCAGGAGGCATCGCTCAAGCAAGGTTTATGTCAGGTATTCTCTGACCTTCACTGTCTTCCTGCCAGCGGTGCAAGGGTGTGGATTCGAAAGAATGATGCGATAGTATTTGTGACGAATCCCGCATTTTACAGGATTGATTGTGTTGGAAGAAATGGAAAGAGTCAGAGGAGAGCTCCAAGAGCACGTCGTACATTGAAGTTGATCAAGGGAAAGCACATATTTGCAGCTGATTTGATGGACTCCCATCCATTCGACACTGATGGGAATCTGAGAAGAAAGACAGAGAGGCAAAAGCGTCGGGAGATTCACAAAAAGATGACCATGGCGAAGAGAAACAACCGGGTGCCCCCTCCTCCACGTCTACGCAAAAAATCCAGGCCATTCCCAATGCGTGCATCAGAACATGTGGCAAGAGATGATGAAATGGAGGTCGATTAGAATATGTATATGATGTTATATTATATAGATGTAAAGGTATAGCCCATAAAATTACGAAGATGATTGCGATGCAGATGAAAGTTATTCTCTGGGTGCCCCAGTATTCAAGACACAAAACTGTAAACAAGATGGATAACCTCATTACAAAGAGATAAGTCATTCATTGTCTTCTACCCCCTTACCTAGAGCATCACAAATTTATGCTTCCTTATTTAATCATTCATTTATGTAGCCTGCATAAAGACATCTCCCTCTGGAGTTAGGAAGGACTGGGTTCAAATCCCTGTCCTGCCATTATTTCAGGGAAAATATCCCACACTTTGGATGGGAAAACTTTAGGAGACTCATAATTACAAGTAAAATGGAGTCTTCCCTGCAACACCTGGCTTTGCTAGTAAATGTCAGTCTTCTAAATGTTTAGTCCGTGTTCTTCACTGACTGTGTTTTTTATGTTGTAGTGTAACTGGGGTCATCTCCACATTCTAACCTTCTGAAAGCTGGAGAATGGCTCAATGAATTTTGAATAATGGTTACTTAATTGATGGACTTGAGAAAAATCGTGAAGGGGAATATTGAAAGCTGGAATCATGGGAGGACAATAATTTGAACCTAGTCCTTCCCAACTGCGGGGGGACGTCTCACCCACTAGACTGTCCAGTCATTACAGTGAGAGACAAAGGAACGAGGAAGGTGAAGGTGGTAATCAGATGAAGCAGAGTCCATGTTACCTGTTATTCTGATATCTATTGATTGGGCAAGAGAACTTTCATAGAGTTCAGAGCTTCCTGCCTCTCCGACCAGATGGAGGGACTTATGAGGTTGGTATGGGTGGGACTCTTGTATGGCCAGAAAACAGGTGAACTCATACTGGTGATTCAAGATGAAGCAGAATCTGTGTTATCTGTTATTCTGATATCTATTCTAGACATGCACCAGTCGCAAAATTACTACCTTCGCCTTCCTCACATCTTTGTCTCTAGCTGTAATGACTGGATGGTCTGGTGGTTGAGACGTCGTCAACAAAAGTCATGTTGGTCAGTTCAGTTGACTGGCGGCCTCTGTTCAAGTTTCATTTTTTGTGTCTTCATGTGATTGGCCAGACTTGAACCAGTACTTGTTTTCAATATTATAGAACCTGCTAAATGGACTGGAAACATGTGTTTGTCCATGAAAAATAACCACTCCTATTGTGCTGCCTCCGCATTTTTTCTGCTTATGTAAGCAGGCCCACCTCAACCAATGATTGATTTTTTTAACCTTCATATGACTTGCTTGGCTTCAAATACACCTTTAATTTGGAGTTATTGAGCTCTCTAAATATGATGGTGATGCCCTTTTTGTTCAAAAAAATCACATTCCAAAGTTATGAATGTCTGTGATGCTGAGGTCCTCAACCCAAGGTCGATTGTTTCAGCCTTTATGTGACTTGATCTCAGGCTCATCATCAAGGTGATTGATAGATATATATTCAGCAGCAACAGAGATATTTGATCTATCAAGTCTTGTTCTAAGCGTGCTCAAGTCCACCGCTTTCGCTTATGTAAGCAGTGTCACCCCTGTCATGCTGCCTCACCCAATGATTCATTTTTTCAGCCTCCATTTGACTTGCCTGGCTTCGAATAGAACTTGATCCAGAGGTTATTGACCAATCTGAATCTGATGGCAATGCTTATTTCGTCCGAAAAAATCATGTTTCAGAGTCATGGTACCCCCTCCCCCCACCTACTCCACCAAGAAGCATGATTTTATGTCAATACAGATGTGCTAAGGGATGTTCCTAGTGTTTAATGATGATACAAATAGATTATAGATGGATTCAGAGTGTTCTGAACCAATATGGAATGTGATGTGTGAGTTTGCCTGGTACCCCCCCTCAAAGATCGATTTTTCTAGGCTTCACATGACTTGTCAGCACTTCAAAAGTATTCTTCCTGGGGGTTCTTGATGCTTCTGAACACGATGGTAAAGCCAGATTTGTCAGAAAAAATCTGGTTGTTGAGATATGTAGGGTCCCCCTCCCCCCTCCTAACTCATATATCTTGGTATTATATAAATACCGGTATATAAATAAGTGTTCCTACTGTTTTAAGAGCATATAAATCGATTGGAAATGGTCCCAGAGTGTTTTGGGCCCATCCTGATTAAGATATGTGAGTTTTCATGGTACCCCCCTCAAAGATCGATTTTTCTAGGCTTCTCATGACTTGCTTGTGCTCTAGGAGTATTTTTCCGGGGTGCTCTTGATGTTCCTGAACAAGATGGTGAAGCCCAATATGTCAGGAAAAATCAGGTTGTTGAGATACAGAAGGTCCTCCCCCCCCCCCTCCTACCCCATATATTTTACAACACTCACATTTCACTCAAAACCGATACTAAAAATGGTTGTCCCAGTGTTTTTAAAGCATAGAAATCGATTGGTGATGGTCCCAGGGTCTCTGGAGGTCAGCATTGTTGACCTTGGCTGGAGGGATGAAAAACTCAGTATTTTGACATTATCTACAGATCCCAACCGCCGATTTCTTTCATTCCAGGCTCATATTAATCCTTGGGCATCCCTCTAAAATATGTACCAGCCCAAGAAGAGAAAAAAATTTCAAACTTTGAAACCTATTTCTGTTTTGACCATATAAATATGACATCTGCATATTTGCGCAAATATGCACATATCATATTTGCGCAAATATCCAAATGTCATATTTGTGCAAGATGAGGTTGCAAGTGTTCCACACAAATATGACATGCGGATATTTGCGCAAATATCCAAATGTCATATTTGTGCAAAATGAGATTGCAAGTGTTCCACACAAATATGACATCTGCATATTTGCGCAAATATCCACATGTCATATTTGCGCAAAATGAGGGCCTTTGATATACCATAACGCAAGCTTAACCTAAAGGTAGTTACAAAATTATGGTTAGAATCTCCTAAGTCCGGAACAATGTCGCCACCTAGCCAGCGCAGAATCGCGGAAATAAGGCTCAGAGTCAAATCTACAGCCATGACTTGTCGGAGCGAGGAGATTGATGTCTGAATGTCATCTTCAGGCAGAGATGGCAGAGTGTACGGTGGTGCTTTGTATGAAGTAATGTCGGCCGGCAGACAGCTATTGAATTCGGATGATTGTCCCACCCAGTTCAGGGCACTGATGTCGCCCGACTGAGCTACGACCTCCTGCAAGAGCCTCCCTAGCGCCTTTTGCTTCTTCTCCCAACAAATGGCAGCCAGGTTGGCACCAAAGATACCAAACAACGAGTATGCGATATCTTCCTGCCATGTGGTGACATGCGCCGGCACCCATTGGAGTTTCTCCCGGGTGTCTCATCCCTGGACGGAAGGCGACGAGGGCTTGTGCATTGATTCCCGTCGCACCTCCCATCTCTTGCATGATTGCAAGGGAATCCTTGTGGTTGGGAGAGCGATCGCTGAGATATAGGGACCAATCCTTCTGATAGAATAAGACAAATTTTGGGGCCAGGAATTCTTGAACTGCCCATCCTCGTATGTTCCAAGCGCTACTTGCGAGTGCCCTAGGCTGCGACGAAGGCGGAACATCCGGCAGGTAGATGGCGGTGAATGCTAAGTGGTGATACCAGACAAACATGGGGTTGACCGATTGTTGGACCTCAACATTGTTAGTCTGGTCAATGCAACAGGTATCGATCCATGCCCAGCGATACCCTTTATCACGAGCAGTTTTGCAGAATGACTGCAACTTCGCGATGCCGCCAACTGGATCTAAGTCATGCAGCACCTTGTCCTGGATGTCATGCAGCGACGGCTCCTTCCCTTCCCACCTGCGCGATAGCATGGCATAACGGAAGTACGACGCCACCACGTCTTGGATGGGCTGCATTGGGAGATTTGCATCCTTCAGCGTGGATGACAAAAGTTCCTTGTACTCCGCGCTCGCTTTGAAGGCATCGATCTGCATCTCTCTATCGCATAAGCGCCCAGCGGGGGTGTTGATTAGACGATGTGGGGCGTCGCCGAGCTGAGCGTTGATGCTCTCTTCAATAGCATGTTCTGCTTCGGATAGACTAACGTGCTTTTGGCCCAAATCTGGACAAGAAGTCAGCAATATTTGAAGGATGTGCTATTTGAGGTGTACTTTGGGTTTGCGTGTCGGAAGTATTTTCCAACTTGGAGATCATGATTTTGACCGTCTCGATGGCTTCATCATATCGGTGCGCGCCATGAAGTACCGCATGCTTCAACTGATATCCAGAGTAAGATGAGGGTTTGAGTTCGATGACCTGTATATCACTAAAATGAGTATCGAATACGAAAACAGTAACTGCCATTGCACCTTGTTGGCATTGAGAAGTGCGTCGTCCTACAACATTTTTCCCGACCTTGCCTTACTGCGGTTCGTAAATGTTGTATCTGTTGCCAAACCGAGGTCGATCGCTGCAGAGTAAAGCTCGATGGCCCTATCGTAATCACCCGCAGCGAGGGCAACATCTCCACTTCTAATGATATCAGTCACTCCGGCAGCAGCATAGAGCACGCTGCAATCCTGCTTGAAAGCTAAGTGAAATAAGGATCAGAATTATTCCTGGTCTACATCAAGAAGACTCGCCAGTGGACCAACCAAGGCAGCGTGCTTTCGCAGCCTCATGAGCGCTATCCAAAGCACCACGCGGCTGACAAAGAAGTGTCTATATCCTTTCGCACACAAAAAAAATAGTGGCGCATACGATATCTGGTATACATCGTGAACCCATACAGCAAGTACGGCGCCTGCTGTGATTGGTACTACGATGGGAGCCGCAGGTCCTGCAAGGGCGGACACGATGCCCACAATAGTGCCAACCATGGATAACCCAAAAGCCCTGTAAGCATTCAATGAGATAGAAATTCATCTGTAACGTAAAAGACCGGCCTACATGGTCTTGGCGGGATCAGCTGCAGGTCCAAGTTGTATCTTATTGACCATTTTCATCATCAATTCCCTAAACTCTTGGCTGTGCAAATCACGTTAGGGCGGATGTGTCGACGACAAACAAGATGGCCATCACCTTATGAGGGTCGCGGAAGTTCCGCGCATTGACGATGCCAATGCGAAGCACTTATAGACAATCCCACATCTTGCGGTTCTTGAACGTTGGGCATGACATAAGCGCCTTCCGGTATCCTGCAAGATACGAAAGATTTAAATAGGGAGATGAAAGGCTGGTGGGAGGCCTCAATGAGGAGAAACTGCGAGAGTCGCCATTGGGCGCAATCTACTGGTAGGTGGCTTACCATTCTAGGGTTAGGGTTAGAAGCATGCCCTTGGATGCACGCTGCGATATTGCACTGCTGGACTGGCCTCTGCGCAGCTGAACCTCCCTACAGGCGCAAGTGCAGCGCGCTAGCTCTGCCTTGTTATGCTTTTCGCCCCCCGGCACACCAAAGGGAGTTACACGGCAAGGTGGGCAGAGCTCTGAAGGTGCATGAGCGCAGCGTGGTAGTGTCGTCGACCGAATGCTCCGAGAACAATGCCGATGAAACCGAGGGCAAGGCACGCTGTGACGAGTAGATGATGCGAGCGCAAGGGGAGAAAAGGCAGGCACGAGGAGGATGTGACGTCGGGGCCGACGGCTGCACAGTATCAATGTTTCATTCTAATATGTCTGATAAGGAATCACTTACAGTATAAAGTCTAGCGCGCACGCAGATGAGCGTCTCAGTTCTGTTCCCAGAGACTGAGACGTGAGTACCCATACCTTAGCTATTCGTATACAGACGCTGACGCGACCTAGTACTCTTACCTGCTAGGTACACGTTTTGTCAATACTCAGTTCTGTTCCCAGAGACTGAGACTACTCTTACCTGCTAGATTCTATCCGCGTGTGTACCTTCTCCAGAGGTAGCTCTGCCTTTTTATGCTTTTCGCCCCCCGGCACACCAAAGGGAGTTACACGGCAAGGTGGGCAGAGCTCTGGGATCTGAGGCGCGGCGCAGCAGCCAAAGTGCCTAATTGGCACTAACTGCAGAACAAAAGCAACAAGTTCGCACGCATGGCGCTTATATAAGCTAGCAACCTCCCATCATGGCATATTGTTTCTTATGTAAGTTAAGTCCTAGCAACCCAGCTTGGCCGTCTCAAAGGCGACTATTTTTTAAAATCTAGTTGAATAACCGAATAATTGGCACTCCATCGTTGTTGGGCACCATTGTCATCATCAACATCCATCGCTACCTCCTCGCGAAGGTTCTAGCCAAGAATCGAAATGAATGCGCGTACGACCTTTCAAATAAACAGCGAGTCACCTCTTCCATTGAGACGTTCTTCAATTTTCCTTCCAGTAGAGGTAGCTTGATGTCTACGAGCCTGCATTTCTTGTAGTAAGTCACATAAGGCCTTTCGACTTCTATACAAACGCTCTACCACCGATCTGCGGTCCGACTTTTCTTCACGACAACTAAAACAGCTATGTAATTGACACCTACATATTGCCTTGGATCACCAAATGATATGCCACCAATGGCGGTTAGACTGAGCCGCCTTGTTAAACTGTCACAAGCTCAGTGAGTTACAGCCATCCGGCTAACCAATTCTGTCCTGACTCGTCGCAAGCCACCATCAACACACGGTAGTAGAGCACTGCTCGATCATCCTGATTGCCTTTGCCGAGTTTAGTGAAATTGAGCGAATGTCAATGGAGCCGATATTGTTCTTCATGCGAGTCATTCGTCACGTTTTCGTCGCTCGTGTTTCTAATCTCTGGTGTAGGATGCTTATCCTATTGGTATCAACACCACATTTTCTCCTGTGTGGTACACAGCGTGTACTCCGGACTTCGGTCACTGCGGTTGCGACAACTGAAAGGGTACCTTGTATGATGTCAAGGCCCGTGTCCAGACCTTCAAAGACAGGCTCAACATTTTGGGCTTTGACCGCACCAAGTCTGTGTGGACCACACCCCAGGCATTCAGCAGTGGAGCGTAAGTCGTCTTGAACCCCCTGATGCGATCTATCTTTACTCTCATTGCAGATATTGGAACATCACTCCCACTAGGCAGCAATGGGCTGCTTTGGGATTCAGTTCCTTTAACCATGGTGCTCTAGGTAAATTATGCGATAACCCAGATACAAATAACCCTGACTTACATCGCCAGTTCCAAGTCCTTCCAATACCCGACCACAACCGGCAATGCTATGACAATTGAGGGGACAGCAACTAACCTCACTGTTATCATCACAGACATCGTTCAGCCATTCATCGTCGACCCGAACGCCACATTTGCCACCTACGACTATTTGGGTGTGGATGCCGGTCTCTGGCACAAGGGCACTGCATACTTTATATTTCACTCATCCATTGATGGTATAAATTAGGTGATCTCATTATCACAGTAGGCAAGTCTGAAATGAGTCTTCTTGCAGAATCACTGGGCTGTAGATAACTATTAGTGTATACAGCTGTCATAACTACCATATTACATACCAATTTTTCCAGGGAACTTGTGTGCTTCCTGTAATGCTCTCTATAGTGACCAAGACATGTGATTAAGCCAACTGCATGCATAGTTTTCCCAACTCCAACCTCATCCATCAGCATCACTAGTTCATTATCCAATGCTGTATCAACCAGCCTCAGAATACTAACCAGTTGATGTCACTGAGGTGTCAGGAAGCACCAATTATACCAGTAGCTACCATTTTAGATATATGCTAAGTTTTGAAGGTTCTTCAATTACTAACATTTGGAATGTCCTAGTTAATTCTAAAATGTTGTTTGTTAGCACCAAAAGTACTGCATGAAAAAACACTTAAACAGTAGCTATCATTCTGGGTATGTGCTTGGTTTTAAAGAGTTTTTTCATATTCCTGAGAAAAATATGGTCCCACAGGCACTTGTGATTTTTTGAAAATACAATGTATGCCTATTTTGATCTCTCTTTGACAAAAGTTGGGACTTTACGATGGAATGAACCTAGTGGTTCATTATAATTGAGTGTCTTTTGTGCCTGTTCCACATTGACCTATAGATTTCAGTAGCAATCAAAGGACCATGAAGTATACTTACCAGATGCAGTGACTACAGCTAAGGCCTAGCTAGAGGTATTATGTTGCTAGTGAGGGATCTGTTTTCATTCTGCACAGAAGTTTTGATTTCCTCAGGCATATTATTGCCATCTGGATGCTCAATTGATCTCATCCTGCATGTGTATATTTCAAGTTTTGTAAGCTACTAATGGAGGCGAGGATAAGTCTGCATTTATATTTGAGTGCTCCAGGATCTCCATGCATGCTAAAATGCAATGCGCCCATTTTAATTATGAGCAGCTACAATATATTTTGCATTAGATTTGCGAGAACAGATTGGGTTGGTTGCATAAGAATGAGTGTTTTTGTTAAGGTGAATATGCATTTCTTGCCTGTGCAATTATGAAGATGATGATTCAATGTAAGAGTATGCTAGCAGGCACCAAAGGAGAAGGAAAAGAAATGGCAGGAATGAAGATATGACAGCTATTCATGACTCCTCTGATGACAGCAGCATCAGCACTCCTTAACACAGTGTCTGTTCTTTCTGATGTGTCAGAAACATAAATCTTGCTAACCTAGTGAGATTTGCCTGTTGATTGACAGTTTATTTAGTCTACTCATTGCTATTGCCAATGAGAATAGCATGTGGCTTAGGATTGCTAGGCAATGCAATTGTTTATAGAAGCCAGAAGTAATGTAAGTAATGAGGGAGAAATAAACCAATACAACTCAGAAGCCATTCAAGTTGAGTACAAGAAGTGTCTGGGATCTCTGATTTCCCAATATCACTGGCAGCTGAGGAAAAATAGAGGCGTTTTATAGAGGGCTGGAGTAGTTGATGATATACCAGGTGTCAATATTGATGATGAGGGAGGATAATCCAATGGACAAGATGTAGTTCTTAATAGCATACAAAATAAAACATTTCCAGAAGTTCACTAAGAATGAGAGGTTTTCTGTATCCAAGAAAAGGGTTGCTCAGTGCAGTGCATGAGATGAAGTGAAGGAATTAGTTTGTCTCACAAATATCCATTTGGTGATATGCAAGTTTATCTTCCTGGGTTGGTTCGGTGATGGTCATATAATGAGGACTGTCTGACAGAAGATGATAAATAATTGGATTCAACAGAAATAAGTATCACTTATGAGTTCCCTCTATCAAGCTTCTCCACTGTACTCTTAAAAGCAAGATGTGCCATAGCACCATCTGATGTGGGATCTGCAGTGCTGTAGAGAGCCCCAATGTCTTAGCTAACTGCACCTGCGTAGTTATCATTGCTAGGGTAACATTCAAGCCAGTTACATAACATAGCAAGGCTAGATGACTTGCAGTGCATGGCATCCAGATTGGCGGCCAAATAAAAATTTATATTTATATCTTCATATTGCTTGGCCTCCCTCCGCAATGCCTGACACTCCTTTTCGAAGCTGAACTGAGTCAAAAGACAGGGAGGAGATGAAACATAGATACTCATATGGTGTCGAAAATTGAGCTGTGGGCAAGATAGAGCATTCCATTTTGTCGAAGGATATAGCACTAGGTATATGTCAAGTTAGTATGCTCTCTGTCTCATAACGATGTGAATCAAATACTTTTCTTAGTCCACCTTGAATTGATTCAACACCTTTCAACCTATTGACTGCCTCTGTCTACCAGTGATATGGCCATAACCTTCTTTACATCAATACACCCGGTTTGTCACCTCAAGTTCTTACTATTGCTATATCAGTGCTATGCACAGACATATATAATCCTATCAAATGATTATCAATTCTGCTATTCCATCATTTCTGAGTCTATTTTAGCTTCTTCACTCACAACTACTTTTATTCAACCTCCATGCTACACACCTTCCACATGGATTCAGAGATGCAGGCATATACTATCATATTATTAAATCTTCAGATGATAAATGCAATGTATGACTAGGTAAGTAGGTGCATATGTGTGCTCCAATTCATAGTCATGGCAAGCACTTAAAATTTTGCATAAACAAACACTTTGGTGATAAATGCGACTAGTTGAATGCTGAGACACATTCATTAGCCAGATCGGAGGTACATCATAGAATGGAAAGGTGATTAAGAAGGTGGTGCAAGCAGCTGTCACTAGTGCAAGGAAGGGTGTCAGTTTTAAGTGTGTTTCTGTATTTTGTATCAAAAATACACAACTGACTTGTGCTTACAAATTGATTCCTGACATAGATCATACCTAAAATATGCACTGTCTTTGTTGACATTAGTGTTAGCAGGCAAAGACTATCTCTGCGCATTTGTTCTTTGTACAAGTAGGTGCGTAGTATTTGCATATGATACCTCTGCGTGCTATGGAGATGTTGCCAGTGTGTAGGATGCTTGGTGCTGGAATGTGTGCAAAACAAAAGAACATCCACAGTAGGAAAGGTGAAAATAAAGATCTTTCATGTGGTTCAGTGGTGATAAACCAGTATAAAGATATTCAAGTATACAATTAAGCCACACACAGTCAAGCAAAAGGTGTATAACACAATTTATTGGAGTGCTGCAAAAGGGATAATGGGGAGGGCAAGATCTAATGAACAATCTAATAGGGACATTTTAGCATTGTCCAATCTGTCTGAGTCTCCCAAATAATGTTCTTTCATAGGCTTGCTTCTTTCCTCAATCAATCCAAAGTCCACTCTCATTGATGCTATCAGTATTTTTTCCTCTGAATTCTAAAATGACTGGGACCACATCAAGCCATGTTATGCAGCTTCAACACCTCAAGAGCAAGTCATGCAAGACTCATTATCCGCTTTTCATGTTAGGCTTCTGGAAAAGAGCTAATATTGATTATAGTACTATTACTATGACACATATGAAGGAGACAAAAGCTTTAATATATAGTTGCTAATCTAATCATGGTGCAGGCCTTGAATTATGACTATCTCTTTGATAGCTCTATATCCATATAGATGTGGTCCTGAATGTAGGCTTTAAGTGTGTTGTAGATGGGCTTGAAAGCCTGAGCTAAAAACTTGACATCAACAAGTTTCCCTCTTAAGAACTCTCTAGGTCTATGATGTAGTGTTGATACTTGAGTTTTGACACCACACCTAGAATAATATCTCAGATCACCTTATGTTCAAAGGCATACTGTTTACTGGTCTTTTCATTCTCTCTGAAAATGAATTTTAGAGAGAACATCTCATTGGAGATGAGGCTTAGGATCTTAGACTGCTTCAGCTTTGCTTAGGAGATACATGAGAAAGCCAGAGGATGTATATCAGTAAATGTAACACTCATAAAAAGTCATCATCCAATATTGATGATGGCAACCAATATACTATTAGTTACCTTCCTTCTGACTCATTTTGTTTTTCTTCTATCATATTCCTTAGTATTCTTAGCTTTACATACTGTGGGAAGTATCTATCTCACTCATCTCATCCATACTATACATACTGTCCTGGCCTAATTTGGCCATTCAGAAATATTTCAGAATACTTCTGGAATTCATTGGAACTTCAATTCTTACCACCAGTAGGACAGAAAAGATAGGACTTTTAAATTTTCAGGTCACCTCACATTCCTGCATTATGTTAGACCTGGACCAAACCTTTGGTCTAGTTTGGAATGATATAGGTTCAAACCAAAGTTTTGAACTGGATTCCAGTAGCACTACTGCTGCCATGTACATGTGGATTCTGGCACCCTCATAGATATAAATGCAAGTATTAATATGGATGACAGACAATTGTACCAATGCCGACTTCTGCATTGTACCTTCCTCTCACCCTGCCCATAGTTATGTAATTTCTCTTGTTCATTTTACTCTCTGCTTGTCTTTTTCTTTGTTTCTTCCTTCTCCTAAGATCTCTATGCACCACTTGAGCATTCCATCTGCAGATGGACATTCATTTACATAGACTCATGCTCAAATCTCAAAACAGGCGGCATACACTCTCCACAAAGTTCTTTGCGCCACCACCCACACCTAGGCCCTCTCTTGTATGTCTCTTTTGGTCTCTATATCTGCTCTTAGTTCTGGTAGTGGCAGAGTTGGATAAGGAACTATGGATATTAAGTGAGACCTGCATGCAGAGTTGGAGCCTAAATAAGGTGTTAGTGGGTGAAGTGGGTGTTTGGTGAGATGCATTTAGATCATGTTAAGTTAAATTTCAGCTAACCGTAGCATTGGCAGTGATGGAACACTCGCTGTCCTTGTCTTGTGTACTGGTTTCGAGCCTAAAACAGCTGCAATGACACTTGACTGGGATGGGCCAGAAGGATTACCCACTTACTCAGATCTTTGAGTAACTCTTCAACTATATTTTCTCTCTCTATTTTCAAATGCTGCACCTTATATTTGGTACTGGCAACAAACAAGTTGAACTTTGATATAGGAGATTCACCACTTACTGAATCCAATACCCCCATAACCTCCACTAATACCATTACAGTAGGTAGTCTGGCAGCAATCACCAGCAGCTGAGAAGCAGAAACAGTAGATGCTGGCATAGGTGCTAAAGCACTATGATCCATGCATTGATATCTAACAGTCTTGATGAACTGCAGGTGACCAGTAATATATAGGTCATCCATGTTGACTGTAGACCAGTCAGATAGAGTAATGATTTTTTGCATCACAGGGTTGCTGTGGCCACAAATCTCAGCTGCACAAAACAGCAGCATGTGGAGAATGAAGTAGAGGCCTTCCCATGCTTCCATAATAATCATGCCTGCAAGATACCCATAATTAGTTATTGGTTACAATATAATTTAATGTAGAAAACTTATAATGATTTTTGTGATCTCATGTATGAACACCATAGTGTTTGAATGACCAACTTGTGACTTTATGGATCTTACTATTAAGTGTCAGATGTCTTCTATTGCAGCATTGGCAAGGAAGAGCGCTTGACACTTGGCTGAGATTAGTGAAAGAAATATTGGTAGGCCAGCCTTTGATGATCACTTGGTAGAGCTGGATGTCATTATGGAAATACTTAACTCAGTGTATCTTCACATTTTTATTCTTAGTGATTTCTACTGGAAGATGTAGTCATTAGAGTAATATGAAATAATATATTCAAAAAAACTCACTGAGTCCCTTGCTAATTTTATGGTAGATTTATGAGCAAACTATAGAATACCGCTTTTGATGATTTTTTGTAGCACCTAATGAGCATTGGAGATTAATGAAGGAAAAGAAACCTAGGCAGGACAAATGTATCTTTCATGCCTTGGACAGCAAATCCTTCTATATTATGGACTAAATCTTAACTGTTAAAATTCATTACAGACAATATAAAGTCATCTACACCTTCAGTAGCAAAACTGACACCACAGAGAGGGAGGTCTGTAGACCTACACATTACATAGAGTATCATCTTAGTTTAGTACAGCTCCTTAAATCGTTCAGCTGTAAATAATATTAGTGAATTGAGAATAATGATAAGATAGACAGAAAACTCACTTCATTCTTGACAGCCTTAAGAGTGTGAGTGACATCAGCAATTTTTGACTTGGTAGAAATTCAGATGCCTGAGGCTTTCATTTCCTTATGCCTGCTGTACTCAAGTAGAAGACCTCAGGTTTCACATTTTCTTTGGGTTCTTCAATTTGTGAATCTTCTATTGAGTTTTTGAGCTGCTGAGGTATGTTTTATTAGTAATTTTTGCTTGTGCTTCACCTCAGCTGGCAATGCATAAGGCTTATCACTGTTAAAGTCTGCCTCCAAATCTTCTCATGATTCTTCAACTACCTGCTTTATCTTTCTTACTTGTACCTGGTATTATGGTACTTTCTTGGCAACTGTTTCATCCTTTGGGCTACCAGTGAAATTGTCATTCATTCAGTCTGATATGTTCTTCTCCTGAGCTGTTTTCCTTGAAGAAGAGGTTTTATCATACTGTATAAGCATCTGAAATCCATAGGCAAGAGCTGTAGTAATGTAAATGAGGCAAATGTGAAATACTTATATGTAATAAGTGAATATGCAGAATGACATACATAGATACATGTAATAAGCCTTGCTATTATTTAGTCAATCAGAATGAGTAAATTAAACAGTAGAAATATGTCAGCCAGATCTCCCTTACATATTATACAACAGGGTTGGCTCATGTAGCCCAAATTTAACTTGTGGCTGGCTAACCTGTTTCTGCATACTGCAGAGGCAGGCAGAAGCATGTAGGCTGGCCCCTTCCTACAACTCTGATATTTCCTCATATAAGGAATCAGCCTGCTAGGGTTCTACAGCATCGTCTGAGCCTAGTTCTACATGAATCAGCTGGTATCTGGTAGTCTGCATTTTGCAGGCAAATGTACATGTCCTATGACAGGGTTCTACAGTAGAAGTGACTGAAGGGTCTGGTCAGGACCTGCATTAGGCATAAGAAAGTTGAGGATCTCTCAGTGAGAAGGCTTATGCCAGGTGACAATATGGCCTGGCAAGCCAATCATTAGTGCAATATTCACATGTTACTACCAAGGATCCAGGTATTAATTATTAATATGCTTAAATACTTTATTGAGGGTCATATATCTTACAGCCAGGACCTCTCCATCATGCATAGCAGTGTTCTTCTTTCCTTGTAACTTATGAAAATATGCATCTTTGAACTTATCCTTTTCCTCCTCAAGTTTTGTAAGCAATAAGATTGCAAGCTTCTCTAAAACATGCTAAGTAACATTAACAATATTGAATATGAGGGAGCTAGTGGATGTTCTGGCATGGGTTAAGGTGATATTATAAGAGGTGAGTCATCTATTTCTTGTTTCAGGCAAATAACATATCATTGTAGAACAAGGACAGTGGTTGTATATAAGCACTGAGTTCTCTTGAGACAATCCAATCTGAGATGTGTCTTTAGATGCTGCAGTGTATAATCTGGGGAAAAAATCCTGATGATGTACTGCTGTTCCACTTTCCCTAAAGGGATGTTGGGAATTTTGTATATGAGGACCTGGATCTCGGCACCCTGGTTCAATATGGTCAGGATCTATAACTACCACTAGTCACTTCATTGGATGTATCTTACTTCATCATTGTATGCATGACTCTTGAGATGGTTGTCCTTAATAAAGGAGGAATGAGCCAGACCAACAATGTCATTGTATAAGGCAATGGACATGATACTCCAATGACAGAGTTGATATCATGAGTGATAATAAACTTAGGTCGAGGAGTAAGTTAGGGAATGCTTTGCTAAGCATTCAGACTAATGTAGCACTAGTCAACTTCTCCATCTGCCTCTGCCTTTGGCCTAAGCCTACCTGCTAATACTAAATGAATAAAATCAATTTCTGACTGAAGATTGTCTCAAGGAGTCGAATATATTCAATCTCATTTCTACATGCTAGGAGATCATATCATGAAGAGGCCCTTTGAAGACCTTCCTTGAAGTTTCAGAAGTAAAGATATCCCTCACAGGTAAGAACCTAACCAATTCAATACTAGGAATAGATACATCACAAACCCACTCCACATATCAACATGATAGCACCTCTCAAAATCATAATAAGCACCAAGGGACTATCATATCCCCCACCACAAACACAGAAACAGATCATTTACCAACACTGGAGACAAACTACTTCCATTAGGGTCAGCCATTAAACTAAATGCCTACTGATAATACAAATAAAGACTAGAAAACTAGAGCGACACAACTGTGCTTAGCCATGCTTTGTCAGCCAGAGTCTCATATCCATCCTAAATGGAAAATACAGCATTATCTTTGAAGGAACATGATTAATTTTTCAATATTTTGACAGGCAAAATGAGAGGAAAATTCTATCTTCTCAATCAATGTTTTTTGGATATTTGGTGGAGGAAAATAGAAAAATGCCTGCAGTGACTTCATTGCTGTGTCCACAAATTTTCAGGACTACCTATCACTAAATTGTCTCTTCAGCTCAAGACATGTCTATCTTACAGGTATGCTAATACTCAACTTTTCTCATTTGCAATATATTGACTTGTTCAAAGCATGCAAGTCACAATCTTGTATATGGTTAATGGCCCTGCCCACCAAGAATCCTATTTACATAAGTTCTTCAAAATGCAGCAACTATGTCCTAAAGACTAAAGATGAAGTAATATGAATGGTTCAAGTTTCTGGAATATAATGATGAGTTATAGTTTAGTCTCTAACATAGGTATACCATAAAACTACTGCCTTAATGCTGACGGTGTTGGAATGCAGTGCATATTAATGAACGACTCAGACTCTTCCAAATTCATATTACATAGGACATCCATAGCATGAGGTGTTATTATTGACACAGAAGAAGGATAAAGTGATGGTTCGCATACATGTACATCATGAGTTGTATGATTTGTGTCACCAGCTTTAGGTGGTATAGCTATGATCTTACATGAGTCATGGCTTCCTAAGAGAGCCTTCTTATGATCATCTAAATGATTTGACAAATATTATTGGCTGCTGGTACAGGGGGAAAAAGGAAATCCATGGGTGTATATTGATGAATAAATTTCCATTTCTTATGGAGAAATGTGCTGCTCACTACCTACATGCATAATATATACAGGCATGAGATGTGGGACATACAGAAAGAACACAAAAACAATATGTACCTTGGTGCCTGTCTGACAATTTCAAATAATGATCTTGTGCTCTCTGAAGCACTGCATTTACTGTATCAGGTTTGACCTTCTTCAAGATCCAATCACACAACTGGCAATCTTTGGCATCTGAAATAAAACATTGATTGATGCTGCAAAGAAATTATTTGATAGCAGCATTGGAATCATTTGGCAAGTTGTGTAGGTAAACTCACACTGCAATTCCTGCATTCAACTTAAGAAATGGAAGATCAGGATCAACACTATCTGCAAATCAGGGTATTTAGTTCTACATATGTGATGTTATGAGTACACATATCTAGATCCATAGTATTGACATGCTGATCCATCTTAAAATGCATCTCATTGGTTACTATATTGCTGAACTCATCCCACATCATTTTTCCTTTGATGAGCTAGTCAATGCATAATGACCACTGGTGTTGTGCCTTATTAATAATCAACATGTTCAGATATTACTCCAAGTTGTCTCAACTAATGATATCTATGACATTCATATCCACATCTCTGGTTGCTCCTTCTTAAGTTTTAGTCTCTAGCTCCTCACCTACCATATCTGTTCTCTTTGACACTAGTAATGCATTGTTGTTAGTTCATTCAAATGCTTTATTGTGGTTTTGTAGATATTGCTGACATCTTTTCAAGTTGTCTCAATTAATTATATCAAATATGCACATGCTATTGATCGTCCCTCCTTCATTAGCTCCAGTACCTATGCCTTCATAGATAGCTAGGGGCTCTAGGGTATAGGATGCACTGGTAATTTGCTTAAAAAATTTTGCTCTTGGATTTATTGATGCTGAGGTTAAAGGGTCTTGTTTGGCATCCATGTAGTTTACTAGAAGTGGCCACAAAAAATATCTTCAATAGTATAGCATATAATTTATCCAAAAGCAGCTGGCTTTGGAGCGAATTATAAAAACTATAACTAGTAGGTGAAGGAACCAAACTTTAACCTAATAATCTCTTGCTATCAGAATATAATATTCTATTGATGGAAAATCAATCAATTCAGTGACATGATAATAGTAAATTGTCTTCCTCAGGCCTGTCAGCCTGCTACTCACTTCCCTTAGTAGGAGAAGCATATATACTGACTATGTCAAAAGTCTAGCTTTTAACAACCTTAACTATCTTTCCTGTCTGTTTCTTTGATGTCTTTTCTCCTTCTTCTTGTCATCTCTGACAGGTGGTTCTACAATTACTGCCATATCATCATTATCTGTGACCCTTTTCTTTCTAGAGTCCACCCTCTTAGTGGTGGATTTTACCTTGTCATCATCTCTAGCCCTCTTCTTAGCTGATATCATTAATAATGTCTTTTTGAGCCTCTCATCTCATACTTCTAAGATGGCTATATCTCTCAATGACACCTTCTTTATGGCTTTATTTCTCTCTCTTCTCTATCTTTCTTTGAATCTGTCTGCTACAATCTTCAACATATTGAATAGACTCTCAGACCATATGTCCACTGTACTGTTACGATACATTGTCTTCATTTTCCTAGTGGCTCTATTATGCCCTTCTCTGTTGGTGGATGCTGTCATCCTTCCAACTCTCCTGAATCTTGGTGGTACATTATTGATAGGCTGATTTGGTTTGGTTGGGGGTTGGAGTTGTGAAATTGTAAGTGAGTTATTCTAAGAGACAAGGATTGTAAGTCATAAAATAATGTGATAGATGATTGTAGGAACCAGATGAGGACAAGTGTATCTGTTGAATATTAGGAGTGAATTAGATACTATGAACTATGGTTACTCTATTGAATCATGGAGTGGTTCACCTTTTCAATTAAATGAATTTTTCAGAGGAAGACTTATAGGATCACTCATACATATATTAGACATATCTATACATTGTAAACAAATTTGGCACACTGTTTTTATATATATCAATATTGATAAATCACTGCAGGCATTTTCCCATTTCCCTTCACAAAACATCCAAAAAATATTGATTGAGAAGATAGAACTTTCCTCTCATTTTGTCTGTCAAAACATTGAAAAAAAGTAATTCATGTTTTAATGATTTTCTGTGTGTGGAACATGATGCAGAAATTTAATTATGTTCCTTTAAGGATAATGCTGTATTTTCCATCTATTGTCCTTTAAATAGCAGCTTACAATCATGTTAATTTTCTTCTCTGTGTTTTTCAAATATACACAGAACATTTACAGCTGTTTGCATAAATGATGACAGTACGCGCCTTTTTGAGAAAGAAGAAGAAATAAATAAATCGTACATACATAGGAGCAAATAATGTGTCCTATCATGCATACTAGCTCTAGCTGTCTTGAAACTGCATATGCCTGACTCGATTTCATCTGATTCTATGAACTCCAATAACTGTTACGACTGGGATATGTCGAGCTGTCTAAGTCCGAGTGGACTGAGATTTGGCGAGACAGACGTAGTTCTTCTCTCAGCTGAGAGGTCAAAGGTTTCTGGCTAAGGCAAGTATCGGCGACTCCCTTAGAATAATGGTTCTTAGATAGCAAGGTTGGAGACCTTGCTAAAGGACTATGTTCCAGGTAGAACCCAGTAGATTAAAGTGCAGAATACAGATGGTAAGCTATGTGTCTATATAGCGAGTGTTCAAGCGGAGCTTGTAAATGGTGTATCAAGATAGAAGGCAGACAGCCCGCTTGGCGAGAGATAAGAGATAAGAGATAACAAACATGTGCGGACAGCCCGCTTGATAAGAGATAAGGGCTATGCATGGTGACGGTTACTAGAGCGGAATGTGAGCTTGGCGATTATGTGAGTAAGAGTCTGGAATGTGATAGGACGTTCAGTAACGGATTCGGCAAGAGACCACTGTCCGGTAACGAAGGAAAAGTTAGGGGAATAAGTATACCGTAACAATAACGACTCAATAACAGTGGCTGTCAGGTACCTGCACAATCCTGAGGATGAAACCATTGTTGTGGAACCCACCTTCGATGAACTAGTAGACTCGCCAGAAATTATGAAGCGCAAGCCTGGTCACCCTCTCAAGCCTAAGGAAGACAACATATTCATTTGCTATTGATTCTGAATACCTGAAGGCTGGCTGTAATACTAACACCTTGTCAGTACCTCCACCACTTGTCATCTCAATCTCATATACTCTCGTAATGTTCTCCTACACTGAAATGAAGAAACCGAAAGCAAAGAGAAGTGGAGAACCTGCAATCATCAAGCTTTCAAACGATGAACCTTTCAATACCCTCAAGGCCCAAGTACTCAAATGTATCTCAGAAGCACTGAAACTGAAGAAACTCGCCTATGATGATTACAAAGTCATGTTCACAGTTGCCCGGCACCAAACCTCATCATTGTCCTTGAAGAAACAATCAGAATACGATCATATGCTCGAATGTGTGTTGAAAATGAAGGCTCCTGCAGCAAAGATTGTTGTTGAGGCCTTGAAGAAACCTGATCCACTAACAGTTCATATGGTACATGCATATTGTTACGGTACTTGGATAGGTCTTCTCAACAACGGCCTGAATGAGCCCACCGAGGTTGAGGATCGTAGCCTTGACAGAATGTCAAGGGTTCCTCCGGTTATCTTGGTAAGACAGTGCTCGTCAAGATACACGGGCTAGCAGATACAGCTAAGGCAAGGGGTGCTTGACTTAGAAGTGCGGTCTGAGACAACTAAGTTGGAGGCTTAGCTGAAGCAAGTTCTGGGTGAAACCAAGTAGATTAAAGTAAGGATCTAAGTAAAATAATCTGTCTACTTATACATGGTATGTACAAGGGTTCAAGCTCAGTCTGTATCTATGGATCTAAGTAAGTCATGGTGAGTCAGAGATAACCATGACCGAGTCAGAGATAACCATGACCGAGTCAGAGATAAGATGCATGAGGCTTAACCTCTAATCATACATGAGGCGCCTTAAGGCGCTCCGGATCTTCATGAGGCGGCATGAGGCATACATGCACCAGTTGTGAGGTGTACTGCGCCTGTCAATTGTATCCAGGGGTGAGCTTGCCCCTGGAGATCAGGTACAAGGCCTTTCTAGGCCAGGGGAGGCATCACAGCAGTCCAGACTGCTGTTGTTCTAAGTTCTGGTGGTGTGCCGCCGCGTCGGGAGTCTGGCAGAGCGGGGGCTCTTGTAGATGTTGCATATGACTGTAACACATATATGCTCTTTGATTCTGAGTTTACAGCCCAAAATGAAATGAAAACATGGTGATGACTCAAGTGGGGACAGTGATGTAAGTCAGGGCACCAATAGTGAGAGTGATAGCAACACCAGGAAGAAAAAGAAGAAGAAGAAGGTACGAGAAGTTATATACTACTCATTTGCTATCTCATTTGTCATGACTGACTCAGACCTTGCTGGACATCCCTCTCATTCACATAGAAGAAGGACCCTAGCGAACTCCCACTCAACATCAAGCTTTCAGCACAAATAAAGCTCTTGCAAAATCAATACACATGCAACAAACCTGGCTGCCTCAGTTCTGGCTATTGCTACATCCTACCTGACAATAGTGCCCATTTCACACACTCTCATCAGCATGCAGCTGCACTGGCCGCTAAACCTCCAATTACAATAATCGAAACACCACCCAACCACAAAGAATTTGATGGATTATCATCAAATCTCCTGTCTGACACTGCTCCATTGATCCAGCGCTGACTCGCTGAGCGAAACGGCACACAATCTGCCCCATCTGCATCAAATACTGGGCCGACAATCAATTTCAATGTTCCAAATGACTTCTTTAGCTTTCTACGACCTGCTGCAGCATCCAGCCCTCTGTTACTCACTGCTCCCATAGACCATATTGCCAACACACACACCACTGACATCCCACTCCTTTCTGTCTCTGCAAGTTTTTGAGGGAAACACCAATATGCTCCAGCTTGTGATGAATTGTGGTGTAGTGTACAGATATAAAACAATTGGTATCGAGTAACTCGAGCAGTTCATCCAAGAACCATCCAGGACGGTGATGGATAAGACAGATGAGATAAAGGACATTGTCGCAGTGGAGAACACGAGGGTGCCCACGAAGGCTACAGGTGGGGCTAAGGATGTCGCCTGTCTCATGCCAAAGTTTAAGGACATGCCAGAAAGTACTTTCTGAGAGTCCGACACATGTAATAATATCGTGGAGAGAGAGATGTCGATGCTCATAGAGATTGACGGCAGCAAGTTTGACGTCGCGGCTTATTTTTTGATACATCAATGGTGATTGTTGCAGTGCGAGATGAAATACTAGGTTAGATTATTTATTTCTTCTTCTTTCTCAAAAAGGTGCGTACTGTCATCATTTATGCAAACGGCTGTAAAAAACATAGTACATTTGAAAAACACAGAGAAGAAAATTAACATTATTGTAAGCTGCTATTTAAATGACAATAGATGGAAAATACAGCATTATCCTTGAAAGAACATATAATCTCCAGCTGTAAATAAGCCCTTGGACGATGGCCTTATATTTTTCTGTCTTTCTTGCAGCCAACACAAACACTCTCATTCCAGCCCATTTGTACATCTTGTTAGTGAAGTGGTAGACCATGCTCTTACTTTTCTTTTTGGCAATGTCTATCTGCACCTCAGGAGGAACACCCTGACTGTTCCACTCTTCTGCTGTTTTGATGGCCTCCTGAATCTCTTCCTCTGTCAAAGACTCTATCAATGCACTCAAATACTTCAAATAATACTGGATTATTTCCGTCAATCACTGTTTTACCCCAGGTTTGTAGTCTTGCTTCCTGCTGCTGCAATTGCAAAATCAATTTTGGTACACCTAAAAGATGAGTCGGAAGGGAGTTCATTGTGAGCTGCTCTATACTCACCTTCTTTCATTTCTCAAGCAGCTGTTTGTCCTTTGTTAGAGGCTCAAGTTGAGCTCCTAGTGTTGCATCCTTCCATACCTGATTCCAGTTCTCACCTACACTCCCATTATTTGATGTAGGACTACAAGACTGCAAGCTCCTGTGGAGTTAATGGCGGCTACGTACTTACATCCTTGGCTGAATTAGAGTTGCTGTCTGGCATATATGTATTGATAGAATAAAAGATGTGGGCATGAAAGGGTGGAGAAGGAATGATGTGAGAGATGAAAGTGTTGTATCAAGTCTAATGAAGGTGGGTTCAGTGAATGATGGAAATTACAATGTGACACTGGACGCATCAGTATTTTTGGTTAATGCTTTGGTGATAGTATTATGTAACAGACTACTAGATCATATTATTATCACTTGTGCAAGCATGGTGGTAAGGCTAATGCTTCTCACTTGCAATTGCAGACTAACTAGAAGAGGATAAGAGATAGATAATCAAAAAGGTATTTTACAACAAGCCTAGTCATTGTTAAGAACATGCTCAAGGGTCGGATCTGAAGGGCTTGGCTTCAGCTTGTGCACTGCGCCCCTTACCCGAGTACGTGCCCCTAACTTCCGAGGGCTGTTGGACGATGTCCGGAGGTTGTCGGACGAGTCCAGAGTCCGATGTCCGATGTGCGGGAATTCCGGCGGACGTTCGGGAATGAAGGATAAGACTAATCTGGACGATGTCCGAACTAGAAGGAAACAGCGGAGGACTACCAGAGGTAGAGGCGGAGGTGAGAAGTCTATAGGAATCGATCCTAAGACTAGCGGAGGACGACGAGAGGAGAAACTCAAGTCGGACGGAGAAGGGAATGAGCAGAGTCTAAGATAATATTCGAACTGAGGAAGTACAAAGATTCTACAGGGTTTATATACTACTGAGGACTTAACGGAGAGTCAGTCTGCACAGTCCGAAGCTATGCGAGGCTGTGGACAGAGCATATAGAAAAGTCAAACACTAGTCTATCGGAAAATAGTAAATGAAGACGGAGATAAAGACATAGGAAAATAAAGGCGGAAATGAAACGAGGTACAGAAAATGAGTATAGTCTAACTGGAGAAGGAACGTACAAAGGGATAAGGCACAGAAGATGGATGCAGGTCAGATCCGGACGATAGATAGAAGTTGGCTGGATCCGGAAGTCTGGAAATGATGTGTGTGATTGGTCCGGGTCCGGAATGCGGGATATGACAGTATCCCCCCCTTAGGGCCGAGCCCACAAGGCTTCTGATCTGGAAGTCTAGACTGGACTTCTATGAATGCGGGATGATGGCCGGAGCTCGTAAAAATAGAACTGGACATATAAGTAGGCTGGGGCGCCCATGAGACGTCTAAAACTTTCCCCCTAACTCCAATTACTGTTTCAACATGTCTAACTCCACTTCTGGCAACTCAAAGTCCGCCCGGCAACTCCTACAAGAGAGGCAGGCCGAAATTGCGTGACTCGAGGCGGACACTCGGAGAGAGGCGGAGGAAGAGGAGCGCAAGCGCAAGGAGGCAGAAGAGGAGCGGAAACGGATGGAGGAACAGAAGCGGAAGGATATCGAGGAGACTCGGAAAAGGTTGGCTGAGCGCGAGCAGGAGCGTTTGGCAAAGGCTAGGATGGGCAACGCGTCGGAGGTGAGTCGGATGAGGTTTTTTGTGTTTTTCCGGAGTTTAACAAAATGTTAGTCCTCTGGTCTGGCGGATCCGGAGGTCGCATGTGAGATGTGTGTCCTTAGGCGCAAGATGTGCACCTGGGCAGTAGCGTCTAAGATGCCTAGGGTGAGTTTTCTGTTTTGTCCGGATCCGGATGATTACTGATGATTCCGAAAGATCCAGACTTGCGACCAGTGCCGCACGTCCAAGGAAAAGTGCGTCGGCGGAAATCCACCTATCAAGGCGCCGGCCGGCAAAGGCAAAGGCAAGAAACGCGCACATCTGGAGGGATCTCCGAGCCCCAAGGGCAAAGGCAAAAGGCGTCAGCAGAGTCCGGAGGACATCGACGATGATGTGGAAATAGTGTCCAATCCCCGGACGGTCATTGGGGAAGATCAAGACTGGGTGGAGTACAATGACCAGGCCTGGGTCGCAGCCGCCAACAACATTGTGGCGGAACTGGCCCGGACCAATGGGCTGATGGAGAGAAGTGTTGCAGCGGTGGAAGGAAGTAGGGCTGCGATGGACCGGGTGAGTGAAAACATGCTCTGGTTCATGGAGGAGCAGAGGGTGTTCCAGGCTCTCTTCATGGAGAGTCTGAGGAACGGTTTCTGGATGCATGTGGAAGATGCTCCAGAGGAGGAAAATGGGGAGGAGGCGGAAAAGGAGGCCGGCGGATCCAGCGGAGACATGGAGATGGACTCTTAGGTCGTTGGATCCGAAGTCCGGATGTCGGACGCCTAAATAATGTACATATATGCATGTCTTTCCTTACTCATTGCTAGAAGTTGGTCCCGGCTTATCCGGATATGCTGAGTGGAAATCCGATAGAAGTTCCAGCACATTTCCGAGTTCGGTTGCGAGTATCCAGGAAGTTTCTTCATCTGTTCCCTCGTATCCAGCCCAACGTACTAAGTATAGTAGTTGGCAGTGATGTCTCCGGTGGTCGATCTTGGAGTCCAGAATTTCGGAGATTTCGTATTCCGGTTCTCCATCAACTAATACTGGAGGCGGAGGAGGTTGGATGCGATTCGGAATGGTGTTAGGAGTTGCGGGTTCTAACTGAGAGACATGGAATACGGGGTGCACGGATCGCTGTAGGACTGGGAGTCCTTGTGGCCTCGTAGAGGTCTATTTTCCGATGCATGTGAATGCTAATCATTGCCCAAATCATTCCCTATCATATCCGACTCAATACGCACCAAACCCGAAAACATCGGACATCAGACATCGGGTTGAGGACATCGGGTTTCGCATCAGCCGATCGGATATCGCGCGCACTTGTCCTACCTATGTCCAGTCTCATTGCGCTAGCCCCACTAGGTGCGTAGTTACTTGTTTTCACATCGCTAACATTGTCGACCGCGTTATTACATGTATTCCCATAGTCCGCAGTACATCATGTCTTATTACATAGGACATCGGACCCGAAATATTGCGCTACTACTTTCGCCTATAGGGTTCCGTATTTCTATGTATCTACTTAAATATTGGACTCCCCATAGCATCATCATTATCCGAGTAGAGGAGAATCGTCTCCGACGCTTAGGGGTCAAACCCGATATTTCATAGTTCTTAGTTGACATTGCGAATATCATCGTTCATTCACTGTCCGTACCCTTCATCGTTATTATTGCGCACACCACTCACTTTTCCGATGCTCGCTATCACATCACTATTAGTTTCCGATACCCCGAACCCGAACCCGACAAACCTGAAACCCGAAAAACATCAGACCCGATGCTTTTGCATCAGACATTGTAATTATACCTTCGGACATTGTTTCCCGTGCTCGGATTATTGACCTCACATCACCCACTGACCCCCAAAACTATTCCCAGACCGCAGACCCCTGGGTCGAACGCACTTGTCCACAAGTATAGCAGATAGGCAGTGCAAGACCACAACATAAAGATATCAGTTTGGAGCCATCTTTGTATAGCCCCACTCTGTGTTGTATACCTACAGTGGGTGAGAATGGGAGGTGGGTGAGAAAAGGGCAGGCAAAGTACCGACAGACTTGAAGGGTTATGAGTGCATAGGACATGATGGCGAGTGAGAATGCGAAGGCGGGTGAGAGGAGCGGGTGTGGTCAGGACATAATCTAGATAGAAAGTGAGCAAAAAAACACAGTCAAAATGTGTAGATATGGTGGAAGGGGAAGTGGTGCTCCACTACTCAGCCTTGGGGCGGGGACGGGCCATACTGGGCTTCATAGGGAGGGGAATAAAGCAAAAAGAAGAGAAACATACCCGGATGGGTCTGCTCGACAACTGCCCTTAAGAACTTGAAATCCATTGAGATGAATAAGAGTTTGTGTGAAGGGGTTCATTGGAATTGACTGTAACATGGTTGTTATTACTCAAGTCTGAAAGCGAACCGTCTGACAATGTTGCAACTTTATTGTTATGTAAGCATCTGAATTTGAATTGCCTTGATTCTGAGTCAGATGCAGCAGCAGTTGATATTAGATCAAATACCATGTATTTAAACATTAAAATGTTTGATCAAGTGAGGATCGCTAATAGTAACTATCATCTACGTTTTACGGGAATGACCATGATGAGTGCCCTCAGCTATTGGCCTCTTCCCCCTGTTGGTTGTCTTTGCCTTCCCTCGACCCCTGCCTATATCTGAACCGACATCACAGGCTTCTAAGTCATCTACATTGCCAGCTACCACTTCGACATTAGTACGAGCAGCAGCTTGAGATACGGATCCTTGTTCTTCATGCTGGATGATGATTTGACCGTCAGGTGCTGCTGATGAGACCGCTGAGATTGCTGATGAGGCCGGTGGAGCCTCGTCTGCTTCGCTGTCTGACGACATGTTGAGTGCAAGCATCGCTCGATTGATTTCTTCTGAAAAGTCTTCACCACCGGCGAGATGAAAGGTAGACAATTTCGCAGCGCCAAAAATGTGGTTGTCGATACTGGTCATGATGTTCTTGATGTGTCTCGTGTCCCACTTCATAACGAGCAGCTTCTTGTATTGAAAGAACAGGTCTCTGTAGTTAATGGTTGACAATTTCCCCACTCCTGAACCTGGAAACTCCGTGTCAGGTGAGAGTAGAAAGATCGCCTGTGTTAAAGCAAATCAGTAGACTTTTGATGCAAATATAAATAACATACCATAACTGCCGCCCAGGCGATAGATCCTGGCGTGACTTGTTGAAAGTTCCACTTCTGAGCATTAGTCTTTGATCCACCGCAAGGTTCTTGATGAAGCGAGGTGACGCCGTGTAGCGAGGCTCTCAGAATCTAGATAGACCATAATAAGTAGGGTACATGATAGAACTATGCGACTGAATGATAGCACACCTTAGCAAAAAGTATCCAATTGCCGAAAACAGTCTTCAGGGTCACGTTTTCTTGCAGACCTGGGAACAAGAGAGGCGGAAATATTTTATAAGCCTGCGTCTTGCCAGACACTCCAAGCATCTTTTGAATCTCGACGATGCTGGCTCTGTCGTGACTGGGATTGGCAAAGTATTTCGCCGGAAGGTCAAATATATCTCCTGCGACACCACATAATTTTTTGATCTCGTTAGAACGAGCATCACTGATGCACTTATTGACCTACAACAGTTATAGGATATGTCAGATGATAACTAGAACAGAACAAAATGTGTGATGTACGAGGTCCTTGAAGTATACACTTTGCATGGCTTGATGGACACATTCTGGGAAATGAGTATGTAGTTCATCCAAGAAAGCGGATTCTTGGGTCAAAGCGGTCTTGTAACGGTTGTTGCTATTGAATGATGTAGGTGAATCCGGGCGCTTCTTGGTGATAAGGTCATTGTCTGGAAACATCTCCACTGTCATGCCGTATTTACAAGCATACAGTGAGATGGTCTGCTCATGAGCAACAAGTTTGTCAGGTGCTTCTACACACCGTTTCCGTCTGGGCTTCTCGGCAAGGAGGACCTTGTTGTTCTCTTTAAGGGCACGATTTTCTTCATGCAGACGCTGAACTTGAAGTTGCAGGACTTTGAGTGCCTGAGGAGAACATATCGAGTACAACATAGAAAGATAAAGTTAGTTGCTACGTACCTCCATGAATTCTCCCTTGGAGGCGTTGGGCCCTGGAATAGTGACTTCATCAATGTCGCCCTCATCAAAGTCGTCGTCTAAATTACTGTCCAACACCTGCACTGAGAGATGAGACATTTCTCAGACTGCTAGACGTTCAGTGGAAAGGCCCAGAAGGAGAAAATGGTGCGACACACCTTATATATAATTTGACACACTCCCTGGTACCTCGAGGCCACTAGACGTAACTCCAAATCTTATTACATCTTCGGAGTGATTCGGTGTAGGGTGAACTGCTGTGGGGCACGTAAACAAGGGCACGACTGAAGGCCACATGTTGATAGATTATAATATTAGTGGGCGTGATTGGCTCCCTCGCAAGAAAAACTTTAAAATGGTGAACCTTAGTACCTTGCATGCATATCGGAACGGTTCGTTACGAACCAGAGTTGATTGTCTGATCGCAGACCCTTGTATAATTAAGAATTTCCCAGGATGATAGACTCTTCGTTGGTTCATGGAAGGTCTGGTCGATGACACCATTTTGCGGTTGCTGTAGGTTGAGAATCAAATCATTGCGCTCTGTGCATTTTCATGTCCTGGACTTACTGCTGGTCTGCTAGAGGTAAGGTTGCCATCTTGAATTTCGACATCAGGAGGACCCACTCAGTGACTGAGATTGAGTCAGGATATCCCAGTGTCTTGTAGGAATGGCAAATTATGATAATCCAGTGCCTGCACGATCCATCAATTGAACACATGCAAAGATGAATGTGCTACTTACTGAATGCTGGTCAGACATGTCCGAACTTGAATGCTGATGATGTTTGGATAGGCCAGTTGGCCATGACCCAACTTGAATGTCGATGATGTTCAGATAGGCCAGTTGGCCATGACCCAACTTGAATGCCGATGATGTTTGGATAATAGGCCAGTTGGCCATGACCCAACTTGAATGTTGATGATGTTCGGATAATAGACCAGTTGGCTATGACTGAACTTGAATGCTGATAATGTTTGGATAGGCCAGTTAGTGACCCCAAGCTTTCATGAGATACTCCTGCGCTTGCTGTGAGAAAAGCTGTGTGGATGTGATTCGTGTCAAAACCTACCTTGACTGGGTCCAGCCAGTGGACAAACGTGAGAGAAAACACCCTTGAAGAAACTGTTCAACTGCTGTGGGGAATCTGTGTGGAGGTTCAGCGCATGAACATTACTCTGCTTGAGAACAGTGAGAGCAGCAGTCTGAATACTGACCTTCGTGTACTTAAATAAATGCAGGACAGACTGTACTGAATCATTGACAGGAAGGCCGGCGTCAAAAGTGCAGGTATAATATGGTTACAGTGGTAGTTAGAATGGAGGAGGCACAGGTCTATGGAAATCCTGCTCCCAGTCGACCATTAATAAAACCAAGATGTCATGAGTGAAGATAATAGCAAGCCAACATACCAGTTATAAGGGGAGGAGGACAAGATACGAAATCAAACGCATATAAGATGCCCTGCCTCAAGGTGCAGCGCCTTTACGCAAAGAAACATGTTGGTATCAACGGTGTCAATGACAAGGTAGTCGTGGCTACCATCTGGCACTAGGAAAGCTCCGCAGATGATCGACCTTACTGAAAAAAACTCAGCCTGTGCACGGAGTCTCGCTCAAACACAAAAGATGTTGAGGTGCTTGTCCTTTTGGATGCACACACCAGTGGGAGCGTCAAATGAGTGAATAAGAGCGAGAGAAAAGACTCTATCCTCCACTGTGCATTCAAAAACGAAGAGCAGGTGACCAAATATGATCTTGTCGGTCGTCTGGATGAACACACAATCAAAGCGTGGAGCCCCAAAGAATTTGGGGTTGCATCGAAGGTAGTCGGTGTGTTGGCACCAATCTACCAATGACTCATAGTTGACTTTCAAGAACCGGCACTCAGTAATCTATCCCTCCATATCAATATAGTAGAACACAGCCAAACTGAACAATGATCATACCTTATCGCTTGCTTTGAGTTGGACCCGCTTTCCACCCAGTAGAGGGGCTTGAATCACTAATAAAAAGTTAGTCAAAAAGTCATTGAGCTTGATATGAAAGTTAGTAAATGCGCCATCGTCCTTGTGAGTGTTCTCGACAGATTCAAAGGTCTGTGGAGCTTGTCTGGACCCAAGCTTTACATGAAGGGAGTCGTTCGAAACAACCAAATCATCCACCACAGAATTGTCTTTGTCCAGTGCATCTTCGATGTCTCGTAACTGATGCTCATTGAAGTCGGATATGTTGCGGCGAATATTCTCAGCTATGACTTGCCAATGATTGATGCAAAGAATCTGTAAATATTGTAGCGTGAAATTATTGAATAATGATAGAATCAAGTGTTACCTGTGGTGCGACATCCCTGAAGTTGGTGCGCATCAAATACAAGTCTCTCAGCAACCCATGCATCTTCTCATTCGGTTTCGTGTTGTAGTTGCAGGTCGCTCCTTTGGCTTCGATATTATTGAAGATATGCACATTCATGTGCAATTTCGGAAAGTTCCAGTTCTTGTCGCTGTTGTCGGCCGTTTTTGTTATATATTGCTATTATTCTATTAATGAACAATTTTCGAGGATCAATCAAGAAAATGTACCTGTAGATATGTTGAGAACACTTTCACAGTGTGTCGGCCTGCATGGATAGTGTTGGCTGTGTGAACCTCGAGCGCTGCATACATATCGACTTCGATAAAGAGGCAGATGCAACGAAGTAAGTGGTAGCCGAGTGGACACTTGTCCTCAGTGACGATGGTATGTGTGGCATATATTACCATCTAAACGCAAGTTACTAATAAGGATATACAAATATAAGAAACATACCTTGGAAATATCTTCATACACGCTACTATCGGTGAATGAAATGCTCATAATTTGCGCTAAATGCTTCAGATTTTGCCACTGCGGAAATGCCTCATAACTAGCATCAAAATGAAAAAATAGACATTTTGATTCAAGACGACCACTTACTTGTTGTCCATCTTAGCTACACTCGCTCTCCCCAAACCAGTGATTATTTTTTGCAGTTCAGCCCACAGATGATCGCGGTACAGGCCCCCGTTAAAATGGAGCCTATCCCACGAGAGTGCATTATGTACACACGTGAACATGACAATCCAAAAGGCGTTCTAATAAAATGGTTGTGTTAAATTAGTAGAAAACATCGATATATCAGATAGCGTAAGTTATCTCACCGAGACATCATGAAGTCCATATTGTTTGAGCGTGTTATCTCTCTCTTCAGCAGTCTCCTTGTCCCGTGCAACCTTCAAGATGTTCTGTGACTGATCGGACGTTCGACAAGGATATGTCTTCAAAGTATTTAGAAGCTCGTCATGGGGAACGAGACAAACTGGGCATGGCCACAACGATTTGATCCCTCGAGTTAGCGACATAACACATCTAATATCGAATACAAGTAACTTATTAGTAACATGTACATGTTTTGAATCGAATACACTCACTGTTCTTCATAATCAGCCGATAAAATTAATATCAGAGGAAAGAACCAGCGTTGAAGGTTGTCGAGACATTCAAACCATTGTCCCATGCTAGATCTCAATGCTAATGGAGAGAGAATCTTCAAGAATGCTTCATGCCAAACTGCATTCTTGAAATTGACCCAGCTCGGTTTACCAGCGTGGTCTTTCTCTTCCTTCACCTAGAAAAAGTATTCAAAATAGAATCAGTGCCAACCACTAAATGAAAATGCATTCCATACAATCGGAAGCCATCCGACGACATAGCCACCACCTATACCCTGACTATTGCGAATTTCGGTGGGCAGATTTGCGAGACGGGCAACAACAGGGTAACCTCTTGTGGTGCCGAATGAGGACAACTTAGTCTTATCGGCATAGAGAATGAAAGCTAGCAGCTTGGCACCATCTGGTAGCTGAGACTATGAAACAAAATAATAGATCAAATAATGAAGGCAACCAAAATCGCTACAGCAGTGTTACATACTTGAATATTCCAAAAAGCTTCAGCAGTGTACGGCTCGTCTACAAAATTTACGAATTCCTTGCCATTAAACTTTGAGAATCATTGTGCATCAAATACCATGTGCGGAAAGAGCCGAGGATCATGAAGGAGGTCGGTAGCCCACTCCCAGAGATTCCGATAATGCAAGTCGAACTCTCATATCGTACCATCATATGGTACCGAGATCACGTCTTTAGTAAACTAAACTTAAGGATCATCAGAAGCTGAACATTAGAAAGAAAGACGGAAACAACCCCTGTAATGCGATAGGAAGCAGTGTCCCACCTGTCGTGAATGTCCTTGTGTGTCTGAAATGTGAACTTCTCTTGGCAGGAAGTGCACCGGTTGCAAAGTTTGATGAGATAATCGGTCTGCTCGTTATTCAAGCAAGCCTCCAGCGCAAGCTCAGCGAATTCGAACTCCAGTCACAATTTAAATGGAGCCCAGGGGTGCTGGTTAGGCGGGGCAGAGGATGCAAGTGGTGTTGAACGGCGTTTGAAATCATGAAACGCATGGACTTCAGGTGGGATCTTACTGCTTGGATGGTATTCGCACATGATGTCGTCAACCTGGAAAGTGGGTTCCACATGCTCAGGGACATCTGCGTCAGGAAAATCTGTTAAGGGTAGTTTGTGAATGTAAATATGTTATAATACGACGATTGCAAACATACCAATGTGCCCCATGTCATTGTCTATCTCATTCCAGGCTTCGCACTCTCCTGTTGCAACATAACAATGGTAACACGTAAAGGATTCAATGAGACTTATGTCTTTTTCCTGCAGCATTAACATGTTCATCCCTCGCACGTCTCAGATTTGAGGAACCTGGACGTGTCAGCCAATTTAAATAGTTAACAGACCAAGATAAAAATGAGTGCGTACCTGCTGCTGCACCTGAATTTTGCCTTTGAATGGATTCTGCCACAATTTGATTCTGACGCTGTTTCTCAGCCTTCTTCTCGCAGGCCTTGCAATGGGTGGTCCAACCACGCGGCTTGAGGTCCTGCTGGCACAGATCGCAGAATTTTGTCCTTTCAGGACCCATGTCGCCGACAGATATGTAATGTATATGAATTTCAACAGAAACAAAAGGGAAACACTTAAGAATGGCAGTAAGGGGGGATTGAAGCCATATCAATCACATTGTAAGCACATTGTCATAAATTGAAACCCCACCATCAAGCTTACATGAGGGTTGTAAATGTCATTGTAATGCGATGTCAATGGTTCCTGATTACAATTGATTTAGGAAATTTGTGACATCGGCTGCCAGTCATGTCCTCAAGAGCAAGAACAACAGGAAGCTGCTTCACCTCGACTGCAACAGACCCATATAGACTTCTCCGCAGCATGTCTTCCCAACCATCAAGCAGAAGAGTGAGTTGGTTTCGTGCTTTGAGGCGGTCAATTTCTTCTTGTTGGACATGCACTGATTCAGTGTCCATCAGTGTGTGTGATAGCACATATCGAGAAGGTGCCGTGTATGATGGCTGAATCTCGTTGAGGAACCCAAGCAAGTAGTCATTCTTGCCCACGGAAAAAGCTATATTAGCATTAATTATGAACCTAAAGCCAGTTCATTACACTTTGAGTATCAATTGACTTATAGATGCTGTACTTAAATTACTGTAATAGCTTGACATTCACACGAGAATGCTGCTCCTTTGTCAGGGGGTAATCCACAAAGCCCATCAAAGTGGACTTTTTTTTGTGTTTGCCGAGCATAACTGGTTCTGAACTGCCTTGTGGGGTAGGAGAAGCATCAATTGTATCAGAATTAATTAATTCTACAGCATCTTCTCCACCAGCCTTGCCCATAACAAACATGCGCGCTTGTTTTCGTATTTCCACTGGACATGTTTTACACTTGTGAATGAGGTGGTTTGGGAGTTGGTTATCATGACCTTGGATGTGAAGAGCATCTGGACAGTGTTTGCAGGACCAGTAGTAGTGTCCAGATTTGTTGTCAACCTTCTCACCACAATTGAAATTGTTGGCTATGAAGGATGAGATAGGGCATCTGGCAAGTGTTATGCTGACCGTCGGTCGGCGTATGCGAACTAGGATAGGTCTTCTCAGCGACGACTCGAGTGAGTCTACTGAAGCTGAGCGTGGTCTAGCCTTGACGGAACGTCAAGGATTCCTCCGGCGATCTCGGTAAGACGGCGCTCGTCGAGATGCAGGGCTAGCGGATATGTGCTAAGTCGTATGGGGGCGACTTAGAAGTGCGGTCTCACACAAGGAAGCTGGTAGGCTTAGATGAGCAAGTTCTGGGGATGAACCTAGTAGATTAAAGTAAAGTCTAAGTACAATAATCTGTGTCTACTTATAGGGAAGTACTACAAGTATTCTAGCTCAGTCTGTAATCAATAGTATATCGTAAATCTATGATAGCAAGACATGAGGGTCAGATAAGATACATGAGGCTTAACCTCTGATCAAGCATGCTGCGCCAAGGGCAGCTGCGCATAGGTACAGGAAGCGCCAAGCGCGCTCCGGATCTTCATGAAGCGACATGTGGTATACATGCGCTGATCTAGGGTGTCTATGAGGCGTACAGCCTCCATGGATCAGGTACAAGGCCGTCTAGGCCAGGGGCGGGGTCATAGCGCCAGGGGGCGGGGTCATAGCGGTCCAGACCGCTGTCTTTCTAGGCACAGGCGGCGCACCGCCGCACGGGGAGTCTAGCAGAGCGGGGGCAGGCGTAGGGAGAGCTGGGGCTCTAGTAGGTGTTACAGATCCCTGTAACAGCAAGTGTGGCAGCAGACATTGTGCAATCTCAAGTGATTGTCTATGTAGTATGGGCTGTACAATTGAAAATTTCTTCTACTCTACAGGTAAGGAAGTACAGTTGCTCTGAGTCATTCGAAAAAGGCTACTATGGCCAAATAAGGTGAAGAAAGCTATTGCACTGTGATCCCTGTAGTTTGACATTCTGCCGGATTCTGCCTGCAGAATTCTGCCATCTGCCAGGCAGAACCAGTTTGGCAGAACCAGTTGGCAGAATGGCAGACTTCTGCCCACAACACTAGCTGTAGCAAATGGTTCCTTCAGTCAGCAATGACATCATAGGTAATGAAAACACCCCAAGTTGGCTTGAGCTGGCTCATGCAGTTAGTCAGCCGGACCAAGATGGACATAGGTAGCTTAGCTCACCCCAGGAGAGCCGAGCTACAGGCAAACCGGCAAAGCCAAGCCCAAGCCGAGCCGAGCTGCAGCATCAATGATTCAAGTGTGATCTAAGACTGGTAGCTACAATGACATGACTATATAATACTGGCCCAAACCCCAGCAAGTCCACACAAGCTGCCTAATGAATATAAGCTGCCCAATGCATACATGGGTCACCAGGCACCACATGGTGGTACACGGCCCACAAGACTGACTCAGACTAACATGAATCTCATAGAGTATGTGCGCATAGCAGCATCACACAACACTTGTGTCACTTTGCGACAACTTGGGGAGTTTGTGGACCCTTATACAGGCAGGTGAAGTTAGGTATGGTAGGTGCTCTTTTGTTGATGCTATGACATGGCGGAAGACGAGCATGAGTGCTAGTACAAGTAAATACCAAGTGAGGCCACTGAGGTGTTTGCTGAGTTAGACTCGTGACCTCAATAAGTTACGTGGCTCGAGCTTCCTTGGTTTAGACGTATACATAGATAAGTAAATGCGTGCATGCACGTATTGGTGAACGAGGTACACTTTGCAAACCACAATCATTGACCGCTGTCATGTATGCAGGCCCGCACACATCTACCACTCTTCGTCTGCTCGCAAATCCACAGGCCCAATCCTCGTTCTTAGGTCCTGAACTTCTTCAGCCTTGATAGTATAGTCGTTGATCAATCTAACAATCTCATCCAGCGCATGGTCCCCTCCGTTACGATTGACAGACACATGGTGGGATTGAATTGCTAAGTGAACATTGCTTTTGCCCGCCTCCTCATAGGCTCTGATGGCAATTTTGACAACGTGACGAGAAATAGGGCCTGTCAGTGCCAGCAGGAACAAGATCTGCATGATACATGTTAAATCCACGATGTATGTCATAATCCGCCGCAAGACAATGGTTCTAGATCGGTCACCTTATGAACCACGTTTCAGACGGAAACAACGTTCATTTACTTACTTCTGTTGATAGGTATCATAAGCAAATTTAGCCAAGACCGCCCCTGCGGCAATTGGCACAACAATTGGTAGGGCCGGGCCAGCCAGCGCTGTCAAAATCGATGCAATTGCCGCGACCACGGTGAGGCCGAATCCACTGTCAATGTTTCTGTAAATTGAAAATGTCTTCGAGTATAGTAACAAATAACTCACAAAGCTTGTGCTGCGCGTGGAAGGCCGGCATTGTCTATATCTTTTAGTATCAGTTCTTTGAACTGGTCACTGGACAAGTGCTTCACAAAAACGTGTCAGCAGCCTGCAACGTAAAATTGTATATGTATCTTACGCAGTGAGGGTCGTGGAAGTTCCAAACGTCAATGATGTCCTTGTGAATGACAGACAAGCAGTCCAGCATGGTAAAGCCTGCGAAGTTCATGCTCGAAGCGAGACCTCTCCAATATCCTAGAAATTCGGAATTCAAGAAGGCGCAGAAGACTGTGACAAAACTAACTTTTCTTGCCGACGCTGTGGAGAGTGAAAGTTTGAATTTGAGGCTCTACTAAGATAATAGTGGTCGTGCGTACGCAATTGATGCCTCAACTTTAAGATTGATGTCTACTCGCTGGGCTATCTTCATTACTAATGCCGCTTCTGAGGCGACAAATTTTTCGACATTCGTGGTTGTAATATCGACTAGTCGTCTTATGGTGCTCTCGTGCTCTTGCTTCGCTATAACGGTGTGTCAGCATCGAAAACTAGAGAAGTGAAACCCCTTTACCAGAAACAGTTATGTGCAAGATGTCACTCCCAGCTACTTCCTTAAGCGGGCGGATACACAGTCTATCCAATTCGTCATCTTTGAGCTGTTCGAGCGCGGCTTCATCATATTGGTCGGAATCAGCAGCTTCGAGCTCCAATTCGCTGACAAAAACGTCATGCTTGGTGAAGACAGCAATAATCGGAACTAGATTTGAGATGTGAGTTATGAGAAACTAAATGAAAACGTTGCGCACTATCGCCTAGTATTTCCTGCCTTGATTTGAGAAATTCCTCTACTCCGTTCTCAAGCAAACGTCCATTGGCATGAGGTATCGAGAGGCAGAGCCTTCAAGCAGTGTCAATATGGAAGAGTAGCAGCGGAAGCCAGAAGACCGTACCAGACCGCGTGGATTTTGTCCTGCAATTCGGGCTCGTTGCGGCGGCGGGCAATGAAGTCTTTTGCAGTCTTGAAGATCTTGCTATCGCCAGCTTCAAATCCCTGACTATCATGGACAACAAATCGTTCATTTTCTGGCGCAGTGAATTCCTCGTTGATATCCGCTTCACCACGCTTGTTTTCATCAACTTTCTGTGAAGGGATAGGTGAATATCAACAACTGTCCCCACGTAGCACTAATTCACGGACTCACTACTTCTTTGATTTTGAATGCCTGCTGAATCAGTGATGACTTTCCGACTCCGGTCTACAAAGTAAATGCGTGAGTCGTCTATGTTTGAAGACAATGTCAGAGACGGACCTTCCCTATTACCAGTAGCCGGAATCTCGGGCAAATCTCTAGAATACTGCTGCTAGTCGACTGCAGCTGTCTGATATCAATAATCATGGTCAATGTGGACGATGATGCTCAGTTTGCTTCTAACATAAGAGACCAATACACTCACCGTATTGTAATGACAACTGTCAGCTTCCTCCGAATCACCTTATACACTATCACATCAAGCTATAAGTTTAATGCGGCACAGCTGAAGGGAAATCGGTTCACCTCGTTGGCCGTCGTGATCCACTATATTGGCCAAGACGTCCTTTCTGTTTAATGGAAAATTCACGGCGATCTTCCGCGGAAACAAGCCCGTATTATGGTAACAGTGCACAGATAAGGAAACCTGCTCAGTAGTCACCGGACTGTGTTACGATGTTTTGAACGAGTTGCTCCCAGTCACATAGTAGGTGGAGCTCACATGGCGGGGTCGAACTTTTTACTAAGGTCCCTGTCTTGATCCGACATGTGGCGGATCTCCTGTCGCTGTGAATCAATATTCAACTCGGCAAAATCGACCTTCTTCCTCGAAGTATTATCAAGCTGGATGACAATATCTAGGAAGAAAAATTTCCAAGGGTGAAAGGCACGGTAAGTGGGAAATTCTTACTGGAGATGTAGAGAGGAGCAGAGGAGGCGACTACGGTAGGGGTATTTCCAGACATCGTCCTTCGAATCGATGGGAGTCAGTGGAAGAAAGGGTAAGGAGTGGATGGATGACGGGAGAGCAACAAGTAGTAGCCCTGGGACGCGAACGTCGTATCAGCGCTTGTTTGCACGTGCCGACCCGATGCCAGTAAATATGCTTGAGAAACTTGCAGAAGAGTCTTGTCAGACCTGGAGCGCTGAAAATTTAGTGACCGTTCATTCGGGACTTGACGCAAGAGGCCCGTGTATTACATGGACCCACATCGCAGGGTTTAGACTGCTGCTGAATTTGCAATAGCTAATAAGTAGCAACTTGCTCGTGTGCTGCATGTATGCAAACAGCCGTAAATAAATTAAGTATGCACCATTACATAATCATCGCACTCCGTGACCGGCATTTAAATTTGTTGTTTTTGTCATGAATATTCATCGCCAAGTATAACAGATTCCTGCCCCACTAAACCTGCAATCTACTACTAAGTTACACTTATGTAGCTCGAGTTCAAACCTTAGTCAAACGTATACGAAGATGAGCACTGTGCACATATGTACACGTATTAGTGAACTAGGTACGCTTTGGAAACTACAAACCATTGTCATGTATGAAAGCCCGCACCGTGACCGTCTACCACTCTTCGTCTACTTGCAAATCCACGGGCCCAATCTTCGTCCTCAGGTTCTGAACGTCTTCAGCCTTGATAGAATGATCCTTGATCAATTTAACTATCTTCTCCAACGCATCGTCCCCTCCGCCACGGGTGACAGATACACAGTGCGATTGAATTGCTGAGTGAACATCGCTTTTACACGTCCCCTCATAGCCTTTGATGGCAATTTTGATGACGTGACGAGAAATAGGCCCTGTCGGTGCTAACAGGAACAAGATCTGCATGATGCATGTTAAATCCACGATGTATGTCATGATCCGCCGCAAAACAATGTTTCTAGATCGGTCACCTTATAAACTACCTTTCAGATAGAAACAGTACGCATTCACTCACGTCCGTTGATAGGTATCATAAACCCATTTAGTCAAGACCACCCCTGCGGCAATCGGTACGACAATTGGTAGAAGCGGGCCAGATAACGATGACAAAATCGATGCAATTGTCGCGACCACGGAGAGGCCGAATTCACTGCCAGTGTTTCTGTAAATTGAAAGCGTCTCGGAGTACAATAACTAACAACTCACAAAGCCTGTGCCGTGTGTGGAAGATCAACCTTGTCTAGATCTTTTAGAATCAGCTCTTTGAACTGGTCACTGGCCAAGTGCTTCGCAGAAACGTGTCAGCAGCCTGTAACATGAAATTGAATGTGCATCTTACACAATGAGGGTCGTTGAAGTTCCAAACGTCAATTATGTCCTTGTGAATCACAGACAAGCAGTCTAACATGGTAAAACCGGTGAAGTTCATGCTCGAAGCGAGACCTCTCCAATATCCTAGAAAATTGGAAGTAAACAAGGCGCCGAAAACTATGGCAAAACTAACTTTTCTCGCCGATGCTGTGGAGAGCAAAAACGTGAAATTAAGGCTTTATTAAAATAACAGTGGTCGTGCGTACGCAATTGAAGCCTTAAGTTTAAGACCGATGTCTACTCGCTGGGCTATCATCATTGCTAATGCCGCTTCTGAGGCAACATATTTTTCGACGTTCGTGGTTGTAAGATCGATCAGTTGTCTTATGGTGCTCTCGTACTCTTCGTTCGCTATAATGGTATGTCAGCATCGGGGACTAGATAATTTAAAACCCTTTACTCGAAACAGTTGTGTGCAGGATGTCGCCCTCAGCTGCCTCCTTAAGCGGCTGGATACACAGTTTATCCAATGTGCTAACTTTAAGCTCTTCGAGAGTGACTTCATCATATGATTCACCAGCGTCGTACTCCAATTTGTCGACAAGGATGTCATGCTTGGTGAAGACAGCAATGAGCGGAACTGGATTTAAAATATGAGTTATGAGAAACGAAATGCAAACGCTGCGCACTATCGCCTAGTATGTCCTTCCTCAATTTGAGAAATTCCTCTACCCCGCTCTCAAGCAAGCGTCCATCAGCCTGAGGTATCGAGAGGCAGAGCCTTTGAGCAGTGTCAGTATGGCAGAGTGGTATCAGAAGCCAGAAGACCGTACCAGACCGCGTGGATCCTGTCCTGCAGTTTAGGCTCCTTGCGTCTGCGGGCAATGAAGTCTTTTGCAGTCTTAAAAATCATGCTATCGCCAGCTTCAAACCCCTGACTATCGTGGAGGACAAATCGTTCATTTTCTGCCGCAATGAATTCCCTTTCGATATCTGCTTCACCACGTTTGTGTTCAGAAATATGCTGTAAAGGACATGTGAACGTCAGCAACGGTCCCCACGTGACAGTGATTCATGGACTCAACTACTTCATTTATTTTGAATGCCTGCTGGATCAGTGATGACTTTCCGACTCCGGTCTACGAAGTGGATGCGTGAATCGTCTATGCTTGAAGATAATGACAGAGACGGACCTTCCCTATCACTAGTAGCCGAAATCTTGGGCAAATCTTTAGAATATCGCTGCTAGTCGACTGCAGCTGTCTAATATCACCAATCATGGCCGATATGCACAAGAATGCTCAGCTTTCTTCTGAGATGAGAGACCAATATACTGACAATATTGTGACGACAATAGACATCTTCCCCTCAGTCATCCTATACTCTATCACATCAAGCTATAAGTGTTATGCAGCACAGTTGAAGGGAAATTTCACCTCGTTGGTTGTCGTGACTCACTGCATTAGACAAGATGTCTTTTCTGTCTAATGAAAACTTCTTGGTGGTCTTCCACAGAAACGTGCCTTGAAAGTGTACAAACAAGGAAACCCGCCCAGTGGTCACCGCACTGTGTTACAATGTTCTGAACGAGTTTCTACAAACATAGGTAGGACTCACATGGCGGGATCGAACCTCGCACTGAGGTCCTTGTCTTGATCCGAACTGTGGCGGATCTCCTGTCGCTGTGAATCAAACTTCAACTCGGCAAAATCGATTTTCTTCTTTGAAGTGTCATCAAGGCGGATGACAATACCTGGGAAAAATATTTAAGGGTCAAATACACAGAAATTCTTACTGGTGATGTGGAGAGGAACAGATGAAGCGGCTACGCCAGTGGGAGTATTTTCCGACATTTCATCCGAGTCGATGAGAGAACGGGTAAGGGGGAATGATGGCGGGGGAAAAACCAGTAGTAGCGAATTCGTATCAGCACATGCTTGCATGCTTGAGGCTTGCAGAAGTCCTCCTGGAAGCGCTTGATAGGCTGATAATTACCGTTTGTTCGGGACTTGGCACAACTCGTGTGGTACGTAGACCACATTCCAGGGTTCAGTTCACTGCCTCGACCCCTGAATTCACACTAAGCCATCAAATTGCACGTCTGACTAGCATGAGGCAGCTGCATGTAAGTCTGTATGCACATGATGCAGCAATGCTGAGAAAGACGTAATTCAACGCGCTTACCACAATTAATAGGTGCTTACCTGCTAAGATGGATGTTACATTATTACATATGTGATAACATTTGCGCCAGCCTCGGGCGTCCAATTGAGGGCGCACTGTGATATGATGAGAATCGAAGATGATATATGAACGTAGTGACAACAGCCTCGTGCGTCCAATTGAGATGATGCTCTTATAGCCGCCGGATCTGGGATTGAAATCTCGTTTCGGCAAGCGCCTCGCGCCCATATACTCAGGGGCCACCAGATAGAAGGACAACAGGGTCCCCGGTCACCAACACAATAGGAATAAAAGGTCCAAAGTATCGGTGTGACAGAGATTCTGCACGCTGAAACCCTCTCTTACAGGGTCCTGGGATAGGTTTAAATTATCATAAGAGTCCCTACTGTAGGGCGGCTATGGGGATGTTATCCCAGCTATCCCAATCAGACTCACTCACTAGCCACCTCTTCATATATGTTGATCCTGGTACCAGCTCGGTTTCAAGCCTGGCTGACCAATTGGGCAAGGAATATATACTCGCTGCTTGCCAACCTTGGGCTTAGCTGGAAGTCGGCACAAATAAACAATGAGTTTGTTTTTTTATGCAAATTTATGTTTCGTGTAATTTTGATCAAGTGTCTACGGATCAATAGTCTGCTCGACCTCACTGAGCAAATAAGCAAGGAGTCATCCCGATACCCTGTCGCTCAAGGCAGTTTTGGGGATGTCTGGAAGTGCATACGTAAGCACCCTCGAATCACGGTAGCTCCTTCAGGTTTGCACTTGTAAATATGCACTCATACTGTCTCCCTCTACCAGGTTGCAGTAAAGTGTCTGCGACTTGAAATTCCGAACGATAACTGCAAGACAAAAATTACCCAGGTTTGAATGGCACCACGCACTCAGCTAATACCACGTGTTTATTTGTACACTTCAGAGGCTCGAACACGACTTGCAGCGGAATACTAAGCTTAAACACGCCAATCTGTTACCTTTGTTGGGCATAACTCAAGGGTTTGGTCCACTGCCCGCTATCGTCTCCCCATGGATGAACAAAGGCTCACTTACCATGCTTCTGGAGCGTGATTTCCAGCAACTCACTCTCACTCGAATGCTCCAAATCGTGGGTCTTTCTTCATGGTATGGCTCGTATCTTAATATTTGTTATTACAGCTCAAAGATGTCGCTTCAGCTATTGAGTACTGTATGCGGCAAACCTCAGTATTCGACGCAAAGCTAATGTGAATATTAGTACACTCCGAAAACATAATACACGGTGATCTCACCGGCGTGAGTACCACAGATATCTCCTTCAAAACAATTATTGACGCGACTCAGAACAACATTCTCATCGATGAGAACGGCAAAGCCTTCGTGGCTGACCATGGAATTCTCATCTTTTGTGCCGAGCTCCATGGCACGTCATACATCAGAAGCAATGTGCGATGGGCTGCACCTGAAAACTTTCAAGTTCCGGAAGATGAGGAGTCAATAAGCTTGCCCCAATTGGCATCTGACATCTATTCTTTCGGGTGCATCATGTTGCAGGTTTGTCGGTGGATCTTGATATCATGCAATGCGATTATCAATCTCTTTGTAGGTCTTCACAGGAAAGGTTCCGTATTCCGAATTTCGGAGTGACCATCAAGTTACTGTACAGATACTCAGAGGCCGAAAGCCTGCCCGACCAGTGACTCCATCCATTCCCGATGCCCTATGGGATTTCATGCAGAAGTGCTGGCTTGATAAACCGGAACAAAGGCCTTCAGCCAACGAAGTACTGACATTTATACAGGGACAACTAGAGGAAAGCTCCTGCTCTCATGCGACTCGTGATGCCACAGCAGTTTCCTAGCATCTTTGTATGTTATGCTCCCTGTTTTGTGCTCTGTCCGACATAATGTTCGCGACGTTCCATACCTTGATATCTCTCATACCTACGATTTAGGCTTACAGCTATCATGTTAACATGCCCACCCATGTCCTGAACATCGCAGACTAGCTATGTTTCACAACGAATGCCGAATAGTAGATACACGATATGCTACACAAGCTTTGACTGACGTACATTAGTATTTAGTCCGTACATACTAATAGTCATTATGAGCGTCGTTTTTTGCACTATGATTACAATTCATGATTTCATGATTACTCAAATTAGCAAGATACATTCCAGCGCTGTTTCAATTCCCCTTCACGGACTGCAGTAGTCAACTTTCGTGTCAAGTTCGATGGTAAATACGACTGTTCAAGTTGTAGCTGCTACTGCGGTATGTTGGCCACTGTCGGATGTCGTAGTCGCCCTCAGTTACTAGACCCCTTCAGCTTCGCCAATTTGCGTTTTTCGATGCTCACCCTGTGAAGGACGTCCATGACCTTGCTAGCCCACCCGAGATTTTCAAAAACGCCTCGGAAATCTCAACTGTCGCGTCATCCAGTGCTGGGTTGCTCGTTGCGGATATTCACGGCAGTATACACACTCTAAACAAGGAGTTCGTATCGACAACGAGCTGGGTCGCACATGTGGGAGGACGAGTAATGCACATGGCAGAGAGGGATGGTATGTTGGTGACAATTGGGGAGGAGAGCGCAGTACGAGGTAGTTTGCTAAAGATTTGGGATCTTGGGAAGACGGACAAGAGAAATCAAGCACCAGTGTTACTGAAATCTGCCAAGGTCCAGCCTAGCAACAAGCCTCATCCAGTGAGTGACTCACTACGTTCAGCTTTCGCTCGGTGAGCTTGTAATTCAGGTTTCTTGCTTTGCACTTTCTTCTGCGCTGTCTTTCCTTGCCATCGGCTTGGCCGACGGGACGGTACTACTTTACAGGCACTTGGACCAGTCACTATCTTCCACAACGTCCCTGACTGCACTGCCTAAGACACGCATCATCCATGAATCATCCCCTGAACCTATCACCGGCCTTGGTTTCCGAGAACTTCCGAGTCCCACTAATGCCGATGCTAAGGATAACAACTTGCACCTTTTCATTGTGACCACGAACTCGGTACACTTGTACCATGTGTCCGGCAAAGGGAGTGGAGGATCTAGCGTGTTACTAGATGATATAGGATGTGGACTGGGATGTGCGGTGATGGATTGGCGCGCCGAGAAGATCGTGCTTGCGAGAGATGAGGCAGTATATGCGTATGGTTTACATGGGAGGGAGCCGCCATATGCTTATGAAGGTGAGTGGATTGGTACCAATTTAAGTACTGGGAGGCGATGTTGTGTCTTTTACAGGTTACAAGTCGTCGATCCACACCCACCTTAACTATGTGATAGTCGTTTCACCACCCACAACAGCTACATCGACGTCACCTGCTACGCGAAAGCTTGCAGCACAAGGGGCAGGTGGAGACGGTGATGCGTCGAGGGTGACTGTGTTTGACATGGAGAATAAGGTAGTTGGATATACCGGGGTGTTTGCGGAAGGTATCAGAGAGGTAATCTCGGAGTGGGGAAATATCTACATCCTCACAAATAATGGGCAGGTGCGTCCTAACGATGCTCAGAATTGTGCGTTGACTTTTAATCTGACGTCACTGCCCTTGTTTAGCTGACTCGCCTTGCCGAGAAATCCACCTCTGCAAAACTTTCCATGCTGTACGCAAAGGCTCTATACCCACTTGCACTGAGTCTCGCGCAGACACAACACCTCGACGAGAGCTACGTGGCTGATATTCATCGTCAGCACGGTGACCACCTCTACACGAAAGGAGATTGGGATGGCGCGATGACGTGCTATCTGAAGACGATAGGTTGGGTGAAACCGAGCTATGTCGTTAGAAAAGTCAGTTATTTGTGTTTTTTTTTTCCAACACAATAGATCTGATGATGATGTCGCAGTTTCTGGACGCTCAGCGCATACACAATCTCGTTACCTATCTGCAAGAGCTACATGCCCTTGGCCTCGCAAACGCTGATCATACCACTCTTCTGCTCAATACTTACACGAAACTCAAAGACGTTGCACGCTTAGACAGCTTCATTAAAACAGAGTCTCGTCGCTCTGGTGCAGCAGAGTCGAACGGCGACCTTCCATTTGACCTGGACACTGCTATCCGGGTGTGTAGGCAGGCAGGATACTTTGATCATGCCAGTTACCTTGCGAAACGCTATAAGCGACACGAAGAATATTTGAGGGTTATGATTGAAGACGCTGGGAAATATGGGGAAGCATTGACGTATCTGAGACACTTGGGAGCAGCCGCAGTAAGTCTAATCTTCGTTATTTGGTTTGGCTTTTTTTTCTGGATGAAGCTAATACATTTATATAGGCGGAAAGTAACCTCGCTAGGTACGGACGCGCTATGCTAGATAATCTCCCGGAGGAGACGACACAGCTTCTTATTGACCTTTGCACCATCTCTGGGCCCCTCATCATCCCCGAAGCAGAGGACGCCACTCCGCAACAGTCGAGCGCACCAGCAAACGCCCCATCGTACCTCTCGTACCTTGCTCTCTCCCGTGCACCCGCGCCTGAAGACAAAGTTGAGGAACCCAAAGAGGACAAAGAAGAGGACCTAGCGGAACCTCAAACAATGCAGCCCAACGCACCAACGCCACCCAAAGAGAAACGACCTTCACCTACACTCTATTTCGCGCATTTTGTTGATCACCCGTCATATTTTGTCCGTTTCCTAGAAAGCGTAGCCGCACGTCGTTGGGGACAGTCACTCTCCTCTCTCCCATCCTCTCTTCCAGATACCAATCTGGACAAAGACGAAGACCTAGAGAAGCACAATCAGGCAGCAGTTTGGAACACGTTGCTTGAGCTCTACCTTGACGGAGGCTCTCCAGCACAACAGGAAAAGGCACTCAAAGTTCTGACGAGCGACACCTTACCGTGCGATAAAACGCATGCATTGATTCTTTGCAGCAGCTACAGCTATACCCGAGGTCTGGTCATACTTTGGGAGAAGCTAGGTATGTATGAAGACATTTTACGGTTTTGGATGGACAAGCACAACACGTCGCCATCCGAGTCTTCTGCGTCAACAGAGGTCGTGCAGGCCCTCGTACGATATGGCCCAACACACCCGCACCTCTATGAGCTGGTGCTGCGCTTCTTGACAAGCACGCCGGAGCTGCTCACGCGGCACCAGGCGGACGTAGAGAAGATTCTGGAACACATCGAGAAGGAGCGGATAATACCTCCGCTTGGTGTAGTCCAGATATTGAGTAGGAATGGAGTAGCGAGCGTAGGCCTTGTCAAGGACTGGCTGATGGGACGCATCAAGGAAGCAAGGGAAGAAGTGCAAACTGTAATTTCTTTACATTTATTTCTCATTTTCACGCTGATGATTTTCCCTGTGATAGGACCAGCAACTGATCAACTCATACCAGCTAGAAACGAATGCGAAGTTGAAGCAAGTGGCTGAACTAGAGGACCCCATGCATGCAAAGGTGTTTAGTGTGACGCGCTGTTCTCAGTGCAGCGGGCAGCTCGATCTCCCCAGTGTCCATTTCATGTGCAACCACTCGTATCACCAGCGGTACGTATTTCGCTCATTCATTAATTGACCGAATTATTCCTTTCCTCGGAATCACACCTCTTCTGGCTATCTCGTGATGTCAGTGCTAATGTACATTTCATATAGATGCCTTCTGGACCACGAGACAGAATGCCCGCTTTGCGTACGCCAACATGGGATCATCCAGGAGATTCGGAGGAATAACGAGAGGATGGTAGATCAACACGAGATATTCCTCGCAGATGTGCAAGATAACGGGTTTAAAGTGCTTGCGGATGGATTTGGTAAGGGGGTGCTAAATATGACTCGATTGGACGATGTTGCTGTATAACCTGTATAGCGCCGCGCTATACTTCTGCCACATGATCTGCATCTGTTACGGTATCAAATAGTAAGTTATCAAATATATTTCGTTAATAAGCTCGGGTTGATCCACAAGCGATGGGCATTTGCAGATTAGTTCGGTCCGACCCAAACATTGATTACTCGTCCTTTTATAAATGCAATGGTTTCTTCTTCAGCCGACAGACGTTCTGTGTATACTGACCCTCAAAACTTAAAGCGCAATCCCAGTTTCCATCAGTCAAGTATGTAGGTTTAGTTTGGCCGTTTCCATGTCCATCCAACGATAGCACTTGATCCTTGGGAGCTGCGTAGTGATCATTCATGATCACACGCACCTAAAGCATGGTCCTTCCGAGATTAAACTTCCGGAAGAGAATACCGCCTACAGATAATCGAACCTTCGCATCTAGGGTGCCGTGTCTCTCGGCTTGAACTACTAGCACAATGTCAAGATCGTTTCATCTTCGTCAACAGAACGATATTCTAATTGGGAGCTTATGAACTCCATACTTAGACGCGCACGCACATCACTCAAGTTTCCGTGGATGATGGACCATAAAGCTCGATATGATGGATACATGATCAGGATGTAAGTCATTCTTATCGGATGGGTGGTCTAAACAGTGGTCTTACAGGAGTCAGAAGAGCAACACGAGTCACATAGGCGCCGCCTCGAGTCATTATCATAAAGGAAATAGAACCATTTATTTTAGGATGAACGCATACTTCTCAGCGCTTGAAGTCACGATCAGGCGACAGGCAGCGTTTGCTAACATTGAATTGGTTATCAAAATTCACATCCACCACAGGGTTGTTGCCGAAGCCGAAGCCTCGCGCGTAGTTGGGCTAAAGTTTCGATTGGTAGTTCCACATCCCTGACCACGCCTCAGGAAATCTGATGAACTTGTCTGCCTTTCTCCTACTTGATGCGTTCAAGAATGGGCGTTTACTTGGTGGAAGGTCAGCTCCAGCGTGGATTTCATTCAATCCATACCAGTTGCGGCTTTCCTGTGCGCCCTCTGCAATTTCGATTCCCCGGAGCTATTCAGTTGATCGCGATATCAGCGGGAACCTTTGCAATCCTTGTGTATAAGACAAAAAACCACTGTTGCTAAGAAAGTACATCGACATCCTCTTGTGCCTGTGCTTCTCCTATCGATATGCCGATTCTCCCTCTGAAGGCTCTTGCACGTCAAGTCCCTCTTCATCATCGACCCAGCTCACCCTCTCCATCTGACGTTACTCGGTCTTCTGGTGAGAGACAATCTTATTTAAGCCAGAACTCCTTTGAATATACCTCCGAAGACGGGGAAAGCGGGCGCGATTCCATATCTGAAGGGGGCTCGCAACTTATTTATTTAATTCCGACCGCAACTACTAAGACATCAACGTACGGTTTGTTCGCTGTGGACACAAGCATTGCTACCGGGCAAACCAATTTTCCGACTGCTTCGGGTGGACTTGGAGATGTCTACAGATGCATATTGAACAGGGGCGCGAGTCCGGAAGAAGTATGCCACACGTTGATCTTCTCCATGCTTACGCTCACCTAAGCTCAGGTTGCAGCCAAATCTCTACGGTATCCAATTCTTACAGACGCCGCGGTAATTGCCAAAATAAATCGTGTATGTTTGGATAGCCTCTGAAACCTCCGCGTGTCTGAACTTCTTTGGAACACAGAAACTTGAACGCGAAATCAAGATCTGGACCGGATTAAAACATCGGTATATATTGTGTCTACGTGGCACTGCAACGGGTTTCGGTCCATTTCGAGCATTGGTTTCCCCCTGGATGCCGAACGGGACATTGAACTTTTATCTTACTCGTGAAAAGAAAACCCTTGCGAGGGTGGACAGGCTTCGCATTGTAAGTTTCTCTTTCGACGCCGATTACTGGAGCTTACGTTTCTCAAAGCTTAAACAAATTACCGAGGGGCTCAAATATCGTAAGTAACATATTGGCTTGGAAACGACCGGCTTAACTGTATACTGCGGGCAGTCCACGACAATAAAGTGACTCATGGCGATCTGACCAGTGTAGGTTTGCCTACATTATACGTTTCGTGACCCACTGATTGTTACTATAGAACAATGTCCTAATTGCTGCTGATGGGTCCCCGCGCCTTGCAGACTTCGGTGTTTCGAATATCTTGGTAGAATCTAACCCGGCATTCTCCTTCCACAATGGCGCAGTTTGTTGGGCAGCTCCAGAGCTCCTCTTCCCGGAAGGTGAAACTGTGCCGTGTGCCACCAAATCCAGTGATATATATGCTCTTGGGTGTATCATGCTTGAGGTCAGTATCTCATTTGCGTTTTTTTTTCATGACGCTGACAGGATATTCGCAGGTATTATACAGCAAAACACCCTACTGGTGGATTGGCAAGAATGCCGTGCAAGTCGTGGCATCAAAGTACAAAGGTCAAGAGCCCATAAATAACACCGTGCAAATTCATGCACGTCATCTGGATTTCATGCGGCGGTGCTGGACAATCAAGAGTGAGAGTCGTCCATCAGTGGAGGATGTACAGGGCTTCCTTGCTGAGAGAGATATGTCTAACTGGGTCTCGTCTACGTAATGTCGCTGTTCGGAACTGGTTCATTCTCGTTTTTTTATTCTAGCTGCCTCACTGGTGTAGTACAGTGTTAAAGTATAATATAGGATCGCATATCCGCTGGCTCGGTACCTCATGGCAATTGTATTGTCCATAGAATCGTACGACTCATGCATACTAGTCTATCGTAGAGTCAGAATCCATTACTATCGCTATAGCACAATGATATGAAAGACCTAGTCCGCATGCACTGGTGCGGCCGGCCCACACAAATCTGTGTAGTCTAAGGAAAGTATCACAAACTGAAATTTACATAATGACCGGAACATTGACCAGTTCGTGAATCTTTGAATTCCGGACTCTGACTTGTACGGGAAGCAGTACGTGAAACTACACAAGACCTGCAGCGGTGTGACTAGTACTTGGGTGTGACCATTTTACGTTAATGCGAACGGCATATTCCTGTAGTCGTGGTAAATATTCTCATCAATGTAGCGCCTTGGTTTGTAGTATTTACTACAGCCAGCAGCCTCTTGAACGTCGATATAAAGGCAGGAATCTTGCAAAGCCTAGTAATTGTTCTTGTTCTTGTGATTACTCCAACTGCTCCGGGCCTATAAAGAGCTGGCTTCAATGCGACAAATATCTTCCCCTCTCACCTTGAAAGCGGTCCCTTATCATTGGCGTCTACATCTGTAGACGCCAAAGATAATGGATATCTTTCCAATACAGTATCTTGGCGTCTCAAAAACACTTCTTCCAATAACGATGACGTCCCAATGACGGGAGAACTAATCAGGTGCATGCCCTAAGTTAGTCTAGGGTTAAGGTTACTAATATCTGAATCGACAGATCTTCCCACCTAGTACTCTTTAATGTCGCCCCATGCGTGTAGTCCGGGGAGCCTCTCAACGATTTTCTTCGTTCATTTTGGCAGTGACGAGTGGATACAGCAGAAAAAGAGACACCAGGTTACAGTACTCCTTCACTCCCTCTCACTCGCATTAAGAAAGTCATAAAGAGCGATCCAGACGTGAACTTGAAGGTATGTCACTCCATCATAAAACGATGCCAGGTGTACGTGTTATCAATAAAATGTGTCGTGCCTCTCTCAATGAATGTCCATCTAGCCATGTCAAGCTGCTCCTCATCAGGATTCTGAACACCATACAAACGCCATACAAGCGATGAAGCTGGCGGCAGTTGGCACGAAAAAGCCGCCGCAGCGCATCATCATTCAGTATGTATATCTTGAGAACTGAGTATTGATTCAGCAGCCTGCTGGTGTTCAGTTTGAAAGGGTACGGTGTTTTGAGAATAGTTCCGAGTCTACGCTAATCCAGGTTGCAAAACTGTTGTACAATGATAATTTGTCTTCCGATGCGGCAAGCACTTGAGTAAGCAGAAATGTTCTTTGGGCAGATTTTGTTGAGTTGACTTCTGCTCTGCGCAGTGTGCGCTCTACAAGTAACAAAGGAACAGACATAACATCGTCTTCACTGTGCAGCATCTTACGGTACTACAGAACCCTATCCCACAAAAGCGGGTTTTAAGCACTAAATCGTGTAGCAATATCCTCCAACCTCGTCACTATAATTGGTATACACTATCATGATATCTCACTACATGAGGATGCTTACCGTGGCCCCAGAAATCCCATGATATCGTCTATCGTCGGGCGATGGGCTGATGTCTTATTCAAGCACGGTGAGAATTGTTGATACACCCCATGATTCTCTATGCCCCTGAAAGGTGCACGTCCTTTCTGCATCGCGCCCATGACTTGTAGAACGCTAGTTATCCACGCGTAGGGCTGATTTCCCACGAAGATCTTGGACTATTGTCAGAAGGCTGTGTTTGTGTATTGACAATCCGACAGACCTGGAATACTATACAACCATACGAATAGACATCCCAAGCTTTAGTTGGCTTCTCGTCTTTAGCTTCGTCATCGTCTTCATCTCCGTCTCGGAGAGCCTCTGGGGGCATCCAACGTACGTTTCCTGCGTGACAGGAGTTGAATGTGGCGTTCCCTGCCTCGGTAAGAATCATCGATAGACCAAAGTCTGCGAGACGGAGGCGACCGGAGCTGTCAACTAAAACATTCGTCTGTCATCGAATTCAGCTACATACTACATGTGGATTGGGATAAGACCTACCGCTGTCAAATCGCCGTGCACGATACCCTTGCCGTGCACTAAGTGGATAGTTTTTGGTAAACGGTGCGATCGCCACATCTGTTAACAATGGAACTCACGGTAACTGATACCAGCAGTTACCTGCCATACCTGAAATTATGGCTAAGTATAAGCTAGTGCAGTAGTCATTTGGCACTTACAAGCTCTCGTTTTCTAGGGTCAGACAGTTTGGAAAACTTGCGCTTCAAGTATTCGTCCAGCGATCCTTCTTCCATCCATGGAGACACTAATGCTGGAAGTAGCCCGAATTCTTCAGCGAAAGTCACGCCCTCGAGAGGGAGAATGTGGTCGTGTTCCAACTGTATCCAAACATAGGCCTCACGACGAACTTTCTGGGGAGTAGATGTATCAGCGAGTGGAACTGCGTATCAATCCCCGCCCTAACCTTGCCTATCGCTTTCAATATCTTCACATCTGTTACCGAAAGGACCCTGATAGATTTGACAGCGACCTTGATTACAATAAATGATAAGTCTTCTACCTATGTCTAAACTCACGGGACGTTGGGCTCCAGATCGTGTAGTCAATAAACATTTCCAGATGTCACCAAGCCCTCCTGTACAGGTAGGAAAGTTGCCATCTCTTGCGATGTTTTTCGCAGGAATAAGCTCTGGTTCAATTTTGAATTGAACTGACTCCTGCCAATGATATTAGTATATCATCAACGTGGAAACATGGAAGCCATATTGACTTACGGGTGGGAGTTCGCCCATTGCGAAGTAAAGCTAGATATCAGAGTTCAAAATGAGACAACTGGGATGTAGGAGACGAAACGGGCAACTCTATATACCACTACTGAAGAGACAAATCAACCATGCCGTTAACCCAAAAATACCACGGCCATGAGGCCCTGTGAGTCTGTGACCTGTTTGCGCCCGAAACCTAGCGCCTTGATAGCGAATGTGATGAAAAACCCTGAGAGGCTGTGTTATTCAATGGTCGTATACATCGGTGATTGGTATGCTCCACGTTTTCCATCAGACTCGGTGAAAGATAGCTTGCGATGCACATGTTTGATTATATGAATCCAATTTCGAAGATCAGAACACTTCAAGCCGGAAACGATTGTGGGTAAGACCGAGTCAATGTATAGTAAGCCTGCACGAGATCAAGCTTCCTGTGTGCAGCAAGTTATATAGCTTTATGTGGCTTAGATCATGACGCCTATCTTGTTGTTAAAGGGTTGCGCCAGCCAGCTATTGTGTAGCGCCAGATCATAAAGCTTTCACCTGTCATAGACAGATACGATCGATACCAGAACACTAGTAGTGATAACGCGATGAATGATTATTTGAGTGCTGCGTGACCTGGAGAGAAATTAGCTAAGGGAAATGGCAAGAATTCCTTCCTCTTCGATGAGCGAGCTCGTCCCACTGGCCGACTGCTGAACACCTAGAGTGTCAGGACCGGGGCGTCAAACATCACTTTTCAGACACTAAGCACGTACCTTGGATGAGGCTAATTATGATAAGCGTGCAGTTAACTCGGGAAACTATGCAGTCCCAGCATCAGACGTTCTATGTATGAATCCAGACCCCCGATAAAGCTGGACAAGTGAAATGAAATTGTTGAAACGAACACTTGGGCTGGATTTTCCTCAGCATATGTCTGATTCGAGGCTACGGAAGTCTATAGTGCGACAAAGAGGTGCGACTGAGAATAACCATAAGACTCCTTGGACTGCGTTCACGCGTGAGCTTTTCCTGAATCCCCAGTTGAAGGGCGAACCGTCTCAGATCTGGTGAAAAGCAATAAGAGAAACGGTATGTTCCTGCGGGGCAGTGCGGGTTATCCCGCGGCAAGTCTCAACCCTCAAAATTGGTCAAGGAGCGGCCAAGTGCGTAGATTAGTACACAGGATCATTTTTACTGCCATTTACGGACATCCCTTACATACCTTCGAGAACTTCCAGAGCGCTGAAGATTTCGGTTTGACTGTAGGCTAGTCTCTAGGCACTGCCAACCAGTGCGTCAGTGGAGTCCTTCGTGATGGTCGGAAAGAAGATCTATATTTTTCTGCGAATATTTCAGCCATCGCGTGACAGAATATTTGGACTGCTGCGAATCGCAATGTGAAAGCATGTGGCATCATGCATCGCGATTGGATGAGGCGACCTCCCGAGTCCCAACAGAGTTGTGTGCCCGCGCCCAGATCTGGTGTCTTCTAATAACAATGTCGGCATAATAATCACGAAATAAAGGCATGTACTACAGTGGTGACTGGTGACGACGAGCGCTTTTAAAGTCGTGGACACGGTGGAAGGAACTTGATGACGTCATTTACATAACGAAAGAACTTGACACTGCTAGTGAACGTTTGAACACTGCCACAGCGCGTCCTCGATTACATCTTGCAGTTTGCTAGTAGTATCAAAGTTCTACACAGACCGGCATTAATGATGGTGCGACAATTCACTGCCCCACCACGCGGCGTCTGTTGAGCAGATGATCTGTATTCTCAATTATATATATACCTGCAGACCAACCGCTTCAACTTGAAGTTAACAACGATATCGTCACTACTAGTACGGCTACCTTTCGCCACGTTGAACGCTGTGGCCTAGCATTGCTATTATCCCGCAATGGGGAATTGCTGCTCTCAAAAATCTGTGGTAAGTTCGTGCCCTTGTATTCAATGTGAATAACGGTCACCGATTACCCTCGGGCCTCGACAGAAGGGAAATGGCAGTCCCCAGCCCCCTCACCGAGTTGATTTCAAAATCAAGCCAGATAACATTCCCGTGACAGAAGTCACAAAACTTGAGTCGTTCCCCAGTGGTACAGGAGGGCTTGGTGATGTCTGGAAGTGTTCTTGGTCTCGACCTCAGGTTGGAACATTTAAGGTAATTGTGCACTCGATCGAAAATTCACAATATTAACTACCTTTTAGGTTGCAATCAAATCAGTTAGGGTTCCCCAAGCAGATGATACGGAACTGGTGAATAGGACAAGCAAGGTAGGAGCAAGAACGAACTGAAAGTCATCGTGTTCAGCCATTACAACTCACAGAGGATTCGTCGCGAGGCTTATGTTTGGATCACCCTAGAGCATGAAAATGTTCTTACTTTTGATGGTGTTGTTGATGGCTTTGGGCCACTCCCTGCCCTAGTTTCTCCGTGGATGGAAAATGGATCGCTCGATAGTTATCTGAAAAGGGGACGTGTTCCTTCCAAGGCCGACAAACTGAGAATGGTACGCACCGTATCTCGCAGCATCGGACGAGTTCTGACATGTCTTTAGTTGAGACAGATAGCGGCCGGCCTCAAGTATTGTGCATCTATATTTTTTCTGTATCTGGATCAGACATGCTCACTGACTTGTTAGTACACGACAAAGGAGTGGTTCATGGCGATTTAACATGTGTACGTGTTAAAAGTCGTATCTCTGATGTCTCGGTATGACAACTCGATCTACAGACCAATGTTCTGATCAGCGCCGATGGGAAGCTCCATCTTGCGGACTTCGGTCTTTCCGTAATCCTTTCAGAATCACAAAACTCTACCTTCAATTCGTGCCACCAAGGAAATGTGCGGTGGATGGCACCTGAGATGCTTGCTTTGCCTGAGCAAGGGGGAGTGGTCGTGCCAACCAAAGCTGCCGATATTTACTCATATGGTTGCATCATGCTTCAGGTGTGTTGCCCCTCATTCGGCTGTATGTAAGCTACTGTACTGATAATACCCAGCTGTTTTGTGGACGTGCACCTTATATCTGGCTAACGCAAGCGTACCACATTATTACTGCAAGAGTCTCAGGAACAGAACCCTTCCGTCATTTCACTGACATCGAGGAGGTACACAAGGAGTATTCGTTGAAATGCATATCTGTCAGATCCGGAGATCGACCAGTGGCTTCTGCGATTGTAAAGTTCTTAGGAGCAGAGTAACAACAATACGATGAACTAGCCTAGGATACTGTGTACTCGGAACAGCATCTATGTGCTTCCCAATTTCTCATTGCCTTGTTTACATACACTCTGAGGACTGGTATTGCATGTAGTCTGCTAGCGCATTAGTATTGCTCCTACATAAATACAAATACAGCTGGTGTATCATATGACACTGAAAAGTGAGAGCGGACACGGAGCAATCTGATATATGATAGGACACGCCTGGAGTTTACATAAAAATAAGAAAGAGGATCACTTCAAAACCAAGACCTTATACAGACGAAGTCTCATTTGACAGTGCTTCTTGAAGATAATGTATTACCTCTTCTACTGACGGCCGAAGCTTACTCTCCGTTGACCAGCACCGCCGCATGAAATTCAGGTGACTAGGCTGGATTTCGATGGAGGTGTCAATGGGCTCTGTGCGTTTGAGCTTAGCAGAAATAACGTGCATGGCAGACTTCAGCCACCAGTATGGCTTTTTCCCATATAGGACCTGCACGCAGGCGAAGTTAGTGTCACCAGCCAGCCAACGCGAGACTACGAACCTGAAGCATGATACCGCCGAGAGCGTATATGTCAGTGGATATCGTTGCGCATTGGTTTTGACCTTCTGGGAGGTCTAGAAGCTCTGGAGCGACCCAACGTACTGCACCGGTGTGGTAGGAAAAGACAGGGTTGGATTGTACCATGATATTGGAGATACCAAAATCTGCAAGACGAGGAGACCCGTCGGCAGCAACCAGAACATTAGTCTACAATTACCATAAGATGATTTCGGTTGCATAGCATATGTGAACTTACGTTGGTGAGGTCGCCGTGTATGACGTTGTGGTCGTGGACTGCAGAAAACAAAGTTATATTTGTGACATCCATAGTCAATCCATCACTCACGATACCGGAGCCCCTCAGTAATTTGTTCAAGCTGTTGAAAACGTAGTAAGTTCCCGTACTCGTCTTCGTGGATAAGACTCACCAGCCGAAGCCTATCTATCATCGAAAGGGTCTCATGTGCATGCTTAAGGTAATAGTGCAAAGTCCCGTTGGGCATCCAAGGGGAAACCAATGCGCGAAATGGGCCGAACTGCTCTACAGTGCCATACAAGGGCAATACATATTGATGCTTTAACGCGGCCCATATACGGATCTCGCGGTCAAGGTTCTGCATCTCACAAGTTAATATATGCAGCCATCAGACCGGCACCCAACACACCTTGTTGATTTTGACAATTTCAAGATCACTTAGACTTGGGAATCGTGGGGATTTGACCGCCACCTGAAGCCATAATCAGGACAGCATGCAGGAAAAGCAAGTTTATGAAATACCTCATCAGAGCTTGCGCCACGGTTCCATTTACACTTGTAAACATCTCCCAAACCATTAGAGGCGGTTGGGTAACTGGTTTCCCTGTGGACATCACTTGGTTTGATACAGGGGACACTATTACTGTTCCATGTTTATAAAGTCCTGCTGAGGCAAAGAAATGACATACAAGTCCTCTGTGTCAACGGAAGGCTGAACAGGAGATGTTTGGCCACCTGGTGCATGGCCAACCTGTTAAAGTGAGATGAATAGATGGCTCCATGGACAATGTCAACAAACGTACAAGACCGTGCAGGAATTGTAGCATGTCGACGGGAAATCACAGTGGGAGATGGTCTTATTCCCTAGCATCGATGAACTACAGTTTTATATGCAGAAAACACTAGTGCGACAATATCGCAAAGTTATCCTACCGATAATTACGGTGGAAGGAGGCTGCGTAGGGTTCAACTGAGGACACCACGACTGGTATTGGTCGAAGCAGCGCTGTGAATTAGATCGATGATGAAGGCTGGCCTTCCACTACAGACGCCCACGTTATTAGGCGTCGAGGGGAAATTCCACTTCTGATCTATGGCGGACAATGAGACATCTTGAAACGTGTTGTCAGGGATGTGAAGAGCACTGGCAACACTGAAAAGAGCAGTCGCAAGGCAATATTCAGTCTCGGCGGCTAAGATAACCATCGTGGAAAAGAGATAAGAGGTTCGAGAAATATGTCATGTTAGTTCTAACATCGCCTGCTACAAAACGATGTTAACGCAAGTCAGTCGTTCTGCGAGGGTCAATTTTTGTTCTTGAAGGCTTGAGCCAAATCGAAGAAATTAATGACTTGTGCGTCAGCCTTATCTGAGTCAGTCTTCACTGAGAAAAGCAACTGATGACTGACTGCACTGAATTGACCCGTCCCATTCTGCCTGCACCAATGATTTTCGAACCACTCGTCCATATAGTAATAAGGCATGCAGGGCGTCTTTAACGCTCGCACAGGACCTCAAAGAAACATTCCCACGTATGACAAGTTCTATTGGCAACTGGGCCATATTGAAACCGCACCTTGATCGTGAGGTTTTCATGCAATCTGACTGATGCTCCAAGATACGGAACAGATCGGTGATGTAAGGTGGCATGTTGTGACAGGCGAGGGTACGGTTCCGTAGTTCTGATTCTTCTTTAATTCGATCATCCAGCGTTAATTCACGGGTTTCTGCTACCGAACCCATGAGCAGGTCAGTCCTCCGCCTTGATCAATCATGAATGCTTTCCTTCGTTTCAAGTCACCAATATCTGCAGCTAGAGGTTTTGGGCTTGCATAACAAGACCCGTATCTCCTGACTATCATGTAGACACTGGCTTTCAACTCATGAGTGGTACGAGTCACCTGCACAGCTGGAAATATGTAAACCCCCCTGAAGGTTTCGCACACAGACCTAGATTGAACGTTTGCAGCATGTAAACCAATACTAATTTGTACGTACCTTCATGATCATCGCTCCAAGGGAAGTTTCGGAACATTGCCAGACCCTAGTTGCTAATAGTACCATGTTGGATAAAGTGATAGTGATCGGCTGGCGCACAAGATCCACTGCGGTGGCAAGAAGTTAGTCAGGGTTCGTTAGTCCCATGGTACAGAGGCACCTATTGATCTCTCGGGCAACCAGCCAACAAAATAAGTATTGGAAAATAAACTTACCAATGCGCATCAACGCTCATGCGTACAGACTCCGAAGTTGGAACCTAGGGAACACAGCGCAACGCTGGCAAGGAGCACGACTCCCAAATATTCAACTCTATCTCTCCATGCACCTCGCACCACAATTTCCCTCCTGTACGGAATCAGTGTCAGCCTTTGCCCGACATCATGCTGACGGGGCGGCCCACAGAGTGTGCGTTTACCGTATATTCAACATATGTCAGACTACATACACACTTACGATAGATAAGTGGCCCCCGTGAGGCTACATCCAACATGGGTCTTCAACTCGAAAGGACAACAAATATGGATTTTTCTTTAAAAGAAAAATGTTCACTCAGTCATGCGTCGGAATGTTGAGTAGATACAACTGCACCAATCTATACAAATCTGACATGAGATAAGTAGAGGCGACTAGCTGAAAAATTCGAGCTTACATAATAGGAATGTACTAAATCATGCCTCAAGGCCTCATCACCGTGAAACCTCAACGTAAAAGTGATGTCCATAATAAATCGACCGGCGATCAATCAGCTCTCTGTTTGTTTAACTAGCGCAGTAATATGATCTGATCCTAAGAAGTTCAGAACATCAAGGGCAGAGGGGCGACGCCCTATATCACCCCAGCATTTTTCGATGAAATCCCAGAAAGAATCTGCGTCGTGCGGACTCGATGGTCTTGTGGGCTTCTTGCCCTTCAGTATCAGGACAATTACTTGGTGATCGCTCCGCACGTCTGCATAGGGTGGTCTGCCTGTCATAACCTATGGAATCTTTAGTCGCAAACTAACCCAGCCATTAGGGAACGCCTCGAACCTGAAGCATGATGCATCCGAAGGAATAAATATCGCTGGCAGGTTGTGGAGTCAATGACTCTTCGCTCTCTGGCACCTCGAAGAGCTCTGGCCCAGCCCACCGCACGTTGCTTCTGATGTATGAAGTCCCTGAGAGATCAGAACACATTGTGAGAATTCCATGGTCTGCTACGTGGGCATTGCGGTCCGAATCTATCAGAATGTTGTTCTGGCGTTTCAGATCAGAGCTAGAAGGCAGGTATCAGACAACTAGTACATACGGCGGTAAGGTCACCGTGGACAATGCGCTTCGAGTGGACTGTAATGCCGTTACTTATTGTTTTCACAAACTATTGAAGATTCCACATACGGTAGCTGATGGCTGCAGCGACTTGTCGCAACTAAGGTCCAAATGAATGGCATGATGTACGAGCCCTTCTGAGAAATAACTCACGATCAGGAGCTTTTGTTTGATGGTTAATTCTGTGAAATGGTGTTCAAGATATGTAGTGAGCGGGCCGTTGTGTATCCAGGGAGAAACCATCGCTGGAAGTAGCCCAAATTTGTCACTGAAACCGAGCAGAGGCAAAAGATTTTCGTGATGCAGATGCTTGCGTGCACGAAAATCGCCCAAGAGTCTCTATGAAACATGAGGTTTGAACAAGCGCATCACATACAAAGGGAAAACCGATGACGCACTTGAGTAACTCGGGCCCTGAATTCGTCACCTGCGACATCGATCCTTATAGATTTGACTGCCACCTGTCATGGATTCAGATTGCTGGATAGTCATACGTGTAGCATGCTTGCCTCCAAGCCTGGACGGTTGTATGCGACATAGGTGCATTTCCACACATCCCCGAAACTGCCGTGCGCTATTGGATGAGGCGAGTCCTTGGATACGAATCCCGTAAGGTCGGGCAGGCTGCATTCAAAGTCGCGTGAGGAAGTGCATTGCCACAAGGTATTATGGACTTACTGGTTGTCAGGATCTATCCCACTATCACTGGTGGTGTCTATCACGACAGACGGGCTGCTTCTCCACCACAACAGCTTCCTCCTGACATTCTCTAACCAAGACCTGCAGTGGGACAAGAAAGGTAGGATCATTTAGGTTAGTAGACTCATGGATGTGCTCTTTTAACGAGGCAGGTTGAGCGCAGAAACAATAAGACAATAGTATATGTATATTAGTACCTCCTTTTGTAGATATGAATAGGTGCAGATTGTTTGACCAACAGTCTAGTGAATCAAAAGTTGCGCTAGACGTCTTCGGTTTCTTCCATTGGATCCACAGTATAGAACCAATAACCGGCTGACTCGACCCGATGGGCTTCCTTATAGTAGCACTACCCGCACCAATAGTCACTTCCTTGCCGCTTGAATCACCCTCATGCTCTGAACGTTTTGCCTCGTCGTGCAGAGTGAATGAAGACTTTAGCCCGAACAGAATGTTGCCGTTTGAATGGCTGTTAATAATCATGAAATTTCGTTCTCCGCCAGGGTGATTACAATTGATATGAACGAGTCGGGTCTTTTGCCTTGAGACATACACATTGCTAGAACAGAATAGCCTGCATGATACTATATCATTTCATTCATTCGCAGAAGACAGATAGTACGGCCTTACTGCCACAGTTCTAGGTACATGACCAATACAACCAGGTAGGGGTGGGGATATTGCAAGCCTTGGAGTGTGCAGATCGAATCATGGATCTCCCGAGTTGGCCCTTCTAAAGTCGATGAACCCCCATATGTTTAATGTGCACGCAATCGATTACCAAACTTGTCTGATACAAAAACATGAGTTAACACATAGCATCTCTATAGCGATACATTAAATCTCGGACATCAACAATAGGAGGTCGTTGTGATGACTCAACCCAACATTGCTCGATAAAGTTCCAGTGACAATCTTCAATAGCAGGCATATCTGGACGCTTAGGCTTGACACCTTTGAGGATGGCCACAACCACCTGGTGATCACTGCGAATGTTACAGTACGGCTCCTTGCCCGATAAAACCTGGCACAAATGAGAACAAGAGCGCTGCAAATATACGTTGTCGACAGACCTGGTATGCGATGCATCCAAATGAGTAAATGTCACTTTCTAGTCTCGGCGAGCTAGATGCATCCTCGGTGTCCGGAACTTCGAAGAGCTCAGGCGCAGCCCATCGTACGTTACTCCTGATGTAAGAGGTCCCGTTCAGGTCGGAACATGTAGTCAAGAGTCCATAGTCTGCTACAAGAGCCCTTCCGTCTCTGTTGATGAGTACATTGTTCTAAGAGGAAACAGAGACGTGAGCAATATCACAAGTCTGCATACCACAGTTGCTTACACCTGTGAGATCCGCATGAACTACCCCCTTAGAGTGGACTATGCATATACTGTCAGCTTATCTTAATGCAATGCAAAAATGACATGGCATACGATATTGAAGACCAGCAGCTACATCAGCAAGCTGTTAAGGCGCTCGTGAGTTGTGGTGCAGCTAATGATCATCGAGGAAGACTTACCAAACTGAACTTGTGAGCCCCAGAGAGACTATCATAGTTTTTACCAAGATACGTGCTCAAGGATCCGTTGGTCATCCATGGAAATACGATAGCTGGTACTGGACCAAATCCGTAGGTAATCCCGTACAAGGAAAGAATGTTATCGTGGCGCAGTAATTTCCACTTGCAGAAGTCGTCCATTAACCTCTGCAAATATGTTCATATCATTAAAGCGACATCATGATCATGTCGGCCCACCTCGTTGACGATTTTCTTGAAACTGTCATCCTGAATTTCGATCCTGACAGATTTAACCGCCACCTTGAAACTTATCATCAGATGTCAGAATTTACTACGAAACTCATACCAACCTCCACATTTCTATCTTTGTCTGAGAACATGCATTTCCATACGTCACCGAAACTGCCCTGGGCAGTAGCATAAGCCAATTCCTTCATGACCTTCGCAGTAAGGTCGACTGGGCGTCTAAATTGATTGGCACATGAGTCAGCTTCATTCAAGGTAAAGCCCTACGTCTACTCACTCATTATCATTGGAGTCTACATCCAGGTATGTCGCGCCCGACGTTTCTGTCTCCGGTTGGACTTTCCGCCATTTCTTAGGCAGCACACTCAGGCTGAAGATCCATGCGGAAAGAGTATTCATCTGTCGCCCTGACAACGTATTAATGAGGTCGAAATTTTATACCAGGCCCGGGGAAGTTTGGGTAACCACAGAACGCGAATAATACTGGGCTTTGCGAGATCCCTCTTTATCGACGTTCAAGAGGCTGAGTGCAGAACCAAAGGGCAGCGCTAGATTCATGGGAATTTACGGGGATGCGCCGTTACAGGAACGGCACTGTCTTGTGTAGTGCTTCCCATAGGAGAATTCGAAATTCTTGTACTGCTCGAGGTTCCTTGGTCTCAGCTGTGTCCTGTAGAGTATCAGAATGCACAATGCCTCATAGACTCCGACTCTGGACTTCCATGCTCTCGGCTATGGTCCCAACGAATTGAGACCAAATGGCTCGCGCAGTAACTTACGTAAGTTACATTGACCACATCATGAAATTTCGGTGCCGATCAGCGATATACAGCTAATTATTTTGAGTGCAATGGAACTCTTGTTCCTCAGGAGTCCAGAAAATCGAAGAGGTCTGATCATACAGGAAGCGATAGTACACGTACTTATGCATGATTTCTGAACAAGTCGATATCACATCGCCTTGACTCGAAGAATCATTACCACTGCAGAAAAAGCACTTCGTCAATAGCCACACTTTCTTTGATTACTAGCTACTTAGTTCTAAAAGACGTAGTCGCCTAAGACTTTATGTTATACATGAGCACGTTGCCAAGAAAATGGGTATTACTCTTATTCGGCCGAATGCCACTCACGTACATCCTGCATTGCAGTCCAATGTGTGCGCGCCGCACGCTCTTCCCTGTTTGAACTGGCTTGGAGGCTCTGCATGTCTGCTTATTTTTGTTATGTGTTTGTTTGATTTTCACCTAATGTAGATTCGTTATATCTCGCTAGCTAAGCCATCGCAGAATGTATCGTAACTCATGAGTGTAACAACAGTTCGGATGGAGTAAGAAGAATGGCGTACAGCACCAACATTCAAAGCTAGCCAATTATATAACGGTATCGACAACGATCTGCGTTGCACATGTGGGAGGACGAGTAATGCACATGGCAGAGAGGAATGGTGTGTTGGAGACGATTGGGGAGGAGAGCGCAGTACGAGGTAATATGCTGAAGATTTGGGATCTTGGGAAGACGGACAAGAGAAACCAAGCACCAGTGTTACTGAGATCTTCCAAGGTCCAGCCTAGCAACAAGCCTCATCCAGTGAGTGACTCACTACGTTCAGCTTTCGCTCGGTGAGCTTGTAATTCAGGTCTTTTGCTTTGCACTTTCTTCTGCGCTGTCTTTTCTTGCCATCGGCTGGGCCTACGGGACGGTGCTACTTTACAGGCACCTGGACCAGTCACTATCTTCCACAACATCCCTGACTGCACTACCCAAGACACGCACCATCCATGAATCATCCCCTGAATCTATCACTGGCCTTGGTTGCCGAGAACTTCCGAGTCTCACAGGCTAATGCCGATGCTAAGGATAACAACTTGCACCTTTTCATTGTGATCACGAACTCGGTACACTTGTACCATGTGTCCGGCAAAGGGAGTGAAGGATCTAGCGTGTTACTAGACGATATAGGATGTGGACTGGGATGTGCGGTGCGAGAGATGAGATATGCGTATGGTGTGCAGCAGAGGAAACTGCTATATGCTTATGAAGGTGAGTGGATTGGTACGAATTTGAATACTGGGAGGTGATGTTACGTTGGACTTGGCTCCACCTTGCGCTCAGGAGAGGAAGAGAGGCTGCTGTTATGGCTGAACGGAATGGAATGTGTGTACACTGTACAACGTGTCGTGCTACAGATCCGTGTACGCCGGGACCCTGAGACACTCGAGACCCCTGGCACCCGTCTCTGCACCCGTCCCACCGGCAACCCCCGGTGCAACGTCTTTCGCAGGTGTCCACCTTAACTATGTGATAGTTGTTTCAGTCACCTGCTACACGAGAGCTTGCAGGAGGGTGACTGTGTTTGACATGGAGAATAAGGTAGTTTGAGTGTTTGCGGAGGGTATCAGAGAGGTGATCTCGGAGTGGGGAAATATCTGCATCCTCACAAATAATGGGCAGGTACGTCCTAACGATGCTCAGAATTGTGCGTTGACTTTTAATCTGACGTCACTGCCCTTGTTTAGCTGACTCGCCTTGCCGAGAAATCCACCTCTGCAAAACTCTCCATGCTGTACGCAAAGGTTCTATAGTATACTTGCACTGAGTCTCGCGCAGACACAACACCTCGATGACAGCTACGTGGCTGATATTCACCGTCAGCACGGTGACCGCCTCTACACGAAAGGAGATTGGCATGGCGCGATGACGTGCTATATGAAGATGATAGGTTGGGTGAAACCGAGCTACGTCGTTAGAAAAGTCAGTTATTTGTGTGTTTTTTTCCAACACAATAGGTCTGATGATGGCGGTGCGCTCAGCGCATACACAACCTCGTTACCTATCTGCAAGAGCTAGATGCCCTTGGCCTCGCAAACGCTGATCATACCACTCTTCTGCTTAATACCTACACTAAACTCAAAGACGTTGCACGCTTACACAGCTTCATTAAAACAGAGTCTCGTCACTCTGGTGCGGCAGAGTCGAATAGCGACCTTCCATTTGACCTGGACACTGCTATCCGGGTGTGCAGGCAGGCAAGATACACTTTCATTATGCCAGCTACGGCTACCTTGCGAAGCGCCATAAGCGACACGAAGAGTACTTGAGGGTTATAATTGAGGACGCCGGGAAGTATGGGGAAGCACTGGTATATTTGAGACACTTGGGAGCAGCCGCGGTAAGTCCAATCTTATTTGGATTTATTTTCCTGTACGAAGCTAATACATTTATATAGGCGGAAAGCAACCTCGCTAGGTACGGAGGTGCTATGCTAGATAATCTTCCGGAGGAGACGACACGGCTTCTTATTGACCTTTGCACCATCTCTGGGCCCCTCATCATCCCCGAAGCAGAGGACACCACTCCACAACAGTCGAGCGCACCAGCAAACGCCCCATCATACCTCTCGTACCTTACCCTCTCCCATGCACCTGCGCCTGAAGACAAAGAGGAGGACCTTACGGAACCTCAAACAACGCAGCCAAGCGCATCAACACCATCCAAAAAGAAACGACCTTCGCCTACACTCTATTTCGCGCATTTTGTTGATCACCCGTCATATTTTGTCCGTTTCCTAGAAAGCGTAGCCGCACGTCGCTGGGGACAGTCACTCTCCTCTCTCCCATCTTCTCTTCTAGATACCAGTCCGGACAAAGACGAGGACCTAGAGAAGCACAATCAGGCAGCAGTTTGAAATACGTTGCTTGAGCTCTACCTTGACGGAGGCTCTCCAGCACAACAGGAAAAGGCACTCAAAGTTCTGACGAGCGACACCTTACCATGCGATAAAACGCATGCATTGATTCTTCGCAGCAGCTACAGCTATACCCGAGGTCTGGTCATACTTTAGGAGCAGCTGGGTATGTATGAAGACATTTTACGGTTTTGGATGGACAAGCACAACATATCGCCATCCGAGTCTTCTGCGTCGACAGAGGTCGTGCAGGCCCTCGTACGATATGGCCCAACACACCCGCACCTCTATGAGCTGGTGCTGCGCTTCTTGCGTGCGACGCGCTGTTCTCAGTGCAGCGGGCAGCTCGATCTCCCCAGTGCCCATTTCATGTGCAACCACACATCACTAGCGGTACGTATTTCGCTTACTTATTAATTGACTGAACTATTTTTTTCCTCGAAACCTCTTCTGGCTATCTCGTGATGGCAGTGCTAACGTACATTATAGGTCTCTGCTGGACCACGAAATCGAATGCCTGCTTTGCGTACGCCAACATGGAATCATCCAGGAGATTCAGAAGAATAACGAGATCAAACACGCTCTTCCTCGCGGATGTGCAAGATAACGGGTTTACAGCGGTTGCGGCTGGATTTGGCAAGGGGGCGCTAAATATGACTCGATTGGACGATGTTACTGTATAACCGGTATTGCGCCGTGCTGTACTTCTACCACATGATCTGCATCTGTTACGGTATTCAATAGTAAGTTATCAAATTAATGTCGTTAATAAGCTCGGGTTGATCCACAATCGATGGGCATTTCCAGATTTCGGTCCAACCTAAGCATTGATTGCTCGTCCTTTCATGAATGCAATGATTTCTTCTTCAGCCGACAGACGTTCCATGTCTCCTGACCCTCTAAACTTCAAGCGAAATCCCTAGTTTGGCCGTTGTTCCATGTCCATCCAACAATGAGACGTTGTCCTTGAGATCTCGAGACTATGGAGATCAGTGAATCAGTATTGCTGATCACACGCACCTAAATCATGGTCCTTCCGAGATCAAACTTCTTGGGGAAAATACCGCCAATACTAATCGAACCACCATCCTTCGCATCCATGGTGCCGTGTCTCTCGGCTCAAACTACCATAGAGAATCCACAATCGGTGAGGTCGAGATTTTTTCATCTCCGTCAACAGAACAGTAGGAGCTTATGAACTTTATACTTGAATGCGCACGCTCATCACTCAAGTTTCCGTGGATGAAGCTCAATATGATCGATACACGATCAGGTCGCAAGTTCCCCTTATCGTATGGGTGGTCTTACAGTGGATACAACAACACGAGTCATATAGGCGCCGCCTCGAGTTATTATCATAGATGGGATAGAACCATTCATTTTAACATGAGCGCATACTTCTCAGCGCTCGAATGATCAGACGACAGGCAGCATTTGCTAACAAGAATTGGTTATCAAGATTCACGTTCCACCGTAGGGTTGTCGCCGAGTCCGGTGCCTCGCAAGCAGTTTGGCTCAAAGTTTCAATTGATAGTTGACCACGCCTCAAGAAGTCTGATGACTCGTCTGCCTTTCTCCATTTGATGCGTTTAGAGATGGGCGTTTATGTGGAGTCAATATCTACTAGCATGGATTCAATCCATACTAGTGGCGGCTTCCCTGGTGCGCCCTCTGGAATTTCTATCGGAGCTATCAGTGGATCGCGATATCAGCCGTAACCGTTGTAGTCCTTGTGTATAAGACGAAAAACCACTGTTGCTGAGAAAGTACATCCGCATCCTCTTGTGCCTGTGCTCCTCCTATCGATATGCCGGCTCTCACTCTGAAGACTATTGCACGTCAAGTCCCTCTTTACCTTCATCGACCCAGCTCACCATCTTCACTACTCAGACATCCGGGTCAACGTGTGGTTCGTTCATTGTGGACGCAAACATTAAAACCAGCCAAACCATAATTCCGACTGCTTCGGGTGGACTTGCAGATGTCTACAGATGCATATTGCTCGGCGACGCGAGTCTGGAAGAAGTATGCCACACATTGATCTTCTCCATGCTTACGCTCACCTATGCTCAGGTTGCAGTCAAATACCCACGGTATTCAAGTCTTACAGACGCCGTAGTTGACAAAATAAATCATGTATGTTTGGTAGCCTCCGAAACCTCCGCTCGTCTGAATTTCTTTGGAACACAGAATCTTGAACGCGAAATCAAGATCTGGACCAGATTAAATCATCAGTATGTATTGTGCCTGCGTGGCACCGCAACAGGTTTCGGTATATTTCGAGCATTGGTTTCCCCCTGGATGCCGAACGGGACGTTGAACTTCTATCTTACTCATAAGAATAAAACCCTTACGGAGATGGACAGGCTTCGCATTGTAAGTTTCTCTTTCGACGTCGATTACTGGAGCTTACGTTTCTCAAAGCTTAAACAGATTACTGAGGGGCTCAAATATCGTAAGTAACATATTACTTGAAAACGACTGGCTTAACTGTATACTGCGGGCAGTCCACGACAATGACGTGATTCACGGCGATCTGACCAGTGTAGGTTTACCTACATTATACGTTTCGTGACCCACTGATTATTGTTATAGAAAAATGTCCTAATTGCTGTTGATGGGTCCCCGCGTCTTGCAGACTTCGGTGTTTCGAATATCATGGTTCAGTCTGACCCGGCATTCTCCTTCCACAATGGCGCAGTTTGTTGGGCAGCTCCAGAGCTCCTCTTCCCGGAAGGTGAAACCGTGCCATGTGCCACCAAATCCAGTGATATATATGCTCTTGGATGTATCATGCTTGAGGTCAGTGTCTCATTTGCGTTTTTTTATGACGCTGACACGGTATTCGTAGGTAATATACACCAAAACACCCTACTGGTGGATCAAGCAAGCCCACCAAGTCATAGCATCAAAGTGCAGAGGCCAAGAGCCCATTTTGAAAGAAAACACCATACAAATTCAAAAACATCATCTGGATTTCATGCAGCAGTGCTGGTCGATCAACAGTGAGAATCGTCCATCAGTGGAGGGGGTACTGGACTTTCTCGAGAGAGCTATCTCTAACGGGGCCCCATCTACATAACGTCGCTGCTCGGAGCTGGTTCATTCTCATCTTTTCTTTTGTTCTAGCTACCTCATTGGCATAGTATACAGTGTTCAAGTATGTAATACATGATCGCATATCTACAACTCAAAATTTTACATAACAGCATGAATGATGATATTTGCAAGAGCAGAATTATATCCTGCTACAGTTTGCACGGGTACAATATCAAGGTCTCATCAATACACTGATGTCTCAGATCTGGTAGAAAGTGATAAGAGAAAGGGTATATTCCTGCAGATTATCCCACAGCGAGTCTTCTCAAAAATCTGATCAGGGAGCGGCCAATTGTGTAGATTAGTACGCAGGATCCGCCGGCCACGGACATGCCTTACTACTAGTACATACCTTTGAGAACTTCCAGAGCGCTGAAGAATTCGGTTTTACAATAGGCGATACTTGTAACCGGTGCAGCGTTAGTAGAATCCTTCGTAAGATTCTGATAGAAGACCTGCGTTTTTCCACAAAAATTTCATGCATCGCGTGACATAAAAGTATGCGGCATCTTGCATCGAGGCGACTGCGGGAAGAATACTCCCGAGTCCCGACAGAGTCTCTTGCACCTGCACGCGGGGATCTTCATATCAGAACCAGCTTCGGAAGGAACTTGATAACAACTTTGCGCTGCTAATACTCCCCGTGACGGAGTTGTCGAGTTTCCGAAGCTTGAAAGTTTCACCCAAACTGGCATTGATGATACGGTCTGAACATTGCACCCCACTACGCGGCGTCTGTTGAGCGTCGTTATATACCTGCAAACCAACCGCTTAAACAATGAAATCGCACGGCTGCCTTTTCCTTTTGTCACCTTGAACGCTGTGGCCTAGCACGATTATTATCCTGCAATGGGCAATCTCTTTTCTACAAATTCGGTGGTATGTTCTGCCCTTGTATTCAATGTGAATAGCAGTCACAGGGAAACCGCCAGCATTCTCACCCAGTTAATTTCAAAACTGAGCCATATAATATTCCTGCGACAGAACTCAAAAAACTCCGGTTGTATGCCAATTGTACAGGAGGGTTCGGTGATGTCTGGATGTATTCTTGGTCTCGGCGACAACATCCGGTTGGAACGTCCAAGGTAATTGTGCACTCGATCAAAAATTCACAATATTAACTACCTTTTAGGTTGCGGTCAAATTAATTAGGGTTCCTCAAGCAGATGATACGGAACTAGTGAATAGGACAAGCAAGGTGGGAGCATGAATGAACTGAAAGTTGTTGTGTTCATCCATTTCAACTCACAGAGGATTCGTCGCGAGGTTCATGTTTGGATTGACCTAGAGCATGATCATATTCTTACTTTCAATGGTATTGTTGATGGTTTGGGGCCACTACCTGCCCTAGTTTCTCCGTGGATGGAAAATGGATCACTCGACAGTTATCTGAAACAGGGACCTGTTCTTTCCAAGGCCGATAAACTGAGAATGGTACGCATCGTATCTCCCAACACCGTGGGACGCGTTCTGACATGTCTTCAGTTGAGACAGATAGCGGCCGGCCTCAAGTATTGTGCATCTATTTTTTTTCTGTATCTGGATCAGACATGCTCACCGACTTGTTAGTACACGACAGAGGAGTGGTCCATGGCGATTTAACATGTGTATGTGTTAAAAGTCGTGCCCAAGATGTCTCGTTATGACAACTCGATCTACAGACCAATGTTCTAATGAGCGCCGATCAGACGCTCCATCTTGCGGACTTTGGTCTTTCAGTGGTCCTTTCAGAATCACAAAACCCCACCTTCAATTCGTGCCACCCAGGAAATGTGCGGTGGATGGCGCCTGAGTTGCTTGCTTTACCTGAGGAAGGGGGAGTGGTCGTGCCAACCAAAGCTGCTGATGTTTACTCGTATGGTTGCATCATGCTTCAGGTGTGTTGTTCCTCATTCGATTCCATGTAAGTTACTGTGCTGATAATGTGCAGGTGTTTTGTGAATGTGCACCTTACCTCTGGCTACCGGATGTGTTCCGCGTTATTGTGGCAAGACTCACAGGAACACCACCCTTCCGTCATTTCCGTGACATCGAGGACGTACACAAGGAGTTTTCGTTGAGATGCATATCTGTCGATTCCGAAGGTCGACCGGTGGCTTCTGAGATTGTAGGGTTCTTACCAACAGAGTGACAACAATACGAATGAACTAGCTTAGGATACTGTTTACTCGGAACGACATCTATGTGCTTCCCAATCTATCACTGCCTTGTTTACATACAATATGAGGATTGGTATTGCATGCTAGCCTAGTAGTCTGCTAGCGCATTAGATTTAGTATTGCTCCTGCATAAATACAAATACAGGTAGTGTATCATACACATACGACACTGAGAAGTGAGAGCGGACACGGAGCAATATGATATATGATAGGAGACACTCGGAGTCAACATGAGGACAAGAAAGAGGATCACTTCAAAACCGAGACCTTATACAGACGAAGTCTGTGCTTCTTGAAGATAATAATTTATCACCTCTTCTACTGATCAATAGACGAAGCTTGCTCTTCGTTGACCAGCACCGCCGCATGCATGAAATCCAGGTGATTAGGCTCGATCTCGACGGAGGAATCAATGGGCTCTGTGCGCTTGAACTTGGCAGAAATAAGGTGTATGGCATACTTCAGCCACCAGTAAGGCTGTTTCCCATGTACTAGGACCTACACCACAGGCGCATAGTCGATCCATCACTCACGATATTGGAGCCCTCGGCAATTTGTTTGAACTATTGAAGTGACGTAGTAAGTTCCTGTACTCGACGTTCGAGTCGTAGACAACACTCACCGAATCATGACAAAACATAAGCGGTCGATATCACATGCAGCTGTCTGTTCCTCCGAGGGCCCACAAGAAGATGACCACTCTCGTGCTAACTGCAGGCTGACAGCAGTTGACTTGGATTCCAGTGACTCCAACAGAGAAAATGTTACTGGCACGGATGACACGGATGACACGAAAAAACCGCCGCAGCGCGTCATTTATTCAGTAGTATGTGTGTTGTCGACAACTGAGTGAAGTTGATTCAGCAGCCTGCTGGCGCCTAGTTTGAAAAGGCATGGTGTTTTGAGAATAGTTCCGAGTCTACGCTAACCGTTGTACAACGATAATTTGAATTCCGACAATACGCACTTTACAGGTAAAAAAGGAACACATATAACATCATGGTCACCATGCAGCATCTTACAGGACTACAGAACTTTATCTCACAAAAGCGGGTTGTAAACACTAAATCGTGTAGCAATACCCTCCAACTTTGTCACTATAATTGGTACGCACTATCATGAGATCTCACTACATGACAGCGCTTACCGTGACCCCAGACGTCTCATGACATCGTCCATCGTCGGGCGATTGGCTGACATCTTATGCAAGCACGGTGAGAATTGTTGATACACTGCATGGCTCTCTATGTCCTTGAAAGGGGCACGTCCCTTGTATATCGCGCCCGTAACATGTGAAACACTTGTTATCCATGCGTAGGGCTTATTCCCAGAAAAGATCTTGGACTATTGTCAGAAGACTGTTTTTGTGTATTGACAATCCGACAGACCTGAAATACTATACAACCATACGAATAGACATCCCAAGCTTTAGTTGGCTTCTCGTCTTTAGCTTCGTCTTCGTCTTCATCTCCGCTTCGGAGAGCCTCGGGGGGCATCCAACGTGCGTTTCCTGGACGACAGGAATTGAAGGTGGCGTTTTCTGCCTCGGCAAGGATCATTGATAGACCAAAGTCTGCGAGACGGAGGCGACCGGTGCTGTCAACCAAAACGTTGGTCTGTCATTGAATTCAGCTACATACTACATGTGGATTGGGATAAGACCTACCGCTGTCAAGTCGCCGTGCACGATACCCTTGCCATGCACTAAGTGGATAGTCTTTAGTATACGCTGCGATCACTACATCTGTCAACAACGGAACTCACGGTAACTAATACCAGCAGTTACCTGCCATACCTGAAATCATGGCTAAGTATAAGCTAGTGCAGTAATCATTTGGCACTTACAAGCTCTTGTTTTTCAGAGTCAGACAATTCCGAAAACTTGTGCTTCAAGTAATCGTCCAGCGATCCTTCTTCCATCCATGGAGACACTAATGCTGGAAGTAGCCCGAATTCTTCAGCGAAAGTCACGCCCTCGAGAGGGAGAATGTGGTCGTGTTCCAACTGCATCCAAACATAGGCCTCACGACGAATTTTCTGGGGAGAAGATGTATCAGCGAGTGGAACTACATATCAATTTCTGTCCTAACCTTGCCTATCGCTTTCAATATCGTCGCATCTGTTAACCCAGGGACCCTAATAGATTTGACAGCAACCTTGATTATAATAAATGGCAAGTCTTCTACCCATGTCTAAACTCACGTCGCGTTGGGTTCCAGATGGTGTAGTCATTGAACATTTCCAGATGTCACCGAGCCCCCCTCTACAGGTAGGACAGCTGCTATCTCTTGTGATGTTTTCCCCAGGAATAAGCTCTGGTTCGATTTTGAATTGAACTGACTCCTGCCAACGATATTAGTATATCGTCAACGTGGAAGCAATATTGACTTACGGGGCGGAGACCACCCATTGTGAAATCAAGCTAGAACTCAGAGTTCAAAATGACAGGTGCTAGGTAACTGGGATGTAAGGGACGAAGCGAGCATCCTTATATACCACTGCTGAAGAGACAAATTAACAATGCCGTCAACCCAAAAATACTGCGACCATGAGATCCTATGACCTGTTTGAGCCTGAAAACTAGCGTCTTGATAGCAAGTATAATAGAAAGCTCTGATGGGCTGTGTCATCGATGGTCTTGTCCATCAATGATTGATATACTGTACATCTTTCATCAGACTCGGCGGAAGATATCCTGCGATATACATGTTTGATTACATGCATCCCTAGGGTGCATTTTACACACGTACAAGATTAACACTCAAGCATTACATTCCTAGTTGCGTACCTTTCTCGTGACTTCCCCATCCAAAGCTACCATGGTAGTATATCCAAATTCATTATGCAATACACGTGTGCCGCTTGATCGTTTTTTGTTCCAGTTATCTATCGGAGACAGATTCGAACCGAGGCAAGGACTGTATCACCCAGTGCGATGACTGCGGAAACGGTATTGGGTAAGGCCGAGGATCTCGTGTATATAGTCCTGCACGGGATCGGGATTCCTGTGTGCACCAAGCTATATGGCCTTTATGTGGCTAGATCATAGCGCCTATCTTGTCGTTAAAGGGTTACGCCAGTGATTGTGTAGCGCCAGATCGTAAAGCTCTCATCTATCATTGGCAAATATGATCAATACCGGAACACCAGTTGTAACAACATGATTTGAGTCCTGCGTGGCCTAGACGGTGAAAATTCTTGTCTTCGATGAGCTCGCTCATCCCACTGGTCGACCGTCGAACACCTAGAGTGTCAGAACCGAAGCGTCAAGTACTACTTCTCAGACACTAAGCACATACCTTGGATGCATTCTAACCGTGATAGGCGCGCGTTTAACTCGGGAAACCATACAGTCCCGACATCAGACGTTCTAGAATCCATGCAGGAATTTGAACTGCGGATAAAGCCGGACGAGTGCAATTTTTGAAACGAACGCTTGGGCTTGATTTTCCTCAGCATACGCCTCATTCGAGGCTAAAGAAATCTAGTGTGACAAAGAGGTGCAACTGAGGAAAAACAAGAGGCTCCTTGAACTGCATTCATACGTGAGCCTTTCCTGAATCCCCAGTGTTGAAGAGCGAGCCATCTCAGATCTGGTGGAGAGCAATAAGAGAAACGGCGTGTTCCTGTGGGCCATGATCCCGCAGCAAATCTTGACGCTCAAGAATTCGGTTTGATAGTACGCACTGCCAACCAGTGCATTAGTGGGATCCTTCGTGATAATCTGATAGAAGACCTAGCATTTTTTTTCACAAAGATTTCATGCTGAGCGCTGAGTCCCAATAGAGTCCTAACGGCAGCTGCCGAGAGAACTTTGCACTGCGTGATTGGCTAGTGAGTGACTAGTGAACACTGCCACATCATACATCTTGCCAACATCTCGCAGTTTTTGAATTTGCTATCAACGTTTCAGCCAGACTGACATTAGTATTGTAATGATGGTGTGACAATTCACTACCCCATTACGCGGCGTCCGTCGAGCGTCTGTATTCTTAATTATATACCTGCAGAGTCCAGCCTGAGACCAACCGCTTAACACCGACATCATCTACGCCTGCCTTTCGCCACCTTCAAGTTTCCCGCAATGGGTAATTGCTATTCTCAAAATGAGGTAGGTTCGTGCCCTTGTTCCTGGACCCGACTTAGGGGCAGCTTCGACATGGCAAGGGTTCTCACGCAAACGGTCGACCGTTTTTTCAAAGACCGAACGACCGTTTGAAAAGCACGTGAGGTTGGAGGTCACGTGACGCCGGAATTTGCCGCACTTACAGAGTCAGAACATGGTGCGGGGGGTGACATCTAACATGCTCAAAGCTCAAAGCAGCGTGCGTTGCCCCCATGTCTGTTCCCATTCTGAACAGGAATCATTGATCTTGTTCTCTACGATCTTGTCTTCGGCAGAATAATATCATTGATCCTGTTCTCCTACAATCTTGTCTTCAGCGGAGTTCTCAATATCTTAAGTTGTGAGTGGGCCTGCTGCACGAATAAGGAACATGGTGAGTCGACAAACAAATGAGACCACAATGGCATTGTGTGGGGACAAACGGAACGGACAGAATGAACGGACACCAAATGGAACGAACAGATCAGAATGAACAGATCAGAACGAACAGACGAAACGGACGAACAGATCGAACGGATCGAATGAATGGGACAAATGGAAGCGGGTAATTAAACGGGGGGATATTTGGAATTCGTTAGTGCAAGAATTGGGAGCTGGGAGGGGAGCCAGTCAAAATAGGGTAACTGGTGAGAGACAAGAGATCTGTGCGCGACTCACCGAAAAAAAAACTTTACTGCTGCAGGTAGTTAATCCTCAGCCATTCCTCACCGTTGCGAGAGACAATCCGGTCACGGGGAGTGGTTGGGTCAGTGACGAAACCCTTGAACAGTCGAAAAAGCACCATGTTATCCGACACGTGAACCTCGGTGCGCGAAATCAGCAGCTTCGAAAATGCTTCGGTCTCGAGCAGGTCCATCTCTCCTGGTCCCTGCATGAAGACGTGCTCGTAGACGCGCTGGACCATCGACAGGAACACGTGAGGGTGGAATGTTCAGCCCTCAGAGAAGATTCCTCGTGGCTGAGGCCAGGGAGGCAGTTCCTCACTGGCAGCCTTGGAGGACTGCTTGACACCATCTGCGCAATACCCCTTCTTGTGGTTGAGGGGCAAGTTCTCGGGTCCTGGATACATAATTGTTTGACAGCGGGAGCATGTCTGTGCCTTTTGAGCCTTGGAAATAAAATGATGGTTGATGGGTCAGTGCGAACAATGTGCAAACGACCAGACACAAGTGACTGACCTTTCTGCCTGGTTCTTCCTTCACAAGTGGGACGACGGAACAATGACGGCGCCAAAATAACTCACTGTTTTTGCGTGCTGTTTACCCAATGTCAGAAAAGTAGTTGAGAGATGGTGTTTGCAAACGGACTCACAGGTATAGTCATTCTTGGTGATTTTGCTCATCAGCTTCGGCTCGATGTCACCCAGCGCATGTAGGAGGGCTTGTGGGTTCTTCTGGACGACTGACTGGCCCTTTTTCTTGATGAGACAGCGGTTGTACTCTTCTGTCGCCAGCACCCAGCGCTTCGAAGTCATTTGATATGACAGCCATTTGAACTCAGCCCGCATTTCCATAAATAAGTAGAACTCGTCCGAATTTTGGAAGGTGAGCGAGCAAGGATCAATACCCGTGGAAATGGAGAACAGGCACTGAGACCGGGTCTGGCCTGCCGCGATAGCCATCGAGTGATTGATGCCAGTGCTGCCAAGCACTGGGCAATCCTGTGAAGAATTTGGGAGGAAGTTTTCGTGTGTAGTGTTGGTTGGGTGTGATTGCACATACCTTTGCAGTAGCCCTAGGAATCACTGGGCGATCGCTGGTGACTCCAGCGCTGGGGGTAATTGCGTTGCTAATGCCAGCGCTGGGGCAATCCTGTGAGAATTCAGGAGGAAGTTTTCGCGTGTAATGTTGGTCGGGTGTGATTGCACATACCTCTGCAGTAGCCCCAGGAATCACTGGGCGATCGCTGGTGACTCCAGCACTGGGGGTAATTGTGTTGCTGATGCCAGCACTGGGGCAATCCTGTGAGAATTAGGGAGGAAGTTTGCGTGTGTAACATTGGTCGGGTGTGATGGGACATACCTCTGTGGTAGCCCCAGGAATCACCTGGCAATCCTGTGAGAATTCGGGAGGAAGTTTGTGTGTGTAGCGTTGGTTGGGTGTGATGGGACATACCTCTTGGTCGGGTGTGATAGCAGTGCTGGCAACCACTGGGCGATCCTGCGAGAATTCGGGAGGAAGCTTTCGTGTGCTGCACCATTGATGGTCTTGCACAGAAGGAAAGTATGCATCAAGTCGTCCAGTACCTGGGGCCATGCTAGGAACTTCTGTGCTGGGCAATGCTAAGGTTCGTAGTTTTTTGATGGTGCTGCCGCTGGCATCCCCTTCATCGTCCGAGTCCAACAAGATGCAGACAGCCTTTCTCTTTGGCGCTGGAGGTTTCTGCGCGAAAAAAAAAGAGATATGGGGGGGTTGAATGGAAGTGTTGTTACTTACCATTGGTCTTGAAGTTTCAGCTGGGAGTGTAAGAAGGGCAGGGTCAATTTGCCACTCGTTGATGATGACATTCCAACTGGCAAGAAACGCAAGGTCGACTTCCTCACCTGTGGTGGGGTCAACAGACGAATCAAAGGAGTCAAGTAGGCCCTTCTCAACGTTCTCCTCCTTGATCAAAAGACCACCAAATGTCGCTACATGATCTGACATAACTAACCCAAAAGTCTTGCCTGAGTCGATGTCACCAAGCTCAGGAAGAAGCTGCAGCTGAGAGTCAGTAGTTTTTGCTGGAGCGTGTTGTGAAGCCTCGCTATGTAGTCACAGAGTCGGAGGTGATGTGAACCGTTGGCGAACTTGAGGAATGGCATGAGTTCGGGCCTGCTGAAAGCCACTCGCACGTTGCGACGGAGGACAAAATCATGGCCGAGGGCAGTGAGCATCATCACACCGCTTGGCTGTGCTCGCTGAAGGGAATTCCACCCTTTGTGGGATCCCTCAATGCGACTCCCATCAGCTCTGATGCCTTGGATGCTGCACTCAAGGCACCCTTTGCGGACATGTTTCAACTGTTCTTGGTGAACCTGAGTCATTATTGTCAGTAGCGATCGATTACAGTGGTACTTAGCGAAAAATGAAACTTACTTTCTGCGCTGCAGCTGACCAAACACCTTTGTCTGCCCATTTGCTGAATGCCACCATAAGCCTCCGTTCCTGCTCTGCTCGGTCCCAGTATTGCGCAGGCTGACCTTTCTCGGCATGTGTCTTGAGAATGGCACCTGTGATGTCAGCAGCGACAGCGCCTCGATAAGGACTTTTGCTCGATTGGAGAATGACAGCAATGTATCTTCAAGTGCACATTGAGTAAGTAGAAACTAAGTAAAAGTAGATGCATGGCATTCACCTCGCACTAAAGTGCCAAACATTGAGTTTTGAATCCGTCTCCGGCATTGCAGAGGTCACTGCATTTCGAACTTGGCAGCAATTATCGGCGACCATCATCTTTGGCTGGGGGACGTTTAGAATGTCATGGCGGTGCTTAAGACCTTGAAGGAGTTCAGTTATCTCTGCATTCGTGCACGTCTGGCAAAAGCGCTACATATGGAACGAATATGTCAGTGAAAAGCTTAGGTGAGTCATTGTCAAAACTTACCCATGAAATGATCTGATTGTCCTCATTCAAAACACTCAATATCCCGCCTTTCAGCTCCCTAGACTTCTGGCGATCCTTGTCGGTAAGTGTGGCCTTACTTGCTGCTTTGAACGTGTTGTCGAGTGAGCCG